ACCTAATAAATTTACAGTAATTTTTTGCCTAATCATTATTTTCAATAGATTGGCTACAGTAATAGTAAACGAGTTGTAATTTAATATTAATAATTTTAATTTATAATTATTATTATTAGTAGTAGTAGTAGTAGTAGTAGTATTCATTAAATAATAATATAGATATGATATTAGAAATACGGTAATCGACAATACTATCCATGTATTGATGTCAAATATTTTTAGCAAATTAATTGATTTGTTATGTTTAGGTACCGGTGCTGTAAATACTATCCTAACGATTGAATACGGTATGGTATAGTCGATAACAGTTGACCGATCATAGCTCATACCCATACCACTGATGCCTAAATCAGCTTGCTGGAAAAAAAATTAATATATAGTATTTACTTATATCTATATATTTATATCTATAATGATGTTTATTATTTATTTTTTAGGGTGCATACATTTCTATGTACCATTCCCATAACCCCGGTCCAATTGCCCGGACTAATTTCGTTACCATATACACCCAGACAGTCAACTAGACGATAGGTTAGATTTAATTTTTCAACAATCATTTTAGCCAATTTAGCTTCCAGGCCATTTTCCAACATAGTTTGATTTTTATCTAAATATACATAGGGTGGATTCTGATAATAATAAAACGTAAAAAAAAATTTAAAAAAAGTTAATAATAAGTTATTAAAATTAATTAGTTTTGATTGAATTATTTTTTTTAAAAAAATAATAATTAATAATATTACATGATTTGTAGCAATGTTGATTATACTCATTTTTAATAATTTTTTTTGAATATTAATTATTTTAGTTGTATAAATTAAAATTTTAATAAATATTGTTTTAAATTTTTTTTAGTTACTATAAGTACTGTATCTTTTATACAGTAATTTAATATTTTTTTCAAATACTATATATATAACAAATGATGTTTTTTCAAATATTGTTTAATTAATGAATTAATATTTATTTATAAAATTTTTTTATTAAAATAGAAAAATACAATTACAAAAATCTATTGAAAAAATTATAAATAATTTAAATTTAATTATTTTTTTATTTACACTATATATAAATAATTTTATTTTTTTAATATGTATATTTAACAATAAATTCACATTTTATTCAATAGTATTGTTAATTGCTATAATAATAAAACTTTTTTTAAGTACAATACCGTAAAATACATTTTTATTTATTTGTTGTTATTTTAATAAAATGCATTATAATTAAAAAATAAAAATTTGAATATACAGTATGTGTATAGTATAAATAATTAAATTTTTTATAAATTATTAATTTGTTTTATGATTATTATTATTATCAATACTAATAAAAAGTATTGTATTTATTTTATTAAAATTATTTTATTGTTATAAAAATAAAATTATTTATAAATATTACTATTTATAAATTGAATTTATTTTTATTTATTAAATATTTATAAAAATACAAATTAAATTTTTCTAATTTAGTATTTATTAATTTGTATTGTTAATAATGTAAATAAATATATTTAAATTAAAATTAAAAGTCATATATTGTAATATTTATTTTCTAATTTTATTGAACATAATGTTTCAAAATAAACAAAATAAATTATTTCATAAATAAAAAAAACAAGAAAACTTATAAATATTAAAAAAAACCATAAATTTTATTTTAATCATAAGGTTTTATTAAATAATACTAAATTTTATTTTAATATTATATGCCGTATATAACTATTAATAAAGACTATAACATAAATTTATTAAAAATTAATTATATGCAAAATGTTATTAAAAAAATAAAATAACCAAGTAATTATGTTCAATAAATTGTAATTTTTTTTATAAAAATATTTAACTATAATAATGATTATGATAAAAATAATTACATATAAAAAATATTAATTAAAAGTTATAATTATTTAATTTCGTAAATTTATTAATTATTTATTTGGATATTTTTAATAGTTATAAATATATTTAGTCAAAACAGCTATAGATTTATTCAAATATATTTCTATAGTATTGAAATAGAAAAATAAATTATTAATAAATTTTATCATAATAAAATTATATGTAATTATTAATAATAAATAAAATTCATTTATAATTAAATTATTATTTATTAATAAATAATTTTTATATATAAAAAAGTGCATTTATTTTTCATAAATTTTATAAATTTATTGAATTATTGATCTAATAATTGATTTTTATTAGATATAAATAAATATGTTTTCAAAAAAGTATTATTGTTTTAAAATAATAATTACTAAACTTTATCGTAATTATCTATATGCTATTATTACTTAATAATAAAATTCAAAAATATTTAATTATTAATATTTTATTTAGACAAAGAAAAATACATAATAGATATTATTGTAAAACATTTATTGTATATTATTATACAATTATATTCAATAAGATGACTACTATTGTTAATAAAACTACATTTTCAATAGAAACAAAAAAAATATTGATTTTTTAATTATTATATTTAATTCTAGTAATTATCTTGAATAAAAAAAAGTGTAATATTTATAATTTAATAAATATTGATAAAAATTAAAAAAATATCTAAAGAGTATTTGCAAATTAATTAGAAATTTAATTAATAATTGATTTTAGATAATAACTTAAAATTGTTTAAAAAAATATAAATTCAATATAAGTTTTTGTGTTTAATAATTCTATGCATTTATAAAACAAAATAAATTGTATTTACATTCAATGTCTATTAAACTATTTATAATTTTTATATATATCAATATATATTATATGTTATAAAATCAATAAAAAATATAACATAAATTTATTTTTCAAATTAATTATGCAAATTGTTGTTAGAAATAAATATTTATCGTATAAATTATTAAAAAAAACCAAACAATAATTTTTAATAATACTAATAATAATACTAATAATAATACTAATAATAATACTAATAATAATACTAATAATAATACTAATAATAATACTAATAATAATACTAATAATAATACTAATAATAATACTAATAATAATACTAATAATAATACTAATAATAATACTAATAATAATACTAATAATAATACTAATAATAATACTAATAATAATAATACAATTTGGATATTCATAGCCATAATGTTTAAGCAATCAATATCTATAAAATTATTTAATATTAGAAAATCAATAAATATATTATTACTGACCTGGATACTAATGTCCAATGTATTGACCGCATCATATTCTGGTAAAATATTATCAATGATTACAATCAGAGATACATTCAAAATCAATACATTTTCACAACTATTTGATGAAGTTAGTGATGGTAAACTAAAATTAGTCTACAAACTACCCGGATATCTATTAAGTGAATTAACAGTAATTATTTATTTATTTTAATTTTTTGTAATTAAAAATTATATTATTAGTAACCAAACAAAAAACCAGTAATATTTTTATTTATTTAAAAAAAACTAAATTAATATTATTTTTTAAAAACTATGTTAATATTATTTTTTTAAAACTAAATAAATATTATTTTTAAAAACTAAATTAATATTATTTTTTAAAAAACTAAATTAATATTATTTTTAAAAAACTAAATTAATATTATTTAAAAAAAACTAAATTAATATTATTAAAAAAAAAACTAAATTAATATTATTTAAAAAAACTAAATTAATATTATTTTTTTAAAAAACTAAATTAATATTATTTTTTTAAAAAAACTAAATTAATATTATTATTTTTTTAAAAAAACTAAATTAATATTATTTTTTATGCACACAAATTTTCATAGTATCTCAACAATAAACAAAATTTAGAATTAGTTGAAAAAAATTCTGTCCAAATAGGAAATAGTAAATAATCGTTGTTTGAATATTTTAATAGACCTGGCTATTCAATATTACAAGATGAACCTAGATTATTATATGGATTAATGTTGACAAATAATACTAGAAATTATTATTTACCCGAACAACAAAATAACCATGGTGATACATCATTGATATCGATTATGACCAGTGTTGTTATTAATAAACATTTCCGATATAATAATAAAGTTAAACAATTGTTAGTATTTATATATTATTATATATGTTTTAAAATTAAAATTATTTTTATATAAATTAATTTTTATTTTTGTCTATGATAAAAATACAATTATTAATTACCAGGGTACATCAGATTATTTGTTGCGGTCTAATTGAACCATGGTCAAATTATATATGGATACCAACCGTTGATTTGCTACCAAAATTTACTAAATTAAAAATTGAAAATTTTCTAACAATATTTCAATTGTCAACAATATTTATATTGATTACTATAATAATATTTATGTTTGAATTATTAAAAAATTTGTAAACTATTGTATTATTAACTACTAACAAATTATTGTATTATTATATATAATTATCAAATAAATTATTTTATTAATATTAAATTTTAATAATAATAAAGAATTTTTTTGAAAAAAAGAAAACATTTAGAATAAAATTTAGATTTTTTAAAATTTCTTTTTAAAAATTTTTATTTTAAACAAAATTAATTATAATGAATATCATTAACATTGCTAACAAATAGTGTAATCAAGTTTTATTAAATCTATTTAATATAATTTTATAATACAGTATTAATGTTAGTTATGGTAACCTATGTTATATTGTACTGTATATTCAATTTTAGGCCACAATCACGTGTGTGTATGTATGTGTGTATGTGTGTATGTGTGTATGTGTGTATGTGTGTGTATATGTTTATGTGTGTGTATGTGTGTGTGTGTGTGTGTGTGTATGTGTATATGTATATGTTTATGTGTGTGTATATGAAATGTATTGCAATTTTTGTATAAAATATTAAGCAATTATTTTTTTAGTCAATCAATCAATCAATCAATGGGTCAAACATTTTACTAACGATTACTATTCATTATTATTGCACTTATAGTACATTTGATATACAAATCAATTGAAAATACTATTACTATTAAAAAAATACAATTTTTTTAATAATCAATTATTTTTCTTAAATAAAACTTTTTTATTATTTGTGGATCAGTTTGCATATGTAAAGTGATGGCCGACGATAATGTTAACAACGATGAGGTGATATAATCATATAAATTATAATTAATTAATTAATATTAAAATTAGTTATTAAAGTATAGGATATTTATTAATATATGATATTATATATATATGTTTATTAAAAGGTAACCACCGATGATGTTGTTGTTGTGGTGGACAACGAGTTATATCCTGAAGTGGATCTCCTAATGAATGCCTACGACGACTGTGACGTCCAGTTTGTAGTCGATGGCCAATCAATTCCGGCGCACAAACTGTTTATGCGGGCCAAGAGTCAAGTATTTCGGTCAATGTTTTCCGGCCAATGGCTTGAATCGGATGGCAAACCGATTGAGATCCGCGATACCACTCCCGAGGCATTCAAAGTAATGGTCGGTTATATATATACCGAACATTTGATGTTCAGCGACGACAACGGCGGCGGCAAAGATATGGATCACATCCGGGATGTACTCAAACTCGCCGATAGATATCAATTGAAACGACTGATGGCAAGTGTTGGCCAACATTTGATATCAATGATATCGATGGACACAATTGAAGTGATCGGCCGATTGGCATTTGATTACCAATTGGTGGAACTGATTGCCAGATTGAAGTCATTCATTGACCAGAATTTCAAACAATTGATCGGTAAATCGCAGCCTGAATTGAATTCAATCAATACGGCTGTCAATAATCTATTGTTTGAAAAGTTGTTTTCAAATTATCGGTCAATTAAACAATGGACAACAATATAGTTATACTCCTTCTGGATATACGGCCGGTACAGTCAAAGACATTGATTTTAGTAATTATTAATTGATTTATGAAATTAATTAATATTAAAAAAAATTTCTCAATTACAATAATTTTGTCTAAATATTATTATTATTATTATTATTATAAAAAATATAGTCAATTATAAATAATAATAAAAAAAATTTTAATAACACAATTACCAGTTATAATATTTTGGCTTTAAAATTATTGTATTTATAATTGATGATATATTAATATATATGATATATAACCAGTATTATTTTAAAATAATAATAGTAAATAATAGTAAAAAATAAAAAAAACAATGTAATAGTATTGAATAAATCTATTTCTATTTTTAATTTATTATTTATTTTATTAATTTGAAATAAATATTTTCATTTTAATACAAAATAATTAATTATTAATAATAATATAGAATTTTGTCTTTATTTTTTTTTAATTAATTAAATACAATAAATATATTAAATAGTATAGAAATGTATGTATAGTTCAATGTTAGGCCCCAATCATGTGTTGTGTGTGTAAAATATATTGCAATTATTGCACCAAAATATTAAGCAATCAATTGAATCAAATTAATGGATCAAACATTTAGTAATTATTTTTTTATTTAAAAAAATCATAAGATATTGCATTGCATATGATATACGATATACAAGTAATAATAATAATAATAATATAATTATTATTTGTTATAAAGATTTTGTATGCCTTTTGAAGTGACCGCTAATCCTGTGATTGAATTGCGATGAAATTGCTATCAATTTGTTTGTGAAATCATTTCCTGTCTATTATTATTAATAATAATTATTTTTTATTTGGTATTTAGTTTAGCCATTGATTTCAAACAATTAATAATACATTTCAATTGTTTTTTTTTTAATATATTCAGTTAATCAACTAATATTTTGAACGCAATTTGAATAATAAAAAACTTTTTTTTTAAAGATTTTTTTTCGTCGATCAGTATATTATAGTAATGATGGCCAGTGTTAACAAAAAGATGGTATTTATTAATAAAAAAAATAATATAAAGTTTTTATTTAATAATAATATTTACAAACTTTTTTGTTTTATTTTTATAATTATTATATTAAGCGAACCACTGATGTTGTGGACAATGAATTGTATCCCGAAATGGATCTCCTGATGAACTCCGAGGTAAGTGATGTCAAGTTTGTAATCAATGGCCAAACGATTCCGGCAATCAAAGCCTTGATGTCGGCCAAGAGTGTTGTGTTTCGGTCAATGTTTTCGGGCAAATGGCTTGAATCAGGTGGCAAACCCATTGTCATCAAATACACTACTCCGGAGGCGTTCAAAGTAATGATCGGTTTTATATATACCGAGCAATTGATGCTCAACAACGACAAAGACATCGATCACATCCGGGATGTACTGAAACTCGCCGACAGATATCAATTGAAACGATTGATTCAAAGTTTGGTCCGACTATTGATACCATTGATAACTATGGATAACCTGGAAGTGTTGGCCCGTTTGGCGTTTACCTATCAATTGGATGCAGTGATCGGCAAAATTAAGATATTTATTGATGAAAATTTCCAGCAATTGGTCCGAAAACCAGAATCAGAATTGTATTCAATCAATACAGCCGTCAATAATCTATTGTTTAGTAAATTGTTTCGAAATTATAGGTCAATGAAAGATATGATACCATCGACTAATATTTATTATAGTAATAGCATTTCTAACTATTATCAATATAAAATCAATGGACAACAATATACTGTTCCCGGATATAGTACCGGTACAGTCAAAGACATTGATTTCAGAAAATTTTAATTTGATTTAATTATTAATTAATTACAAATTTTCCACATTTACAATATATTTCATCTAATAATTATTATTATTTAAAATAGTTAATGTTAATTTTTTTTAAATAATAATACAATTACCAGTTATATAATATGATTTAACAATTATTGTACTAAAATTAATGATATATATGTTACCAATACTTTTTTAGATTAATATTTAAATACTATATACTGTATAATAAATAAAACATATTATATTTGTGTTAATTGAAATAAATGTTTTCAATTAAATAAAGTTTTAAAAAAAACTAATAATTATCAATTATTAACATAATTTTGTCTTTAATTTCTTTAATTTTTAAAAATAAATTAATTAAATACAATAAATATATTAATAGTATAGTAATGTATGTTTAGTTCAATGTTAGGCCCCAATCACGTGTTGTGTGTATGAAATGTATTGTAATTATTGCCAACAAATATTAAGCACTCAAATAAATGGGTCAAACATTTAGTAATTATTTGTTTTTTAAATCATAAGACATTGTATTTCATATGATATACGATATACAGTAATAATAATAATAATAATTAAATTATTATTATTTGTTTTAGTTTATTAAAGTTTTTGTATGCCTTTGAAGTGACCGCTAATCGTGTGATTTGCGATGAAATTGCAATCAATTTGTGTGTGAAATCATTTCCTGTATATTATTATTATTATTAATAATTTTTTATTTGGTGTTTAGTTTAGCCATTGATTTCAAACAATCAATAATACATTTCAATTGATTTATTATATTTTGATCACTATTTGAATTTAAAAAAACTTTTAAAAGATTATTTTTGTTGATCAGTATATTATAGTAATGATGGCCAGTGTTAACAAAAAGATGGTATTTATTAATAAAAAAAAATAATATAAAGTTTTCTTTTAATAATAATATTTACAAACTTTTTTGTTTTTTTAATAATTCTATTAGGTTCTTGTAGCGTTTACCGGTCCTGGGAATCCCGTATAGTGATGGTGGCCCAGACCTCCCTGAGTACCCCCATAGCACTTTCATACCTGTCCGACCTCCGCAATTTGAGATATTCGACTTTAAAGTCGATTTTTTTAATGGACGTTATTTATGTATATGAGAAATTATTTCAATGTACTTTTTAATGCTACTAATATATCTGAAAACAAAATTTCAATACGATTTCTAGTATTCGAGATATTCGACTTTAAATCGAGTAAAAATTATTTGCAGTATAAACCAGTTGAGAATTCTAGAAAGCATTTCCATACGTACTTTTTTAGGAGTTCGTGATAAAAGTATTATTTGTTTATAGTACTATAAAATATTATCATGATTTAACAAACTTATCATTCAAGTCTAGCATTGCCAAAAATATTATCAAATTGCATATTAATTTTACACACAATTAACAATAATAAATTTATACATTTAATAAAATAAATAATATACAGTAAAAATAATAATTAAATGCAATATACAAAAAAATCGACTATAGTCGAATATCTCGAATACTATATAACTTATAGAAATGTTGATTTTATTATGATAGTTATTATTAAAAAATACATTGAAATCATATATCATATGTATAAATAACGTAATTTAAAAATTTCGACTTTCGATTTAGTCAAATATCTCGAATACTAGAAATCGTATTGAAATTTTGTTTTCAGATATATTAGTAGCATTAAAAAGTACATTGAAATAATGTCTCATATACATAAATAACGTCCATTAAAAAAATCGACTTTAAAGTCGAATATCTCAAATTGCGGAGGTCGGACAGGTATGAAAGTGCTATGGGGGTACTCAGGGAGGTCTGGGCTACCATCACTATACGGGATTCTCAGGACCGGTAAACGCTACAAGAACCGTGTTTCGGGCCATGTTTTCGGGCCAATGGCTAGAATCGGGCGGCAAACCAATTGAGATCCGGGACACCACTCCGGAGGCGTTCAAAGTTATGATCGGTTTCATATATACCGAGCAATTGATGCTTAAAGATAATGACAAACCCATCGATCACATCAGGGATGTACTGAAACTCGCCGATAGATATCAATTGAAACGATTGATACAAAGTTTGGGCCAACCATTGATATCATTGATAAGTATGGATAAACTCGAAGTGTTGGGACAATTGGCGTTTACCTATCAATTGGACGATCTGATTGCTAAACTAAATATATTTATTGATGAAAATTTCCAGCAATTGATCCAAAAACCAGAATCTGTATTGAATTCAATCAATACAGCCGTCAATAATCTATTGTTTAGTAAATTGTTTCAAAATTATAGGTCAATGAAAACTATGATACCATCGACTAATAGTTATTTTAGTAATAGCTATACATACTATTATCAATATAAAATCAATGGACAACAATATACTACTACCGGTAATCCCGGTTTAGTCAAATACATTGATTTCAGTAAATTTTAATTTGATTTAATTTATCAATTAATTGGAATTTTTTTCATTTACAATAATTTTATCTAAATATTATTGTTAGCAAATAATTAATGTGATTTTTTTTTATAAAAAAAATAATAATACAAATACCAGTTATATAATATGATTTACAATTATTGTATTAAAATTAATGATATATATATATTACAAATATTTTTTTATATTAATATTTAAATACAATATACTGTATATAATAAATCAATATCAATAATATAGTACTGAATAAATAAAAGAAAAAATTATTTAAAATAAGACGATTAAATTTAATTTAATTAATTATTATTAACTAATCATTGATATTATAACAATGTAGTGAATGTACGAAAAATAAAAATATTAATTCAATATATTATTATTATGCTCATTATGTAATGATTTGATAGTTATAGCAATTATATAAATCATTAAATATTTTTTTCAATAAATTATTAAGTAATATAGTTATACAATATATACATTATATAACATGGGTTATAAATATCTAACATTTTTAGTATAATAGATTTGATAAATATTTAATAGTTTAATATTAATAAAAAACAAACAAACAAATATACATTAGATTATAATTGAAAATTATATGATTTGGTTATATTTATTAATTAATTAATTAAATATTAATACAATTAATTTTAACATCAATTAATTATTTATTAAAATCAAACACACATACTAAACAATATTTTTTTTAGAAATAATAATCAGTTACAATAAATCGTTAATAATTATATGATTAAAAAAATATACAAAAACAATTTTAAATTTTTTTTATTAACTAATTAAATGAGAAAAAAAAGTTTTAATTAAACAAAATTTAATTTCTCAATAATAATAATAATAAAATAATGTTTTTAATATTTAGTTGAATCAATTTCAATTAAATCACCAAAACCAACATCGATAATGCTATTGATATAAATATTACCATTAATTTTATATTTATTAATATAGCCATAAGTGTTTGTCAATGGTTTAGATATGATATGTTTGATTGACCTATAATTTCGAAACAATTTACTAAACAATAGATTATTGACGGCTGTATTGATTGAATTCAATTCAGATTCTGGTTTTTGGATCAATTGCTGGAAATTTTCATCAATAAATATCTTTAGTTTAGCAATCAGATCGTCCAATTGATAGGTAAACGCCAATTGGCCCAAAACTTCCAGTTTATCCATACTTAGCAATGGTATCAATGGTTGGCCCAAACTTTGTATCAATCGTTTCAATTGATATCTATCGGCGAGTTTCAGTACATCCCGGATGTGATCGATATCTTTGTCGTTGTTGAGTATCAATCGTTCGGTATATATGAAACCCAGCATCACTTTGAACGCCTCCGGAGTGGTGTCCCGGATCTCAATCGGTTTACCGCCCGATTCAACCCATTTGCCCGAAAACATTGACCGAAATACAACACTTTTGGTGGACATAAGCGCTTTGATTGCCGGAATCGTTTGGCCATTGATTACAAACTGGACATCACTTACCTCTGGGTTCATCAAGTGATGCATTTCGGGATACAAGTCATTGTCCACAACAACAACAACAACATCAGTGGTTCGCTTAATATAATAATTATAAAAACAAAAAGTTTTTAAAATTATTATTAAAAAAAACTTTATATTATTTTTTTTTATTAATAAATACCATCTTTTTGTTAACACTGGCCATCATTACTATAATATCCACTGATCCACAAAAAAAATTCTTTAAAAATTTTTTTTTTAATTATTTAAATTGTGTTAAAAAATATATAATAAATCAATTGAAATGTATTATTGATTGTTTGACATCAATGGCTAAACTAAACACCAAATAAAAAATTATTATTATTATTCTTAATAATAGACAGGAAATGATTTCATTAACAAATTGATTGCAATTTCATCGCAAATCAATCACACGATTATCGGTCACTTCAAAGGCATACAAAAACTTTATAACAAATAATAATTATATTATTATTATTATTATTACTACTACTACTACTACTACTACTACTAATATATCGTATATCATATGAAATGCAATGTCTTATGATTTTTAAAAAATAAAAATAATTAGCAAATGTTTGACCAATTTATTTGATTCAATTGATTGCTTATTTGATTTGAATCAATTCAAAAATTTAATATTTACTGTAATCATGTAATAATGTCTTTGACTAAACAAATAATAATTATATTATTATTATTACAGTATATCATATGAAATGCAATGTCTTATGATTTTTTTAAATAAAAAAATAATTACTAAATGTTTGACCCATTAATTTGATTCAATTGATTGCTTAATATTTTGTTGGCAATAATTGCAATACATTTTACACACATAACACGTGATTGGGGCCTAACATTGAACTAAACATACATTACTATACTATTTAATATATTTTAATGTATTTAATTAATTTATTTTTAAATAAAAATAGAAATTAAAGTCAAAATTTAAAATTATATTAATTGGATCCAATCGCCAAACTAATGATATTTATTGATGAAAATTTCAAACAATTGATCCAAAAAAAAACCAGAATAATCTGAATTGTATTCAATCAAAACATAATAATTATTTTTTTAAAAAAATAGATTTTATTGAAAATTTGTTTTTAAATGTTTAAATATCTATAAATATCTCTTTATAAAAATATTATCTGAATTATTTGTTATAATTTTTTTTTAAAAAAAAGTTTATTTATAGATATTTATAATAAGCTATTTTAAAACAAGATAATAATCAAATAAAAAATATGTTACTTCAAAAAATTAATTGATTTAATTAATTATCAATAGTAATCATTATTATTATTATTATCAATAGTAATAATAATTATTAATATTCAGTCTACATATAGCATTGATATTAAATATGAGTGATTAAATTGATTGCAACAAATGTAATCAACAAAAACAATACTACAAATAATACACACACACACAAAAAACAATATATAATAAATTGATATATATTTAGTATATAATAAAATTTGATTTTTTTTTAATCTTTTTTTTTTGACTTTTTTTAGATAAATTTTTTACGTTTTTTTTAATCAATTAAATTAAAATATTTAGAATAAATATCCAATTCATTATAATATTCGTTGAAATCATTTATTATATTATAAATATTTAATTAATTAATTAATTAGTAATAATTAATAATAACAATCGAGTTGTTTTAAAAAATAACAAAATTATAAAATACTAACAAATGTTTTTTTGTATTATTTGTTTTCTCTATTCATTAATAATTAATTATAAAAATAATATTTACTGTAAATAATATATCAATTTTTAAATGTTTTTAATTTGACATTTGTTGCAATCATTTTAATCAATTGTCTAGACTCTGAGTATAACTAATTTTAAAATATTATCTCTATTGAAAAAAATTATAATTTTTTAAATATGTATATATATAGCATAAGTATATTTTATTTAATTATAATAATAAAAAACTGTTAAAATAAATTTTTATTGGAAATCAAATAATAAATAATAACTACAATTGTGTTAATTATAATAAAACAAACAAAAAAATGTTGAAAATTATTAGTTTAATTACAGTATTGTTGTCGATATTGTTAAGTATATTACAACCGGTTAATGGTATAGGAGCTGGATCAGCGGGTGCTGCCGGACACGCTGGTCGAGTAGGCTCAGCTGGCCAGGCAGGTGGACCCAGACAACCGGGTACTGATGGACATCCGGGTACTGATGGAACCAATGGCGGACCCGGCGGTTACGGTTGTCCCGGTGGACCAGGCGGTGCCGGTGGTGTAGGCGGTGCTGGAGGTGCGGGCGGTGCTGGTGGACCGGGCGGATCGCAACCGGGAGGTCGGGGTGGATTGGGTGGCAAGGGAGGACTGGGTGGTAAAGGTGGTAAAGCGGCACCGGGTTGTGTTCGCGGACCGGACGGTATTCGTGGGAAATCGGGAGTTCCTGGTCCTCCCGGTGCTCCAGGACCTGCTTAAATGATTTATATTAGTATATATTAATTATATTATATTACATTAATATATAATTATAATTGTTAAAATGTTGTCTTAAATTTTAATTAATTGATAATTTATAAATTGAATTAAATATAATAATATACTGTATATACAGTATATGTATATTGATATTAAAATGTTATTAATTTTATCTCATTGTTAATTGTAAACAATTGTTTGTTTTTTAATTAATTATAATTTAAATAAAATAATATTAACTGATTCTCAATCTGTTTTCATAATATATTATTTTATAATTTTATTGATAAAAAATTTTCAACAATTGATTCACAAAAAAGTAGTATTTATGAAATTGTATCAAAATTATTGGTCAAAATCAAAAATATCTTATCCGAGTCGTCAATGATAAACAATTATATTAATCTTTAATAAATATATAATCATTTTTTTATAACATTTTATTAGAGATTATCTAAATTTTTAGAAATAATTTATCTATAAATAAATTCTACAATAATTAATTAGTTATTAATTAATTCTTACTATTAATAAAAATAAATTTAATTAACAATATAAAAAACATACAAATTTCAATAGCAATTAATTAGTTATAAAAATTATTTACAAAATTATTTTGTTTAATCTATAATAATTAATTGAAAAAAATGTTTTAATCTAATCTATCAAATAGATTTTTTTTTATTAGAAATTTGTTTTAAATGTTTACATAATTATATCTAAAAAATATATATTAAAAATATCTGAAATATTTGTTATAATTTTTTTTCAAAAAAATAAAATTTATTTAAAGCTATTTATAATAAGCTATTTAAAGACAAGTTAATTAACCAAAAATAATAATTTAATAAAAATATGTTACTTTCAAAAAATTAAAAAAAATTATTAATTAATTATCAATAGTAATAATAATTATTATTATTTATAATATATGAGTGATTAAATTGATTGCAACAAAAACAATACTAACAAAAATAATAAATTCATATATATTTGAAATAATGATAAAAGTGTAAATTTAAAATAAAATAATATTTTTATTACATTTTATACATTTTTATGGATAAATTATTTTTTAAAAATTTTTTTATCACAAATATTTTTAATTTATTTCTATTTGATCGTCCAATTCATTATGACATTCGTCGAAATTATTAATTATATTATTTATTAATTATGAAATCGATATCGAAATACTAGAAAGAGTGTAATTATAATAATTAAAATTAAGATGTTTTTTTAAAATAACAAAATTATAAAATAATTATATTAACAAATGTTTTTGTATTGTTTTTAATTGTTTTCTCCACTTAAAGTTAATAATAATAATAATAATAATATTTACTGTAAATAATATATCATTTTTTAAATGTTTTTAATATGACATTTGTTGCAATCATTTTAATCAATTGTCTAGACTCTAATAAATAATAAATAATTATAATTTTTTAATATATATAGCATAAGTATATTTTATTTAATTATAATATATAATAAAATTGTTAAGAAAAAAATTACTATTGGAAATCAAATAATAATAAATAATAACTACAATTGTATTAATTAAAACACTAACAACAACAAAAAAATGTTGAAAATTATTAGTTTAATTACAGTATTGCTGGTGTTATCGTTAAGTATATTACAATCGGTTAATGGTATAGGACCTGGATCAGCGGGTGCTGCCGGACACGCTGGTCGAGTAGGCTCAGCTGGACAGGCAGGTGGACCCAGACAACCGGGTAAGGATGGACAAGCGGGTACCGATGGGACAGATGGCGGACCCGGTGGTTACGGTTGTCCCGGAGGACCTGGTGGTGCCGGTGGTGTAGGCGGTGCTGGTGGAGCGGGCGGTGCTGGTGGACCAGGCGGATCGCAACCGGGAGGTGCGGGTGGATTGGGTGGTAAGGGAGGCCTGGGCGGTAAAGGTGGCGACGCTGCACCCGCTTGTGTTCGGGGACCGGACGGTATCGATGGTATAGCTGGTGTTCCTGGTCCTCATGGAGCTCCAGGTCCTCCTTAAATAATATTTTTATTCCCAACTAATTGTTAATTATTTTTTTTGTTTTTAAAAAAATAATTTATTGAAACTTCAATCTAAAACATTATTTTAAAGTTATGTTATTTTTTTTTTAAAATTAAGTATTTATAATACTGTATTATTTTTTTAACTGTTAAAAATCATTTTTTTGTGCTTATATTTTATTTGAAAAAAATTTGTTAATTTGTTAATTAATTAATTAATCATAATTTTTATAATTTGTCGAATTAAAATGCTAAAACTTTAACAAATATTTACTATTAATTAATTGATAAGATATTATTTTTTTTTTAAAAAAAAACTTTACTACAAAATACTTTTACTAATTAAAATAATTTACATAATTATTCTAAATTATTGGTAAAATTGTAAAGTTTTAGGTGATTAAAAAATAGTAGTAAAAAATATATATTAATATTATAGTTTATTAATTAATAAAACTAATTCATACAATTATTTAATAAATTTAATAAACTCTAATTACTATATTATTAATGTGTTTTATTTCTAATTATTAACTTTAATTATTATAATATCTGAGATAAAATAGTAATTGTTTTTTTGCAATAAATAAATGAAAACAATTTTATAATATATATTATTATTATTAAAATATATATATATATATTTCATTTTAGAATTGATATACTATTTAAGTGATTACATTGATTGCAACAAATGCGACCAACAACAAACAAACAATATTACAATAAATAATATATTTAAAAACAATATATTATATGAGAAAATTGTATTTTTTTAAATTGTCAAAAAAATATTTTTGTATTTTTTCAAATATTTTTTCTTTCACTTAAATTAAAATATTTTAATTTTATTTATCTGATTATATTATTCAATTTAGTTATAACATTTTTTGTTGAAATGATTTATTAATAATAAATTACTCGCTAATTAATCAAAATGCTATGAAACTGTAATAATTATAATAATATTAATATTAATAAGGTTTTTTAATGGCAAAAAATTTTAATATAATTATATTAACAAATGTTTTTGTATTGTTTTTTTTGTTTCACAGTTTAAGTAAATATTTACTGTAATATATCATTAGTCATACATATTATATTGTTTATGACATTTGTTATGCAATTACCTGTATATATATATATGTAATCATTTGACTAAATAAAAAGTTTCCTTTAATTTTTACAATAAACATATGCATAGTAACTAAAAAAATCAAATATATATATTTATTAAATTTCTAGTGAAATATTAAAAAATGTTTTTTTTTATTTCTAGTTAAATAATTGTAATAATACTATACAACTCAATATACAATTTAATATATAAAAAATTATTATAAAATAGTTATATTAACTAATGATTAACTAAAACTAAAGTAAATGTATTTTTAATGTAAACAATATATCATGTTTATGAAAAACAATTGTTGCAATCAATTATTAATAATCACTGTCTAGACAACTATGAGACTAAATACAGTAATTTATTAGATTTATTACAATTATTATTATGATGTCATTATATAAAAAAAATAATCATAATTTTTACGATTACTATTTAAATGACTGGTAATTAAAACTAGTAGTTAAACGTTATTTAATAATAATAAAAATTTAGTAAAAAAAATAATAATAACTACTATTCAAAAATTTTGTGTATTCAAAAAAATAAATAAAATAAAATGTCGAAAATTATTAGTTTAATTACTGTATTGGTGTTATCGGTAATTGTATTGCAATCAGTGGTCAATTGTATAGGACCGGGAGCACCGGGTGCTGCCGGAGGTCCGGGATCAGTTGGCTCACCCGGACAAACAGGCGGTCCGGGACAAGCGGGAACCGATGGCGGCGCCGGCGGACCCGGTATTGATGGCGGACCCGGTGGTTACGGTTGTCCCGGTGGACCGGGCGGTGCTGGCGGTACTGGCGGTGCCGGAGGACCGGGCGGTGCTGGCGGACCGGGTGCACCGGGAGGTAAGGGTGGACAGGGTGGTGCCGGTGGTCAGGGTGGAAAAGGTGGCGGCGCTCCAGCCGGTTGTGTTAGCGGACCGGACGGTGCCAATGGTCAAGCGGGTGTATCGGGTCCTAACGGTGCTTCGGGATAACCGTTTTTTTTTTGCTAATGTTTTTATTTAGTTATTATTATTATTATTATTATTATATATTTTTTTTGTTATTGAAATATTCAAAAAACTTTATCTCTAAATATTATACATTTTAATTATTATTATTATTATTTAATTAATTTATAATTACTTGAATAGTTGTGTTATTATTATTTTTATTTTAATTGTTGTTAAAATTATATTATTTTTATTTTTATTTGTTATAAATTTCAGATTCAAAATTTAGTATTTATTTTTTTTTGTTAATTTTTTTTAATTAATAATTATTATTTGATAATCTAAAAATAATTTACAAATTGAATTAATATTATATTATATATATATATATATTGATATTAAAAATGTTACGAATTTTTTACACAAAAAATTAATGTATTTAAAAAACTTTGTTTTAATAAAAATTTTTAAAAAATAATAATAATTTGATCTTTTTTTAAATGATTATTTACTTTTATTTAACTCAATCATATAATATTATTATTTTTTGTTGAGTTTAACCTTAAAATATATATTTTTAAATAAATATTTAGATTAATTATATATAATTGCTAAATAATAATCATTTAAAAAATTTTTTTATATAAAAACAAAACAAAAAATGTTTATTTTAGTTAAAGATATTGTATTTTATCTAAAAATTATTTTTTTTATTTAAAAAATTTATGTTTATTTTCACTCATCTCTATATGCTATTTGCCAATACAATTGAATTTAATTTTTTTTGAACACATTTATATTTTTATCACAACAAATAGTATCTAAACTTTTACCAAAAATTTTTTTAATAAACTATATTTTAAAAATAAATAAATTTCAAATTTATTTATTGATACTATTTATGGTAATAACACCGTTAAAAATATTATATACAGTTTGATATTAAATTTGTTATAGATATAAATTTTCCAGGAAATTTCCATAAATCAGGGAATATTAGGGAACTTTTTTTAGTGGTAAAAATTGGGAACTATTACGGAAATTTACTTTCGAAACTTATGGTTATCAAACAACAACAACAACACAAAAAAATTGTAATCAAAAAACATTTTTATTAATCATTTACTAGACTCTGTAACTACTCTACAAACAAACTTCAAAAAAAATTTTCCAACCCTAATAATTATAATCGTGTTTTATTTTTATTTTTATATATATATATATATATATATATATTGAATAACAAAATTATTAGTAATTAATTAGTAATAAATGTTATTTAGATATTTTTTTTGTTATTGTTAAAGTATTGTAAATATATATATATATACCGGTATATACCGGTATATACTGTATATAAATATATGATTAGTTGAATTGTTTATTAAAAACAATTGTTGTAATTAATTATTATTAATAATCACCTATTTATAGACTGTTGTTATGTATGAGACATTAATGTATTATAGTATTAATGTAAATGTAATTTTAATAATTATGTAATTTATTAGAGATTATTATTATTACTATTAACATCAAAATAATAATAATGATTTTTTTTACTATTTAATGTCTAGTATTTTTTATTTTATTAGTTAATAATAATAATAATAAATTAGTTAAAATATAAATTACTACTAATAAAAAAATTATATTTTTTGTTGAATTGTTTCAAAATTATTTATATAATAATAATAATTAGTAATTTTTTTTTTAGTTAGAAATGTCGAAAATTATTAGTTTAATTCCTGTATTAGTGTTGTTTGTATCGGTAATTGTATTACAATCAGTGGCCAATGGTATAGGACCGGGAGCACCGGGCGCTGCTGGAGGTCCGGGTGCAGCAGGCCGATCTGGCCAGGCAGGCGGACCCAGACAACCGGGTACGGATGGCGAAGCAGGCGGTAATGGAGTTGATGGCGGACCCGGTGGTTACGGTTGTCCGGGAGGAGCGGGCGGTGCTGGCGGTACGGGCGGTGCTGGCGGACCGGGCGGTGCTGGCGGTACAGGCGGATCGCCGCCTGGCGGACAGGGTGGATTGGGTGGTAGGGGCGGACTGGGCGGGAGAGGTGGCAGCGGTGCACCCGGTTGTGTGGCAGGAGTGGACGGTGCCGCTGGTTTGGCGGGTGCAGCCGGTCCTCATGGAGCTACAGGGCCTCCTTAAATGTGATTTAGTAATTTTAGTAATTTTTTATATGATATTAAACTTAAAAATAATATTATTTTAATTTTTAAAAATTTATTTTTTTTTCTCATACACATAGATACAATTTTTTTTATAAATGTTTAGTTAACTAATTAATTAATTTTTTTTTGTTAATTATAAATTTTGTAAAATTGAATTGAATTTAATAATATACTGTTTGTTTGTATATTTATATATTTAAAAAAAATATTACTATAATTTTTTTTATTAATTAAATTAATGTTTTTTAAAACTTTTATGTTTTTATTGTGTAGTAATTAATACCAAAAATAATTACCAAAAAAATAAAATCAAATCAAAATATTAATCAAAAATTTGTTTTCAATTTTTCTTTTCATTATATAAAATCAAAATTTTTGTTATTTTTAAATTTTTAGATATTTAAAAAAAAATTATATAAAATTCTTTAGCATTTATTAATATAATTATTTGTTTTATACTTTAGTTTCAAAATATAAATATCAATATATATAAATAGTTATTAATTTAAAATTAAATATAAATTTAAATACAAGATAATTAATTTAAATAGTTATATTAATGTTAAGACTTATATTTTTTAAAAATAAATTGTTTATTAATATATTTATTATTATATTTATAGAATATTTAGAGTAATAGAAAAAATATTTTATATTATTATTATAATTGCAACTAATATTACATAAAAAATTTCATTGAAATATTTATTTTTAATTCAATAAATAACACCATTCAATATATAAAGTTTAATTTTAATTTTATTGATTTTTTGTGGAAAATTAATTGATTGGGAAATAATAGTTATCAGTAAACTTAGTTTATTTGGAAAAAAATATTATTTTTGTTTTGTTTTTTTGTGTTTAGTAAAAATTAGCAAATAGTAAATATTTATTGTAAATATATAATAATTTTTTATTGTTTATTCATATTTTATATTTATTGTCTAGACTGGCTATGAGATTGTATTACAATATATATATATACAACAATATAATATGTAATATATATATATAAATAATAAAAATTATTTAATTTATTATACGTTAGTCTATTACTATTCAAATAATTTATTATTAACTAAAAAAAATAAATAAATAATAATAATCATGATTTTTATTTACTATTTAATGTACAGTATTTATTATATAGTACTGTATGTATAAAAAAATTTTGTTATTTAATAATATTTATTATTATTATTTTAGTTAAAATTACTACAATTTAATTAATTAATTAATTAACAACAAAATGTTGAATATTATTAGTTTGGTTACAGTGTTGTTGTTATTGTTAATTTGTATTGTATTACAAGTGAATGGTATAGTAGGACAGGGAGTTGCCGGAGTTGCCGGGGTTGCTGGTGTGGCCGGTGTGGCCGGTGTGGCCGGGGTTGCCGGTGTTGCTGGTGGTCCCAGCCGACCGGGTACCGATGGAACCGATGCAACCTCCGGAACCGATGGAACCGCCGGAACCGATGGCGGTTACGGTTGTCCCGGCGGAGCTGGCGGTGCCGGTGGAGCGGGCGGTGCCGGTGGAGCGGGCGGTGCCGGTGGAGCGGGCGGAGCTGGCGGACCGAGTGGATTGCAAGGACGGGGCGGATTGGGCGGCAAGGGAGGCCTGGGTGGAAAAGGTGGCGGCGCTGCACCCGGTTGTCTGGCCGGTTTGGACGGTATCGACGGTATAGCGGGAGTTCCTGGTCATCGTGGTCATCCTGGTGGTCAGGGATTGAATTGAAAAATTTTATTTTATTTTTTTTGTCTAATTATATTGTTGTTATTATTATTATTATTATTATTATTGGAAATTATATATAAATGTTAATATATTTGTTTTTGTTGTTGTTTTTTTTTAAAAAAACTAATTTGTTCAGGTTAAAAAAATAACATATACTTTTTTAGCTTTTTTAAATTAATTTTTAATCATTTTTTTTAAATTGAAATAATAATATTTATATAAACATTATATATATATATTGTATATATAATTATTGATTTTTAAAACTGTTAGTAGATTTTATATACAAATTAATATATAATTTACACAACACTTTGTTGTCAATTAAAAAAATAAAATTCAAATAAAATATCCGGAATCTCAATCAAGTTTTTTTTAAAAAAATATTATTTTTAATTTTTAAATTCAATAACATTAAATTTTATTTTTTTTATTTTAACTTTAAAAAAGATTAATTAATCTATAAATATAATTATTATTTTTTTGTTGATAAAATTAATATTTATGTGAAAAAAATGTTTATTTAACTAATAATTTGTATGTTATAATTACAATCTCTATTATTAATTACTAAATGCTGAAAAAATATATATAATTTTATTTATAATAAACAATAATTGTTTATTAAAATGTTATTTATTATTGTTTTCAATAACAAAATTATTATAAAATAATTATTATATTATTACAAATGTTATTTATATATTTTTTGTTAATAAAAAAGTAAAGTAAATATTTATTGTAAATATATATATATATATATATATTATTTAATCTTATATTGTTTATTCACACATTTTCAATTAATGCAATCAATTTTTATTTATTTTTTTAAATTTATTGTCTAGACTGGCTATAATGATATAATATGTAATATCATATATATATACTGTATATACGTTATATAAATAATAATAAAAATTATATTATTGTATATAATTTATTATACATTAGTCTATTACTACTACTATTGAAATAATTTATTATTAATTAAAAATAAATAATAATCATGATTTTTATTTACTATTTAATGTACAGTATTTATTATAGTAGTGTATGTATAAAATTTTTGTTATTTAATAATAAATTAAATTAAATTAATAACAAAATTATTTATTTTTATTTTTTTCAGTTAAAATTACTACTAATTTAATTAATCAAAAAATGTTAAAAATTATTAATTTAAGTACAGTGTTGTTGTTATCGTTAATTGTTGTTATATTACAAACCAATGGTATAGTAGGACAGGTACCAGCCGGTGTGGCCGGTGTTGCCGGAGTGGCCGGTGTTGCCGGGGTTGCTGGTGTTGCTGGTGGTCCCAGACAACCGGGAACGGATGGACAACCGGGTACCGATGGGACGGATGGCGGACCCGGCGGTTACGGTTGTCCCGGTGGTGTTGGCGGTGTCGGCGGTGTAGGCGGTGCTGGAGGAGCGGGCGGTGCTGGCGGACCGGGTGGATTGCAACCGGGTGGTCGGGGTGGTTCGGGTGGCAAGGGTGGACTGGGTGGAAAAGGTGGCGGCGCTCCACCCGGTTGTGTGGCAGGACTGGACGGTACTGATGCTGTAGCGGGAGTTCCTGGTCCTCCTGGTGCTCAGGGATCGGCTTAAAATTTTATTTTATTTTTTTTTGTCTAATTATATTATTATTATTATTATTATTGGAAATTATAAATATAAAAGTTAATCAATTTTGTTATTGTTAAAAACTATAATTTGTTCAGGTTAAAAAAATAACTTTATAAACTTGTTAACTTTTTTTTAATTAAATTAATCATTTTTATTTTTTTTTTGTTTAAATTGAAATAATAATATTTATATAAACAATATATATATTTATATATAATTATTGATTTTTTAAAAAAAATGTTTAATGAATTTTATATTCAAATTATCATAATATAATTTACACAACACTTTGTTGTCAATATAAAAAAAATTAATTGAAATAAAATATCCGATAATATATTGTTTTTTTTTTAAAATCTTAATCTGTTTTTTAAAAATATTATTTTTAACTTTTAAATTCAATGAAATTAAATTTTTAATTTTTAAGCTTATCCATTAAATAAAAATCCACTAATTAATTGAAAAAATGTTTATATATTTAATAATTTTGTATATAAACTATTCTCTCTCTCTCTCTCTTTCTCTTAAATTTATTAATTTTAAGTAAAATAACTTATTGTTTTTTTAAAAAAAATTAAAAACAAATTATAACTCAATAATCTAAACTTTTAGCTAAAAATAATAATAATAATAATAATAATCAAACTAACACTTTATTTGAGTTATTATTTCAAAATTTTTTAAAAATTATACTATAATTTTATTTTATTTTATTAAATATTGTATACAATATTTTAGTAATCATTTTAGACTCTGTAACTACTATTACAAAAATTTTTGTATTTTTCCAACACTAATAATTTACAATCAATAGTTTTTTATGTGTGTGTGAATAACAAAATTATTATTAAATAATTATTTTTAAAAAAAAAATTATTTATTATTTTGTTGTTGTTTGTAGTTAAAGTAAAATAAATATTTATTGTAAATAATATATATATATTGTTTGTTAGTCGTATTGTTTATCCATATATTATTAATTTTTAATTATATAAATGTAATCAATTTTTTTTTAATTTAATTTATAGTCTAGACTTTAGGCTATGAGATTGATTGTAGTACTACTGTACTTATAATAATATATACAACAATAATAATTAATATTATATATATATATATATATATATATATAATTAATTATAAATTAGCCTAAATTATATCATCATCATTCAAAAAAAAAAAAAATAAAATAATTTTTAATTTTACTATTTAATGTACAGTATTTAATAGAAATATTTTAGATTAGTTAATAGTATACATAATTAGTTTGTTAAACTATTTTTATTACAAAAAAAAAAATAAATAAACTAAACTAAACTACTATTTGAATTAATTAATTAATTAATTGGTTTTTTTAATAAAATGTTGAAAATTATTAGTTTAATAACAGTGTTGTTGTCGTTGTTGTTGTCGTTAAATAATGTATTACAAGCCAATGGTTCAGAAGGACCGGGTAGTGTTGGATCAGCTGGCGTTGCCGGTATTGCCGGCTCAGCTGGCCAGTCGGGTGGACCCAGACAACTGGGTTCGGATGGACAACCGGGTACCAATGGAACAGATGGCGGACCGGGTGGTTACGGTTGTCCCGGAGGATCGGGCGGTGCCGGTGGTGTAGGCGGTGCTGGAGGAGCTGGCGGTGCTGGTGGACCGGGTGGATCGCAACCGGGTGGTCAGGGTGGATTGGGTGGCCGGGGAGGACTGGGCGGAAAAGGTGGCAACGGTGCACCCGGTTGTGTTCGGGGATCGGACGGTATCGATGGTATAGCGGGAGTTCCCGGTCCTCCAGGAGCTCCAGGAACGGCTTAAATTTGATTATTTTTTTACTAATTATATTATTATTATTTGAAAAATTAGATCAAAAAGTTAATGAATTTTGTTGTTATTGTTAAAAAAAACTAATTTTGTTCAGGTTAAAAAATAACATAAACTTTGTTAACATTTTTAATTAAATTAATTATTTTTAATCATTTTTATTTTAAATTGAAATAATAATATTTATATATAAACATTATACTGTTTATATATAATTATTGATTTTTAAAAATGTTAAAAATATTAAAAACGGCTTAAATTAAAAAATTAATTAATTTTATTTTTTTTTGGAAATTATAAATATAAAGTTATACTATTTTTTTTATTTGATTGTTATTTAAATTTAAAACTATTTTGTTCAGTGGAAACAATTTATTAACTAAATGGTTATAACTTTTTAATTAATTTATAATAATAATAACAATAATAAAGTTGTGTAAATTTTGAATATTTAATTAAAAAAAATTCATTTTTATTTTATTTTCTTCAATAATAATGTTATTATATGTTAATTAGTGGTCACTAATCAATATACAGGATAAAAAAATAATAATAAATTGTTTCATTTGATTTTCGTTTTGTTAAAATTAATTAAAATAAATTTTTTTAAACATGTTTTCATTAATATCATTGATATTAGCAACTCATTTATGATTATTAGTTTTTTTAAATTTTTAAATTTATAATAATATTATAATTGGGAATATTGTATCTAAAAAAAAAAATTTATAATTTAAATAGTTATTTAATATTTATGATACTAATAATCAATTGTAACTAATCTAGTAATCTAGTAATGGCCAACAATACTATTAATAATATGATATAATTAAAATAAATAATTTTTTGTATAATATTGTATGAAATATATATAATAATACCGGTTCAGTTTATATTTAGTTTATTAGTATCCAATGTACTTAAAATTAAGTTTATTTGCTAAACTTATTATAAATATTATATAAAAAAAAACTTTTATATCCACTTTATTATCATATCATATATGTTATACTTTGTCTTAAGTGTACTGAATGAGCCGTACGGTTGTCCCCATCAGGAGATCAGTATATTGAGAGACAAACTACAAGAAGTAGTACAGCAATGATAATAACGATATGATATATATATATATATATATATATATATATATATATATATATTGATAAATAAAGTGTTATATAAAAAGTGTATATAAATAAAATTTATCGATACCTACACCAGGTATTTATATATTTATATATTACCGGTAAGTTTAACAAAAATAAACTTAATTTTAAACTACATTTGGATATTAATAGACTGATCTGGATATTAATAGAAAATACATTTAATATATTTATATATAGTAATGTATTCAAAATTAAGTTTATTTTGTTAATCTTATTATAAATATATTTCAAAAACAAATACCTGATATGTATTATAAATAAACTATATATAAACTGAACCGGTATTATAATATGTGTGAATATAAATTATATACCATATATAATATAAGGTTTATAATTAGTATATAAATTATACCCATTTATAGTCAATTTGATCAGTTTGTGTGTGTAGTTATGGCAGATATAAAACATAAAACGGTATATAATATATACTATATATTTCTATATTTAAACTAATATTTATTATAATATCGGTTTTAAAATAATAACTAATTTTGTTTTTTGATCATTTATTTTGTAGGCAATCATGAATTTAGATAAAGAAATGTATCCGGAAATGAATTTTTTGATGAATACCGCGGAAAGTGATGTCAAGTTTGTCATCAATGGTGAACCAATTACGGCAATCAAAGCGGTGTTACGTTTGAAAAGTGATGTCTTTAGTGTCCAGTTTTCGGGCAATTGGCGCGACTCGGAGGACACTGCCATTGAGATCCGGGACACCACTCCGGAAGCCTTCAAAGTTATGCTCGGATTTATATATACCGAGCAATTGGTATTCAACGACAACAAAGACGTGGATCATATACACCATGTGCTGAAACTTAGCAAAAAATATCAATTGAAACGATTGAAAAAACTTGTTATCCAACACATCCTATCCATACTAACTGTCCATAACATTGAACATATCGGCCGATTAGCTTTCAACTATCAATTGGATGAACTGATCGCTGCCGTCAAGACATTGATTGACGAAAATTTTAAACAATTGTTTCAAAAGTCGCCCAAAGAGTTGAATGCCATCAACAATGCCTGCGATAATCGATTGTTTGAAAAGTTTAGCCAACATTTCAATAGGATTGACACCTTGTTTTCGGTACCAACTTATGACATAAAAACTGGTTCAATCAATAGTTATGAAATCGGTCAGTACACCTGTACCTATCAAAACCAAACTAACTGTCCGATTAAAATCATTGATATCAACAAAATGTCTTTTATAAATAATTATTTTGTTTGGAAATATCTATTTAATCGTTGATATTATAAGAAAGAAAATAAAAGTAAATAAATGAAAATTTTATTAATAATTATTTTTATATATCTATATATATTTCGTTTGTCGCCTATACTCGGTATCATTTGGTGCGGCCGATCGCCGGCCGTTTCGTATTATCATAACCTATCGCCAGAGTAGTCGCCACACAGTAATGACCGTAGTGTCCGTCCCACCGATCGATGCCAGTGCCCGGCGGGCGGCTTGACATCCACGCCCAGGGCTGGCCGCTGGCACTATCGTTGCATTTGCGGCCAAATATGTCCAGCCGAGTGTACCGAACCTTTCGAAACTATATCCAAATTTAATCGATATTAGTCTGAATCAAACGATATCGAAATTGACAGCTGCTATGGACAGCCTATCCGATCACTTGGACATCGATCTCTGGTAGTAGTAATAAGCAAAACCATCAGATCATCAGCGATGATACGGAATTGCAATCAGATTTGTTGGAAACGATTCGTTTGGCCGATGCTAAGAGCCAATCGCTGGGAGGAACTGGTGGCCAGTAGGGACCGGTAGCTCAATGAATTGCGTCAAAAAATGTATGACTGTATATAAGCAATGAATTTTCAGATCAATTGATTGATTGATTATGTTTTATGTCCTGAAAAGTGTTGTTCATCGTAGGAGAAGATACATAAGCTAAGCATCAGTAGGTCAGAGCTGGATCTATAAGGAAAGTTAGGTCATCTATTACTTTGGCGATAGGTGTCCTGAATAAGCCGTACGGTTGTCCCGATTTAGGAGATCAGTCTATTGATAGACAAACTTACAATAAGTAGTAAAGCAATGATAATAATGATTATGATATATTAATAATACAGTAAAGTGTTATATATAAAGTGTATATAAAATTTATCTATACATACATCAGATATTTGATTTTTTATTGTTAAATATTTATATTACCGATAAGTTTAAAAAAATAAACTTAATTTTATAATACATTTGGATATTAATAGACTGATCAGGATATTAATAGAAAATACACTTATTATTATAATATATTGTATTTATAGTTAAGTTTATTTTGTTAATCTTATTATAAATATATTTCAAAAAACAAATACCTGGTATGTATTATACTGTATATAAACTGAACCGGTATTATAATATACTGTACATGTATAAATTATATACTATTTATAATATAAGGTTTATAATTAGTATATAAATTATACCCATTTATAGTCAATTTGATCAGTTTGTGTGTGTAGTTATGGCAGATATAAAACATAAAACGGTATATAATATATACTACAGTATATATTTCTATATTTAAACTAATATTTATTATAATATCGGTTTTAAAATAATAACTAATTTTGTTTTTTGATCATTTATTTTGTAGGCAATCATGAATTTAGATAAAGAAATGTATCCGGAAATGAATTTTTTGATGAATACCGCGGAAAGTGATGTCAAGTTTGTCATCAATGGTGAACCAATTACGGCAATCAAAGCGGTGTTACGTTTGAAAAGTGATGTCTTTAGTGTCCAGTTTTCGGGCAATTGGCGCGACTCGGAGGACACTGCCATTGAGATCCGGGACACCACTCCGGAAGCCTTCAAAGTTATGCTCGGATTTATATATACCGAACAATTGGTATTCAACGACAACAAAGACGTGGATCACATTCAACATGTGCTGAAACTTAGCAAAAAATATCAATTGAAACGATTGAAAAAACTTGTTATCCAACACATCCTATCCATACTAACTGTCCATAACATTGAACATATCGGCCGATTGGCGTTTGATTATGAATTGGATGAACTTATCGCTGCCGTCAAGACATTCATTGATAAAAACTTTAAACAATTGTTGCAAAAGTCGCCCAAAGAGTTGAATGCCATCAACAATGCCTGCAATAATCGATTGATTGAAAAGTTTAGCCAACATTTCAATAGTATTGACACTATGTTTTCAGTACCAACTTATGACATAAAAACTGGTTCAATCAATAGTTATGAAATCGGTCAGTACACCTGTACTTATCAAAACCAAACTAACTGTCCGATTAAAACCATTGATATCAACAAAGTGCCAAAATTAGTCCATTCATATTCATATATTAATAATGATTATATCAGGAAATATAGATTTGATTGTTAAAAATATGTTTTATTTGTTAATTGCACTGTTAATTGTGAATAAACTATAGCTTGTAATCACATTATTATTATTATTAAAATATGAAAATTTTATTAACAGTCAAAATTGAACCATTTTATTATTAATTATTATTTGATTTAAATTTTATTATTTAAATGAAAACTAAAAATTTTGATCAAATTTTTTGAAAATAGCATTTATATACTAAAATTTATGATTTTCCTAATACTTTTTATTTACTAATAAATACTATTTTAAATTTTAGTTGATTATTACAAAACAAATTTGATTGACAGTGTTTTATTTGTTAACTTATTATTAAATATATGTAATTAAACAATAATTAAATCGCATTATGTTAGTTATATTTATATATAAAATAAATAAAATTGATTAGAAAGTTTTTAAACATGTTTTTCATTTAATTAGTAATCGTTGATTTTTATTTGTGATAATTGTTTTTTTTTAAATTTCTTATAATATAATCATAATAGGAATATATAGTATTTCGAAAACATTTAATTTAATAGTTATTAAATCAATTAAATCAATAATAATCAATAATTTTTACTCGTAATATGATAGTAATGGCCAACAATAATATGTTATAAACAAAATTTGTTTCATTGATTTATTATTGTTAATTATAAATCAAAACTATATTTTTTGTAACAATTACTACCATAATTCACTAGTTTGGGCACATTATTGATATCAATGGCTTTAATGGTAGTACTCCTACTACTACTACTACTACTACTGATTATAGAGTTAGTACTGGTGGTGGTGTTGTTGTTATCATTATAAGTACAGGTGTACTGACCGATTTTATATGTATTAATAGTATTACCAGTTTTATCATAAGTTGGTACCGAAAACATAGTGTCAATACTATTGAAATGTTGGCTAAACTTTTCAATCAACAGATTATTGCAGGCATTGTTAATGTCATTCAAATCTTTTGGTGACTTTTTCAACAATTGTTTAAAATTTTCATCAATTAATGTCTTGACGGCAGCGATCAGTTCATCCAATTCATAGTCAAACGCCAATTGGCCGACCAGTTGAATGTTATGTACAGTTAGTATGGATAGGATGTGTTGGATAACAAGTTTTTTCAATCGTTTCAATTGATATTTTTCGCTTAGTTTCAGCACATGGTGTATGTGATCGACGTCTTTGTTATCATTGAATACCAATTGCTCGGTATATATAAATCCGAGCATAACTTTGAAGGCTTCCGGAGTGGTGTCCACGATCTCAACGGCAGTGTCCTCCGAGTCGCGCCAATTGCCCGAAAACTGGACACTAAAGACATCACTTTTCAAACGTAACACCGCTTTTATTGCCGGAACTTCTTCACCATTGATGACAAACTTGACATCACTTTCCGCAGTATTCAACAAAAAATTCATTTCCGGATACATTTCTTTATCTAAATTCATGATTGCCTACAAAATAAATGATCAAAAAACAAAATTAGTTATTATTTTAAAACCGATATTATAATAAATATTAGTTTAAATATTGAAATATATAGTATATATTATATACCGTTTTAGGTTTAATATCTGCCATAACTATACACACAAACTGATCAAATTGACTATAAATGGGTATACTATTTATAAACCTTATATTATATACAGTATATAAGTTATATTCACACATATTATAATACCGGTTCAGTTTATATACAGTTTATTTATAATAAATACCAGGTATTTGTTTTTGAAATATATTTATAATAAGATTAACAAAATAAACTTAATTTTGAATACAATACTATATAGAAAATGTATTTTCTATTAATATCCTAATCAGTCTATTAATATCCAAATGTAGTTTAAAATAAAGTTTAGTTTTGATATACTTTCAGGTAATTTATAAATATTTCAAAAACAAATACCTGGTATCGATAAAACTTTTTATTTAACACTTTACTGTATTATCAATATATCATATCATTATTATCATTGCTGTACTACTACTTATTGTAAGTTTGTCACTCAATTTGTCTGATCTACTGATGAGGACAACCGTACGGCTCATTCAGTACACTTGAGCTAAAGTATAGCATATATGATATGTTAATAAAGTGGATATAAAAGTTATAATACATAACAGATATTTGATTTTAAAATATTTATAATTTGTTTAGCAAATAAACTTAATTTTAAGTACATTGGATATAAACTTAACCGGTATTATTTAATATGTGTATAGAAATTATATACTGTATATAGAGTAATATAAGTGTTTACAGAGTATATAAATTATACCCATTTATACTCAATTTGATCAGTTTGTGTGTATAGTTATGGCAGATATTAAACGGTATATAATATATACTTAAACTTATACTAATTGTAATGTCTTTTATTAAAATAATAACTTTTTTTGTTGTTTTTCTGATCATTTATTTTGTAGGCAATCATGAATTTGGATAAAGAAATGTATCCGGAAATGAATTTTTTTGATGAATACCGCGGAAAGTGATGTCAAGTTTGTCATCAATGGTGAAACAGTTCCGGCAATCAAAGCGATGTTACGTTTGAAAAGTGTGATATTTAGTGTCCAGTTTTCGGGCAATTGGCGCGACTCGGAGGACACATTTAATGGTTAATAATATTTTTTATAACTAACTATATATATAACTTATAATAACATTAATATGTTATAAGAATTAAAAAAAAAATTAACTAACATTCAAATTTTAATTAATTATTATTTTTTTTATTGAAATTTTTTTTTTGAACTAAATATACCGGTATATATACAGTATCAATATCGTATACTGTATATAAGATTATATATCAATTATTATATAATAAGATATTATATTTATTGAATATTTTCGATAAAATTGATTATAAAATTTTTTATAAAATTAGTTTTTATCAATCATGAAACCTAATGGATATATAATGATAGATATCAACAAACAAACAAAAATCGGTTGATATACCTGTGCGGGTATATAATGGTTAACGGTGTACTAACGGTACCCCCTCTCACCCTCCCCCCCAAAAAAAAATTATATTTAAAAATAATAATAATATACGATAAATGTAATTATCAATAAACAGATATTATATTTTTTTTAAAAATAAGCAAAAAAAATTATATTAAATGTTTTTAATAATAATAGTATTTATATAATATTTAATTTTATTTATACTAATAATACTGTATTATATAGTAAACATATATAAGTTTTTTTAATATATTTATTTATAACATAATTATTTTTTTTCACTATAAATCCTATTAAAAATTATTGTCATTTTTATTTAAAAAAATATCTATACTCTAAAAACAAAATTTTATAAACAATGTGCTAATTAATTGATATGAATATAATATTTATTTATTTTTTTAAAATAATAATATTATTTACTTAAAGTAGTTGACAGTTACAGTACAATATATACTGTACTAATCAATCAACTAATTATCACATGTTATCAAATTATAATACCTTTATATATATATATATATATATATATATATATATATATATATATATATAGTTTACTACAGTATATACCGGTATACTGTGTATATTGTATTATCAATAATAGCCTAGAAATAAATTATCATAAATACCAAACAATCATAAAAATAATAATAATAAAATTTTATACATTTCATGAAATGCAATATATTAATAAAAACAGGTATTATTTTTAGCCCTAGTTTTCATGTATTATAAATGTGTTATAAATACTTTAATATTTATTTATTTATTGTATTTACTTATCAATCTATCTATCTATCTATCTATCAATCAATTAGTCATTTTGTTTCAAAAAATACTGTCTACTAATCATATGATATGACAATATATGATGATATGCACTGTACGTGAGTTATACTGTAAATCAAAAGTAAAGTAAACTTCAATTCAAAAATTATTGTAAACTATAATTAAAACAAAAACAATAAAAATATTTGAATATTTATTTGAAACAAATTAAAAAAAAATTGAAATTATTTATTTATTATTGTTTTAGCTGTCTATATATTGTAATATATATATATATATATATATATATATTGATTGCATTAAATGTATTGTAATAACTATTAAAATTTATTAGTTTTTTGGTGACTAATACTAATAGTAGTAATAATAATAATAATAAAGTAGTAGTAATTCAATAGTAAAAGTGATTTATCAAAAAAAATTATTATTATTATTATATGATAACATTAATTACATATTATATAATATACATTAATTTTGTTTGTTTGTTAATATATTTTTTTAATCATCAAAAAAATAATGATAAAAACTATAGTATTATTTGCGATAAAATTATGACTAATCGACTAATTTTCGTTAAGTTTTTTTTAAAAAAAAGTTATTATTAAATACTATATTATTTTTTGAATATTAAAACCAAATTTTTATTGTGTGTGTGTTTTTTGCCGACTAATTAAATAACTGTCACTTATATAAAAAAAATACAGTAATTATAAACCAAACAAAACTTTTTTTTAAGCAGTAATTAATTGTTTAAACAAAAAATTATTAATAAAACAATTGTGTCTCAAAAAAAGTGATAAAAATTTTAATTTTCAATAAATTAAACTAAAAAAAGTTTCCCAAAAAAAATCATGTTTTCAATAATAATTATTAATTAAATTAATTAATCATTGATTATAATTTGTGATTAAATTTTTATTTTATTTTTTTATTGATATTATTTGATAATAACTTTATTTTTTAATAGTTTTTAAGTGTGTTTTTTTGAAGATTTAATTACATTTTAATGTAATAATAATTATTAATAATTATTATAATTATCAATAATGACAGCAACCGTACAGCGAAAGTATAGCCAAAACTTCGGCGGTACCGTCGGCTCCAACTCCCAGTTCCCGTCCCAGTCATCGTCGGCGGTATCGTTGTCACCGAACGGTCCATCGCTGGTCATATTTAGCGAACTACGGGAAGAGTACTCGCTCTGGGATGACCAGTACATACCGTGCCGTTTCTATGTTGATCCGACATTGAATATCATTGCCGATAAGGTTGGCCTCTATCCGATGGGTTGGACGGATCGGGAACGTGATTCGGCTCTCATGAAAATGGTATTCAATGAGTCAACGGTTGATGAGTTTGACGAACGAACAGTTTGTTTCCCGATTAAAGACATACCGACTGCACCACTGATGGACAGTTCACTGGCCAGTATTGGCGGCGGTGATAATGGCCAACAACAACAGCCGTCAGCGGCGGCGACGTACTATCAGTTTTGCTATTTTCATCCGTTCGGAGCCTATACTCGGTATCAGTTGTGCGGCCGATCGCCGCCGTTCCGTATCATAACCTATCGCCAGAGTAGTAGTAGTCGCCATAGTAATGACCGTAGTGTCCGGCCTCGATCGATGCCAGTGCCCGGCGGCCTGACATCGACGCCCAGGGCTGCCACTGGCCCTGCCGTTGCGTTTGCGGCCAACTATGTCCAGCCGAGTGCACCGAATCTATCGAAACTCTATCCAAATCTAATCGATATTAGTCTGAATCAAACGATACCGAAATCGACAGCTGCTATGATGGACAGCCTATCCGATCATTGGGACATCGATCTGAGCACTGGTAGTAGTAATAAGGAAAACAACCATCAGATCATCAGCGATGCGGATACGGCAGTCAAACTGCTCGAGTATCGGCTGGAGGCCAAAGACCGGCAGTTACGTGAACTCAAGCACAGCTACGAACAACAAATGCTAGTAAAAGATACCGAATTGGAAACATTGACCGCACGGCTGACGATGACTGACCAACAGCTGGAGTCTATGGACTGTGAACTGCGACTGAAATACCGGACCGACCAGAATGTCGAGAAAATGCAATCAGATTTGTTGGAAACGATTCGTTTGGCCGAAGCTAAGAGCCGATCGCTGGATGAACTGGTGGCCAGTAGGGACCGGGAGGTCAATCAATTGCGTCAAAAGGTATATATAAGCTATGAATTTACAGATCAATTGATTGATTTATTATTGATTTTTTATGTCCTAAATAGTGTTCATCTCAGGAGAAAATCATCGACAATATGAAGCATAAGCTTAGGATCAGTAGGTCAGAGCTGGATCTATACGAAAGTCAGGCCATCGATAACTTTGGCTCAAGTGTACTGAACGAGCCGTACGGTTCACCCGATCAGGAGATCAGTCTATTGAGAGACAAACTACAGGAAGTACAGCAAGACTTTGTTAACGTCAAAGCTGTCAACGAAAGTCTTCGGCGAAAATTGCAATCAATGGACACCAGACGTGGACTAACCGAACGGGAACTGGAGGTCGTCAGGCAGTCAACCGATGATCTAAGGGAACGATTGGATCATATGATTGAAGAGAAGTTGGAGGAAAAGTCGACTACTGATGAAGATATGCGCCAATATATGGCTAAAGATTATCATAGATCACCGATAGCTGGTCTACAGCAGCAGCAGCAGCACCGGGAGGTCATCAATGGAGTCGATAGGAGACAGTTGTTTAACAATAACAACAACACTACTACTACTACTGCCGGCAATATTATCACTATTAATGTCAACGAAATGATTGCCGATATGAAACAGTTGGCCATCGATAAGCTAATGCAAGCGCTGGCCGTTTGCAACGATTTCAAGTCGATGGCCGATACGGTGGCCGCGGCAATGGACAGCCGCTACGAGGCCGGTTGGAATTGTTTTGTCGGTGGCGACAGTTTTTCGCATAATCCACTGTTGCACGTGTTTGGCACGTATTTGTCGTTTACGGTCAACGATGTCAAGTGTGTTGTCTATCGTATTGAATGACTGGACGGACCGACACTTAATTAATGATCAGTAATCAGTAATTAAACTAATAATTAATGTATTAATAATAATATTATATAATTATTTTTTTTATATTTGTTTTCATTTATATTAATAATAATAATTTAAAACTAATTTTATAAAAAATCTTATTTTTTTGTTTGTATGTTATTTGGGATTATGTGTTCAAAAAAAAATTTTTAATTATAATTTTTTAATCATTGATAAAAAACATTTTTTATATTATAATATATCTATGACATAATGTATAATTCAATTATGAAAATTTTAATAATCAATAAATATTAATTCATTATATATTTTTTTAGGATTTAATCAATTAATTAACTTTTAATTATAACATTAAAATTTTTTAGCTAATTTATATAATTATTAATTAGTAATTTAATTTTTTTAAGTCTATTAATTAGCAAACATTTAGAAAAAGTATATAAATATTATAATAAAATTTCAATTATTTATTTTAATTATTTTACATAATAATATTTAAATACACATTTAAATGATAATAGAAAATTTTAAAAATAATAATAACAATGAAAAAAACATTTATTTATTCAAATTTTTTAAATATATATGTAGTTAACTATTAAATCAGTTAATTTTAAGTAAATTTGTTGAAAAACCTAAATTAATAAATTTGAGATAAAATAAACAAAATTAAAAAAATAGTTTAATGTAAAATTTATAATAGTTTAATTATAATTAACGACCCTGATAATGTTTGATTGTTTTTGAATGTTTACAATTTGAAATTTTAAATATATATATATTAAAATTTAATAATAATTTTTATAATATTATAAATTAAATTAATTATTTACAAATATAATTGACCTTGAATAATATGTTTGGTTAAACTTACAATGTTCAGTACCAGTTTTACCATCCTCAATTTAATTAAAAATTTTAAAAAAATTTAGTTAAAAAATAACAAAAATAATAATTAGTTATTTATCATGGTACTATTTATAAATACTAATTAATTAATTAATTAATAATTACTTTCATTAATATTCTATCGCATAGTTTTTGTTTATCTTTACAACTATTTTTATTTTTTTTAAATAAAAAATTATTTAATTAATTAATTAAAAAATTATAATATAATTAATTAATACGTTAGACTATGACTGTCCCAATCGGTAGTCGGGTCGCACTTGCATCGGACGACACCTCCCCGATCATCGCAACCAATACTATGGGGCGTAACAGTTGGTCTACAATAGTCGGTACCTGTTTTGTTATCCTTTAAAAAAATTAATTTTTTTTTGTTTAATTTATAATTTTAATTAAATTTTAATTAAATTTTAATTTACTTAAATTAAATTAATTGCTTGAAAATTTAATATATATATATATATATTTACATACTTTTATAATAGTTGTATCGCATTTATTATTAGTATAGAAACATCTATATATATATATATATATATATATATATATATATATATATATATATATATATATATATATTTATTTGAAAAAAATAATATTTAAATTAAACTTTATATCTATATATTATATATTTTTTAGGTAACTAAACAACAAAAACATACATTTCCTTATCCGAGTCCCATATATAGTGATACAAACATTTGCATTTCAATGAACCGTTTGAATCATCACAGCCTATAGAGTATTGGGTTATTTCAGGCTTACAGTGATCATCACCTGTACGTCCATCCTATTAGTGATTAATTTTTTTTTGTTTAGAAAAACATTTAATATTATTATTCAAATTATAATAAAAAAAATTATAATAAAAAAAATAATTTTTTAACATACTTTCATCCTATCAATACTGCAACTTATTTTATACATGCAACTGTTTTTTAGAAATAAATTTTAAAAATTATCTAGTTAAATTTATAAACAAATTTTTAAAAAAAAATTTATTTATTTAGTATACCTTTCCTTATCTGTATTCCAGGTATAGGGAGACTCGCATTTGCACTTTAAAACACCAGTTGAATCGTCACAGCCTATAGAGTGTTGGGTAATATCAGGCCTACAATGTTGTTCACCTGTTTTGCCATCCTATTTGAAAATTTTTTAATATTTAAGATTCAGATATTTAATTAATTATTTTTAAAAAAAAAATATTAAAACAATTATAACATTTTAAAAATAAAGTCAAATAATAATAATATTAAATATATATATATATATATATTTAAATAAACATACTTTCATCAAGTTAGTTTTGCAACTAATTTTATAATCGCAACTATAGTTTTTAGAATTTAGTAATATTTTTTAATTAAATTATTAAAATTTTAATATTTTTTTAGCTATAGCTAACATTTCTTGAACTGAATTCCATGTGTACGGTGAGTCACACTTGCATTTCATAATATTTGGCTGTAAATCATCACAGCCTGAGGAATGTTGGGTAATATCTGGTCTACAGTGATCAGCACCGGTACGTCCATCCTATTTGATAATTATAATTAATTGATTGAAAAAAAATGTTATATCTTTAGTAATATTTATTTAGTTTTTTTTAATTAAATATTTAATTTTAATTTATTAGTTAAATATACAAACTTTCATTTTATCAGTTTTACAGTTTAGTTTCAAACGATAACAATTGATGTCTATTATTGATAAACATAATGCTATAGTAATATCTATAGAAAATAATAATAATTTTAATTAAATATAATTTATTTATTTTTTTGAAAATAGATATATTAAATTTTAAAATGTTATAATTATTTTATTGATCTCATAAATTACTTACAAATTAAATTCATAATTTATTTAAATAATTAGTTGAATTTTAAACCCTATTATTAATATTAGAAAAATATTAGTTATATTTAAATTATAAATCATATTAATGTAATCTTAAAAAACTAATGATTTATTAATAGCAATATATAGTTATATTTATATAAATTTTTTCAATAATAAAAAAATACAGTACATTGTACTCTATGTTATGATATTATTTATAGTACAAAATTCAATGATAACAATTAATATTAATTATTTTTTATCAATCAATTAATTTTAATAAAACATCTATTATTTTATTATTTTTAGGATAAAATGTTATAATTATTTTTATTGTTTTACTTATAAATTAAATTCATGTTTTATTTATATATATAATTTTAGTTGAATTTTATAAACCGATTATTGAATATATATCAAAAAATATTTGTGTTATATTTAGACTAATAAATCATATTAATTAAATAATTTTTAGAAAATATTTTTTCAAACAAATTTTTTTTGAAAATTGTTTAATGAATTCTATGTGTGTGTGTGTGTGTGTGTGTGTGTGTGTGTGTGTGTGTGTTTTGTGAATTTTGAAATTCTGATTTCAGATTCGGTTAGATCAGCGAAAATAAGGTATAGGGGATCAACATTAAAATTTTGATATCTCTTCGGGAACATAGAGAAAATGGCGGCTAAAGTACAAAAAATTTTAGAAATTTTTTTATTAAGTATAGATTTGAATAAAGCATCTAAAACAAGCTTAAGAAATATGCATTAAAATTTTGATATCTCTTCGGGAACATAGAGAAAATGGCGGCCAAAGTACAAAAAAATTGTAGTTAAAAATTTTATAGTTAAGATTTGAATAAAGCATTATAAGAAAGGTATACGAATCAGAATTAAAATCTTAACATCTTTTCCGAAACATAAAATGGCGGCCAAAGTATAAAAATATTTTGTTAAAAATCACCAAAAATATTGCATCACCAGAAATATTGCATCACCAGAAATATTGCATCACCAGAAATATTGCATCACCAGAAATATTGCATCACCAGAAATATTGCATCACCAGAAATATTGCATCACCAGAAATATTGCATCACCAGAAATATTGCATCACCAGAAATATTGCATCACCAGAAATATTGCATCACCAGAAATATTGCATCACCAGAAATATTGCATCACCAGAAATATTGCATCACCAGAAATATTGCATCACCAGAAATATTGCATCACCAGAAATATTGCATCACCAGAAATATTGCATCACCAGAAATATTGCATCACCAGAAATATTGCATCACCAGAAATATTGCATCACCAGAAATATTGCATCACCAGAAATATTGCATCACCAGAAATATTGCATCACCAGAAATATTGCATCACCAGAAATATTGCATCACCAGAAATATTGCATCACCAGAAATATTGCATCACCAGAAATATTGCATCACCAGAAATATTGCATCACCAGAAATATTGCATCACCAGAAATATTGCATCACCAGAAATATTGCATCACCAGAAATATTGCATCACCAGAAATATTGCATCACCAGAAATATTGCATCACCAGTTTATACATATAATATGATATAATGACTCGTATGGACTAATGGTTATTAGGAATAAATATATTGTTTATAATATGACAAAAACAAGTAATTTACGTAATAAAAATTTGTTTTTGGTAATGCTTTCTAGCATTCTCAACTGGTTTTTTTTGAAATAACATTATTGTTATATTTATATATATATATTTTTGCTATAATAAAAAATTACAGTACATTGTACTCTATGTTATGATTTTAGTACAAAATTCAATGATAACACATAAAAATTCAATTGTTTTTTTAATCATCAAACATATATTAGATCTATATTAGTCTATATTAAGTCTATATTAGATATTTTATCACAAATTTTTTTTAAATAATATTATAACTACTATTTTTAAGTACAGTTTTTATTAAATTAAATTAAACAATATGTTTATGGAAATATTTTTTTAATATTATAGTCTAGACTTTAGATAATCATTTCAAAACTGGTTATAATAATTATTATCGAAAAAAAAATAAATATCTAATAGTCTAATGGTATATTGATATTAATTATATATTTTAATATTGTTTTATATTATTTTTCAAATTAGCAGTAATTATATCAGCATTTATCTAACAACTATAGGTAACTAATTTGTTAGTAAAAAAAATATTTAATCAGTAATAATAATCATTATTTTGCACAATAATTATTTAGAAATAATTCAATTAAAATAGTAGTAATTATTTTTTAACTAAATACTAGTAAACAAAAAAACATTTATTAATATAATTTTTAATTGCCGTAACTGTTAATCTAATAAGTAATTTAAATAATAATTATTTTTCAGTAATAATTATCAGTAATATCTAATAATAATTTTTAAAAATAATTTATCGCTAATCATTTAATTTTTATTTAATTAATTTATACAATTTATTATATATTCAATATATATTATAATAATAATAATATGTTTTTAAAAGTCATAAAAAATTATTACAATTTTTTTTAAAAATATATATATATATAACTTATTTATTATATTTATCATATGTTAATATTTTTAGTGAATATTTTTGTTGATTATAACTATTATTAATAATAATAGTTATAATATATATATATATATTTAATATTGTGATTAAAAAAAAATTAATATCTTTTAGTTGTTGACCAAAAAAAAAATCGTTATTAATATTATTGAAATATTGGGCGAAATTTTTTTTTTTTAATCAACAAATCATTGACCGCACAATTGATTGCAATCACTTCCCGACTCTCTCGGGTTTGCTTAAGATTGTTGTTGTCATCGATGAATGGTCTTAAGCCGACCGATCAAGTCATCCAATTTTAGTATTCAAACCCCAATCGACCCATCAATTCAATGTTGCCTATAGTTGGACATTGATTTCAAATGTTGGCCAACATTTGCCGCCAATCGTTTCAATTGATATCTATCGGCAAGTTTCAGGACATCCCTGATATGATTCAAATCTTTGCCGTCGCTTAACACCAATCGCTCGGTATATATAAAAATCAGCATAACTTTGAACGCCTCGGGAGTCGTGTCATTGATCACGACTTTGTTGTTGCTGTTGTTGTTGTTTTCACCGCCAGATTCAGGCCATTGGCCGGAAAACATTGACCGAAAAACTTCACTTTTGGCTTTCATAAAACTTATGTGTGCGGGAACTGATTGGCCATCGATAACGAACTGGACGTCAAAGTCATCGTCGGCGGCATTCATCAGATAATCTAACTCTGGATACAAATCTGGATCTAAATTCAGATTTGCCTACAATTAAGTAAAAAATAGTAATTAATAAAAAAAAATGTTTCAAATAAATCATTGATAAAAATGAATATTATTTCAATTATAAATATTTTATATATATATTAAAAAATATTTCAATTAAATATGTTATATATATATAAATTATTTGAATTTAATATGTTATATATATATAATTATTTCATTTAAATATGTTATATATATATATAATTATTTCATTTAAATATGTTATATATATATAAATTATTTGAATTTAATATGTTATATATATATAATTATTTCATTTAAATATGTTATATATATATAATTATTTCATTTAAATATGTTATATATATATAAATTATTTGAATTAAATATGTTATATATATATATTAAAAAAATATTTCAATTAAATATGTTATATATATATAATTATTTCATTTAAATATGTTATATATATATATAATTATTTCATTTAAATATGTTATATATATATATATAATTATTTCAATTAAATATTTTATATATATATTTTAAAAAAAATTATATACCATTTTATTATTAACTGATGATTGATCGGCCATTACTTATTGATCTACTAACTGATCCACAACTACAACAACAAAAATAATTTAAAATTTTTACTTATAATTAATTTATATAACTTATTAATTGATTGATCAAAAAAAAAAGTTATAATAATTAACAAAAAATATTATATTATTATATTGTTATTTGAATTTGAAATACTATTAGTTTTTTTTAACTATTGACTAAAAAAAAAATTTTTGTACAATAACTTCAATACATTTAAACAAAAAACTGTTTGATTATATTCACAACCAAAACACAATAGTAGAGGCACAAATAATCACATAGATTTATCATAGATTACACTTAATATATATATATATATACATACAAATAAAAATACAGTGTGTATATAATAACTATATGTATAAGGCGTGGTTCACATATTACGTTCGCACTTTTTAAGAAATCTAGACCCCTCCCTCCCCTAAGTTCGCAATTGTTCGCATGTAGTAATTTAAAAAAATTACGTTCGCTTATCCTTAACCGCTACCCCCCCCCCCCCACCACAAGAAATAAGATATTATCTAAATGCGAACGTTCTTAAAGTCTCTACCCCTCCCCTCCCCCTCGTTCGCAAAAGTTCGCTTTGGCTAACCCCCCCCCTCCCCTCAAGTGCGAACGTAATATGTGACGCCTAACATCTAAGTCTATGCTTTGTAGAAACTCCGCCCCCCTCTCAAGCATTAATAAACACTAATATTGTGTACGCGTATATACAGTACATACATACAATACTGTACAGTATAGTGGGCGGCCATTATTGTTTTGGTTTTGAATATAATCTAACAGTTTACTATATACATATTTACGCGCTAATCGAAAACCGACAACACAATAATAAAACATAGATTTTAAATGAATATATACATACAAAATGAGTGTATAATTATTACAATGCATTTATAAACCACGCCTCCTCTCTCTCTCTCTCTCTCTATAGCATTACACTAATAAATGTGTTGCACTCATGCGCCTAAAACACTGTTACATGTATTGTTGTGTGACATTGAAAAACAGTGTTAATTTTTAGTACTATTTGTTTCTATTTTAAATGTGATAATAAATGGATTATAATAGTTAATAAAAGTACCAAATAATCCAAATAGAGTTTTGTGATAATAGCCTAAATATATATAACAGAGGGGTTAACCATAACTAACATAATTTTTTTCTAATAATTATTAATTTATTTTTAAAACAAATTGATTAATTAATTAATTAAAATTTTATTGATTAAAATTAATTTAGATTATTTCTTTCGATACATTAATTTGTTACAAATATAACATTAGATTATTATTATAATTAGTTAACAATTTGTTCATATAATTTACAGTATAATTAGTAATTTATTATTATTATATTAAAAAAAGATTATATAACATACATTTATAGTGTAATATAAAAGTTATACATAATTATATTATTTAAATAATTAATAATAATATTATTATTATTATTATTATGTTTTTTTCTTTGATTATTAAGTGTTTTTTTAATAGAATATATAATTAAAAAAACAATTTTAATTTACATACAATTTTTTTCAATAATTATTATAATAATGTGAGTATTAATAATTGTCTGATAAAAAAAATGTTTAGTTTTATATATATTTAAAATTAGTTTTATTATATTGTAATATAATAAACAAATATCATAATTGAATAATCCAGTAATAGTTACGGTAATAATAATAATAATTGTTGTTATTAATAGTATTATATAATTAACAAATTAGTAAAAAAATACTAATTATTGTTAATTAATTAAATTTTTTCATTTAAATTTTTAATAAAATTTTTTTAACCGATGGTTTGTAATAAATTGCTGAAACAATAGATTATTAACCGACGTATTGATGGCAATCAATTGTGTCGGCGGCTTATTATCAGTCAATTGTCTGAAATTTTTTTCAATAAATATCTTCAGTCCATCAATCAGTTTAACCAATTGATAGTCAAACGCCAATCGGCCGATCCGTTCAATATTATTCACTGATAATATTTTTATCATATGTTTGCCAACACTGGACATCAATCTAATCAATTGATATCTATCGCTAAGTTTGAGTACATCGTGGATGTGATTCAAATCATTGACATCGTTTAGGACCAATCGCTCAGTATATATGAAACCAATCATCACTTTGAAAGCATTATAAGTGGTGTCCCGGATCTCAATCGGTCGGCCACCGGATTCAAGCCATTGGCCGGAAAACATTGACCGAAATACCCGACTTTTGGATATCATAAATACTTTGTGCGCCCCAACCGATTGGCCATCGATGACAAACTGTACGTCACAGTCGTCGGCTGTCATCAGGTGATCCATTTCGGGATACAAATCCATATCCAGGTTTGACTAYAAAATTGTTTAACAAAAAAAAACTTTTAATTAGTAAAAAAAACTATTAWTTAGTAATAAGTTTTACACAACAACAAAAAATCATTTACCGTTTGGTTGGCCATCACTTATGTCTAACTGATCCAAACAATAACAAAAAAAAAACTTTTGATTCAATTACTAATTACTATATATAAATTGGTTATCAAATCAATTGGTTTTTTGAAACTAAGTTTTTTTGTATTTGTTTAAAAAATCAATGAAAATTAAATTATTTGAAACAACAAAATAATAGACAGGAAATGATTTTACAATTTGATTGAAATTTTTTTGTTGAAATCATACGATTAGGTCAACACATATACAGTAAATGTATTACAAAAAAMTTTTTGATATACAAAATAGATAACTAATAATAGTATTACTTATATATACTGTATATKATATGYAATGTCTTATWATTTTTCATTAATAAAAACAATTAGTAAAATGTTTGACCCATTGATTCAATGATTGCTTAAGTTTTTGTACAATAATTGCAATATATTTTACACACAATCAACRCGTGATTGTGKCCTAACATTRGACTAAACATAYATAACATGGGTTACAATGACTGACATAATAATTATAAATTTTTGTTTTAAAACTTATTAATTAGATTTCAAAAATAATATAAAATTTATATTTTTTAATATTTAATAAAAAATTTAGAATTTAATTAAGTTAGCATACAATAATTTATTACATTATATTAAAAAAATATGTGATTTATTTTAACAATTATTACAATTTGTTTTACAAATATTTTTTCATAATTAAAAATTTATTTATAGCATCAGTCAAATGGAAATAATAATTAAATTTTTTAAAAATTACTTTTAATACAATTAACAAACAATTTCTTTATACAAATTTGTTATTAGTTTACGATTAATATTACAGTTTAAATAGCACACTCACTCACTCACACTCACTAACTATCACTTTCTCTCTCTCTCTCTCTCTCTCTCTCTCTCTCTCTTTCTCTCTCTCTCTCTCTCTCTCTCTCTCTCTCTCTGCATATCATCTGATGAATTGTCTGAAGATGTTGTTGTTGTCGATGAATATCTTGAGTTTAACCAATAGATTACAGTTATAACCGATCGTATGATTTGCATATCAAATGTTATCAATCGTTTTAATCTATTTTTTTGGACTCTACTTAGTATAATCGGTATCTGATCCATGTCTTCAACCATGGATTCAATTAGTAATTTATCTGATCGTTGAAAATATTCGGTAAAACTTTCAATTAGAAGATCGTTGACAGTAGTGTTCATAACCATCAACTCTTCAGTCGACATTTGCATCAATTCTTTGATATTGTTGTCGATGAATGTTTTCAGTCCGGCAATCAATTGATCCAATCGATAGTCAAAAGCCAATCTATAGATCAGTTCGATGTTATCAACGGATATCATTGATTTCAAGTGTTGGCCAACACTTGCCAACAAACGTTTCAATTGATATCTATCGGCGAGTTTGAGTACATCCTCGATATGATCCATATCTTTGTCGTCGTTGTTGTTGAACATCAATCGCTCGGTATATATGAATCCAATCATTACATTGAACGCCTCGGGAGTGGTGTCCMGGATCTCWACCGTGTTGTCCTCGATTCWCGCCATTGGCCCGAAAACATTGACCGAAAAACATCACTTTTGGCACTCATAAACACTTTGTGCGCCGGAATTGTTTGGCCATCGATTAGAAACTGGACATCACTTTCGCTAGTATTCATCAGATAATCCATCTCTGGATAYAATTCTTTATCCAAATCCATGTTTGYCTAAACAAATAGTTAACAATTTTTTTATACAAAATATTTTATCAAATTTTTGGTCAAAAAAATATTATACCATTTTATCATTAACTGATTGGTCGGCCATCACTTATAACCAACTGATCCACACAATAAAAAAAACTTGAAATTCAATTAGTATTAACTATTTTTTTATTAAAACAAAAAAAATTTAATCAATTAATTGTTTGAATCAAACAATTTTGTTTTTGTTCAAACAGTTATTGTTGTTTGAAATCAATGTAACAAAAATTATTTGCAAAAATTAAATGATTTCACAATTTGATTAAAACTTTTTTTTTGAAATCATACGATTGGGTCAACACATACAGTAAATGTATTACAAAAACTTTTTATATACAAAATAAATAACTAATAATAGTATTACTAAATATGATATATAACTTATATATACTTTTTATGATATGTAATATCTTATGATTTTTTAAAAAAAACTATTAGTTAAATGTTTGACCCATTGATTCAATGATTGCGTAAAATTTTGTGCAATAATTGCAATATATTTTACACATACATAACAAGTGATTGTGGCCTAACATTGGACTAAACATATATAACATGGGTTACAATGACTGACATAATAATTAAAAAAATTTGTTTTAAAACTTTTATTATTTAATAACTACAGTAATTAGATTTAACAAATAGTATAAAATTATTAAATAAAAGTAATTTTTTTTAATATTTAATATTATTGAATATTTTTTAACTCAGTTAACAAATAATTTAAAATACAATAATTTATTAAAGTACATCAAAAATATGTTATTATATTTTTTACAATTATTACAATTTGTTTACAAATATTTTTTCATAATTAAAAATTTATTAAWGCATCAGTCATATTGAAATAATAATTAAATTTAAAAAATAACTTTTAATACATTATAAAAGWCACACAATTATATAGCAAACAAATATTAATAAATACAGTATATTTAATATCAATAATAATATTTTTGGTTAATCATATTATTATTATTATTACAAAATCAATATATTTATTGTGTGTTGCAATTATTTTTTTCATAATTATTAGTTATCATATAAAATAATATACTATTTAAGTCATACAGTTATATAAGTTTTTAAAAGTCATACATAATTATATCATAAATTGTAACTTATTTATTATTTATTATATTATTTATTATTTAATATAACTTAATTATATTATTCATCATATATTAATATTTTCAATATATAATTATCCAATGTAACTATTATTACATTATTTTATTTATTATAATATTAAATTTTAATTATAATATATATCAGGCGTTATCAGAATAGTAATATTTGATTACTTTTGATTAAAATGCACTTATGGTTTATTAAAAATATATTTCATCTAGCTCAAATACACTGTTCCAAAATTTATTTTAATTAAGCAATATATTTAATTTAATATTATACAAAAATGGTTATTCAATTTATTTATTATAAACTTTTTGTTTTTTTATCTTGGTCGTTAATTACGTTTTTTTTTAAAATAATGGACCGTATAATCATCTGATAACGTCTGATATTATATATCTAATAATATTGATTACAAATTAATATATTTTAGTTTACCACTAGTGCTATCACTATAGCTATAGGTTTCACCATTGATTAGGTATCTATAATACACACCCATTGAATCCACTTCAAGATTTGGTAATTGTTGTATATCAATGACCTTAACAGTACCGCTACTATTGTTTTGATAATTACAGGTATATTCACCTATTTTATATCTATGATAATTGCCGTCAACATAATGCGGTTGTTGTGAAAACATTTTCTTAATATCCAGAAAATATTGGCGAAAACTTTTAATCAACAAATCATTGACCGCACTATTGATGGCAATCACCTCCGACTCGGGTTTGTTCATCAATTCTTTAAGATTGTTATCGATGAATCTCTTAAGCCGACCGATCAGTTCATCCAATTTGTAATCAAAAGCCAATCGGCCGATCAATTGAATGTTTCTGACAGTTATATACGGTTTATTTGATTGTTCAACAGTTTTGATCAATCGTTTCAATTGATATCTATCCCCGAGTTTCAGTACATCCCTGATATGATCCAAATCATTGTCGTTGCTGAACACCAATCGTTCGGTATATATAAATACCATCATTACTTTGAACGCATCGGGAGTGGTGTCCCGTATCTCTACTTTGTTGTCCACCGATTCCTGCCATTGGCCCGAAAACATTGACCGAAAAACATCACTTTTAGCACTCATCAGTAGTTTATGAGCCGGAAATGATTGGCCATCGATTAGAAACTGGACATCACTTTCTGTATGATTTAGCAGATAATCCAACTCTGGATATAAGTCTTTGTCTAAATCCAACTTTACCTAAAAAATTGTTAACAAATTTTTTATTAAAAAAAATAAATATAACTTATATTAAAAATACTTGTATTTTACTTTTTTAACAATTACTGACTCGTCGTCCATTACTTAATAAAATAAATTAATAAATAGTTATTTAGTTTAATTTTAGTGTAAAAATAATTGTCTAAATTAATATATTTATTATTTATAATAACTAGTAATACTAAATAATTTTTTTTTAAAAAAATATATTTTTAAAAACTAGCAAATTATTTCATAAATTAAATCAAATTAATTATTATTATGTCATTAAAAAGTATAAACTAATAAAAATAAATAACTATTGATATTACTGTATACTGTATATGTAACTACAGTAAATAATGATAATATTTTGTTAGGCAACTATCTTATCATATTTTGATAACTATTATATTCATTTAGTAACATAAAAATTATTAATATAAAAATAAATATTAAGTATGATAAATTATTATTTTATTTTAATAATTATTTTTTTTTATATTTTATTAAATATTTATTTCAGTTAATTTAATTTTATAGAATCGTTGATTATTTAATATATAATTGAATTACTGAAAGTTATCATTTTTTACAAAATATTTATCCAATTAATGATTTATTATCTAAAGTATTCTATAATAACATACAAATATTATAGAAAGTTATTAATTAATTATAATAAATATTAAAATTTTATCAATATTTATATATAATATTTACCCTATTATGTTAAATAAATTATATTATACTGTATTATATTTTTCAGTTTGATAATAATATTAAATAATGATTATCAATACAATAGTTATAATAATATTATATATAATATTCATTAAAAAAATATAAGTTGTAATTATTATTATTTTATAATAATTTATATATAATTTATATATTTATCATTTAAAATAGTCTATAATACAATATATCTGGTAAAAGTTACATATATTAATAATATAAAAAAAGCAAACTATTTTTTCTAATAATAAAATTATTATTACACAAATTATTATCAATTACTACTAATTATTAAAAGAAAATCATTAAAAAATTATTTTATTTAAAATAATTAAAAAATTATTATTAATACATAATAATTTTTTTATGTTATTTAAATTTTACAATATTTGATATTATAATTGTTATATTAGTTATAATGATAATGTGATTACTGATTGGTATCAATATCTCTGACTTGACCTAAACCACAACCGCACGGACTATAGATTTGACCATTGATTCTGTATTTATATGGATAGCCATTATAGTCAACATCAAGTTTAGGCAATTTATTGATATCTATGCTTTTAATAGTACCGGTATTACTAGTTTTATAATTACATGTATAGTTACCGATTTTATATCTATTATGAACACTATTTTTATCATAAGTTGTATGAGTGAAAAAACACTTAATTTTAATCAAATATAGTTTAAAACTTTCAAACAATAGATTATTTAGCGCATTGTTAATGGTATTCAACTCGGACTGCGGTTTAGCCATCAATTCACTGATGTTATCCTCAATAAAACTCTTTAATTTAGTCATTAAATCATCCAATTGATAGTCAATAGCCAATCACTTCAATCGTGTCCATCCATATCATTGACTTTAAATGTTGGCCAACTTTTGCCATCAATCGTTTCAATTGATATTTGTCGGCAAGTTTAAGCACATCTCGTATGTGATCCATATCTTGGCTATCGTTTAATAGTAAACACTCGATATATATAAATCCGATCATTACTTTGAACGCCTCCGCAGTTGTCTCTTTGATCTCAATCGTATTAGCATCTGATTCGCGCCAATCGCCCGAAAACATGGCCCGAAAAACATCACTTTTCAGACACAATACCGTTTTCAGTGCCGGAACCGATTGGCCATCGATTAGAAACTGGACGTCACAGTCATTGGCGTTCAACAGATAATTCAATTCTGGATATAACTCTTTATCTAAATCTAGGTTTGTCTTAAAAAATAAATAGAAAAATAATTATTTATTTATTATTGTAATCAATAAACTAATTACCATTTTATCAATCAGTGATTGTTTGTCCATCAGATCACAAAAAACTGATTCACCAAAAAAATACTTTGAATATGATTTAATTTATAATTATTATCTAACTATTATATATATGTCATATATATGAATATATATATAAATACCGTATGTGCGCGCATATAGACACTATCGTTGATTTTTTTAAGAAATAAAATGAACATTTGGTATTGGGCTGTAACTCACATATACCCCCTCCAATCTACAAAGGCTATATCTAAAGTCGCGGGGGTAGGTAACAATTGGGGGATAGGGTAAAATGTAAGACCGGTCATTACTTATACCTTACTTATAGAACTTATTGAAGTTTTTATTAATGTATGAAATTACCCCCACCCCCATATGCCGTCAATAGATGGGTAGGGGCATATGGGTAGGGGGTAATTGCATACATTAATATAAACTTCAATAATTTTTATAGTGATACGTATTTGTGAATTTATTGTATTTGCAAACTTTTGGTAGGGTTGGCGGTGTAACTCACATATTGCCCCTGTTTTTCATATAGTCTCGGATGCCCTATTTGGGGGGGGGGGTGCTATATGCGCGCGTACTGACGGTAATTAATTGATAGCTGGTATGAATGAAAACAGTATTTACTTGTTGTTGTTGTTGATGACAATACACTAAAATATAATTAAAATAACAATAAATAATTTCACAGAAATTAATTACAATTTACAATCAAATACACGTGTATTATTTTAATAAAAAATTTAACAAACAGTGATTCAATAAAATTTTTAAAAACTACTAGTATTACTATTAGTATACTGTATATGAAAATAATATGTAAATATATGATATATTGTTAAATAATCAGACATTTTTTTGTAATTCAATATTATGTACAGTATATAAATTTTTAACTAATGTTTATGTTATCAATAATTTACATCAACATTATGCATGACTGTTTAAATGATAACATATTTTATTTTAAAAAATAAATTATATTATATATTATAAATAAACTGTTTTAACTTATTTTAATATATATATAAATTATATAAATAGGTATAAGTATATGAATTTCCTATTAACATATATATATGTATTGTCTCAATGCAACTTAAACCAAAATAATAGCAGACAAACCATAAACACATAGATTACACTTAATATATATATATACATACAAAAATACATAATATGTTAATTCTACTATAATTTTAATAATAATAATAATAATTTCCAATAAAAATTTATAATTTCAAACAATTATTTATTAGTTAATATATAATTTTATATAATCATTTACTGTAATATAATATAATTTTATTTAGCAATTACTGTAAGTAATTATTTTTATTTAAAAAAATCGTATATAATTATACCAATATAATCATTAATATTATTTTTATCTACATAATTAATTGCATTACATAATAATAGTTATAATATAATAATAATAATAATATCAAAAACAATTATTTTTCAAATTAATAATTAAATATTTAATATATATATATATATATATTATCAAATAATATCAAGTAATTGAATACTGATTACAATTAATTAATTTCACGGATATTACCATAACCGAGATCATGGCGACTATAGATCTGACCATTGATTTTATATCTATAATAATGACCGTCATTGTCATACGTTGGCACCAAAAACATTGCCGGAAAGTTTTCAAACAATTTTTCAAACAACAGATTATTAACAGCACTGTTAATGGCATTCAACTCTGGCTGCGGTTTTTGACGCAATTGTTGAAAATTATGGTCAATAAATGACTTCAATCCGGCAATCAGTTCCACCAATTGATAGTCAAACGCCAATCGGCCGATCCGTTCAATTCTATCCATTGATATCATTGACAACAAATGTTGGCCAACACTCGTCATCAAACGTTTCAATTGATATCTGTCGGCGAGTTTCAGTACATCACGGATGTGATCCATATCTTTGTCGTCGTTGAGAAACAATCGCTCTGAATATATGAATCCAATCATCACTTTAAACGCCTCAGGAGTGGTGTCTTTGATCTCAATCTTACTATCCGTCTCTCCTTTGTCTTCACCCGATTCTCGCCAATTACCCGAAAACATTGCCCGAAATACTTTACTCGACATACATAACAACAACTTGACCGACGGTACTGTTTGGCCATCGATCAGAAACTGGACATCACTTTCGTCGGCATTCATCAGATAATCCATCTCAGGATATAACTCTTTGTCCACTTCGGTGTTTGACTACAACAACAGTAAAAAAATAATTAAAAAAAATAAATAAAATTTTATTTTAATTAATCAAACTTTAAATACCATATTATCCTTAAACTGATTGATTGGTCGATCACCAGTTAACTGATCCCAAATAATATGATTAGTAATTTATTTAATATTTTTAATTAAACAAAAATTCAATCAATTGATTGTCTGAATTGAAATGTTTTTTTGGGTATTATTTGTTTGTTTGAAATCAATAATAATAATTAAAAAAAAATATAACTAATAATAGACAGTAAATGATTTTTTTTTAAATTATTGCAATCATATAATTAGCGGTCACTTCAAAGGCATACAAAAAAACTTTTTATAAACTAAACAAATAATTATAGTATTATATTATTACTGTACTGTATATTACATGCAATGACTTATGATTTTTTTACAACAAAAAAAACTATTAATAAATGTTTGACCCATTGATTCAATGATTGCTTATGTTTTTTGATACAATAATTGCAATATATTTTTATAGACACAATCAACACGTGATTATGGCCTAACATTGGGACTAAACATATATAGCATGGTTTACAATGACTAACATAATAATTATATTTGAAAAAAACTATTATTAATTAAATTTCAGAAATACGGTAGTATAAAATTATAATAAAAAGTTAATATTTTTAATATTTAAGAAAATTTAGTATTTAATTCAGTTAGTTTAATATAATTTATTACATTATATAAAAAATATGTTATTATATTTTTTTACAATTATTGTAATTTGTTTACAAATATTTTTTTTCATAATTAAAAATTTATTATATGAAAAGTTATATGGAAATAGTAATTAAATTAAATAAAAACTTTTAATACATTATATAAGTCACACAATTATATAGCAAACAAATATTTATAAATACAGTATATATTTAATATCAATAATATCAATAATATTTCTTAAAAATAAATTACAAAAAAAATAAATATATTTTATGTTAATTAAATTTTAATTATTATTATTATTATTATTATTACTCTTATAATAATAATATTGATTATAATTTACTGATATCGATGTCTTTGATTTCTCCATAATTGCAATCACTATAGCTATAGATATCACCATTGATTCGGTATCTATAATACTCACCATTACTGTCAACCAGAGATTTGGGCAATTTATGTATATCAATAGGTTTAACGGCACCGGGAGTACAGTTTTTATAAGTACAGGTATAGTCACCGATTTTATATCTACTATAATTGCCATCTTTATCATACAATGCTTGAGTATTAAAAAAATCATTAATTTTAATCAAATATAGTCTAAAACTTTCAAACAATAGATTATTTAAGGCATTGTTAATGGTATTCAACTGGGACTGCGGTTTAGCCATCAGTTCACTGATGTTATCCTCAATGAATATCTTAAGTTTGGCCATCAATTCATCCAATTGATAGTCAATAGCCAATCGGCCGATCACTTCAATCCTATCCATCGATATCATTGACATCAAGTGTTGGCCAACACTTTTGATCAATCGTTTCAATTGATACTTATCGGCGAGTTTTAGTACATCGCGGATGTGATCCATATCTTGATTGTCGTCGTTGAGAATCAATTGCTCGGTATATATAAATCTGATCATTAATTTGAACGCTTCGGGAGTAGTGTCGCGGATCTCAACTGTGTTGTCCACCGATTCACGCCATTGACCCGAAAACATGGCCCGAAACACATTACTTTTGAGACACAATACCGTTTTCAGGGCCGGAACCGATTGGCCATCGATCAGAAACTGGACATCACTTTCGGCTGAATTCATCAGATAATCCATTTCTGGATATAACTCATTGTCCACTTCGGTGTTTGACTACAAATCAAACAACAAATAATTTAAACAATTTTATAGAAATATTTAATTTACAACAAAAAATTTATTTTAATTAAACAATTTTTTAAATACCATATTTTCCTTAAACTGATTGATTGGTCGGCCGCTAGTTAACTGATCCCAAATAATATGATTAGTAATTTATACTATAATTTAAACAAATATTCAATCAATTGATTATTTGAATTGAAATGTTTTTTGGGTATTATTTGTTTGTTTGAAATCAATGGTAATAATTAGTAAAAACACTTAACAAATAATAAACTAATTATAATAAAGAAATCATTTCAAATATAAATTGATTGTAATTTCATTTAAGCAAATCATATGATTAGCGGTCACTTCAAAAGGCATACAACAAAAAATTAAACAAATAATAGTATTATTATTATTATTATTATTACTAGTTTGACCCGCGCAACGTCTATAGCCGTGCAATTCTTATACTAATTTTAAAATATTCATTTCATAAGTAATTTGAATGAGACTTAATTTGTCTATACAACTACTACATAACCTAATGTAACAAAACTACTGAACCAATACACATTATTTCGTCTAAACTTTTGAGAATTTTTAGTTTTTATATAAATTTAAATAATTTTAATAAAAATTGAAAATTTAATCGTTTTTTCGAAAAAAATTTGCATTTGAGAAAATTTTACAAAAATTTAGCACAGGTAGCTTACCTCCCGGTGCCCTAATATAGCAAAGTGTAATTACACAACACCTGCCTACCTGTCCTTAAAACCTACCAGTGCTCAATAAACATTTAAAATTTCCCATAGAAATAACTGCTTTAAATAAAAATTGAAAATTTTAACACAAAATGTAAATTTTTGCATTTGAGAAAATTTTACAAAAATTTAGCACAGTTACTTACCTCCCGGTGCCCTAAGACTCACACAATATAGTAAAATGTTATTACACAGCACCTGCCTACCTGTCCCTAAAACCTACCTGAGCTCAATAATCATTTAAAATTTCTCATAGAAATAACATTGCTTTAAATTAAAATTGAAAATATAACAATATATTTTTAGCTTTGAATTAAAAAATGGTTGTTGAGGAAGTGTGCACGCATACAAACAGACAAAACTATTATATTAAAGTATAGATTATTACTGTACTGTATATTACATGACTTATGATTTTTTTAAAAAACATTTAGTAAATGTTTGACCCATTGATACATTGCTTAACATTGATTTTTCACCCAAATATTTACAATACATTTTAAATGCATGTGATTTGTGGTCTAACATTGACTACACATTTATAAACTTATATATTAAAGATAACTATTTGTTGTGTTTGTAAACATTTATTATTAACTAATTAAATATATTTTTATAGAAATAAATTTTTTCTGATAATTGTTTTTTTATATAAATAATTTTACATTTTAATAATAGGAAATTTTATTTGTTTATAAAATAATTTATGACATTAAATATTAATATATAAATTTCAATTAACCAATTTTTATACAATATATTGTAATATTATAATTAAATATACAGTTTAATATATATATATATATCATTAATCAATATTTTATAATCATTAATCATTCATATAATTAGTATTTTAAAACATAACGTAATTAAAAATTTATATAAAAAAATTACTATTATTACACTATAATCACATAATTATTATTATATTACATAACATTTATTTGTAATAATAATTATTAGTATTTTTTTCAATAATTTTTTTTTTTAAAAATTAAATAATAAATAATAATAATGTAATTTATAAATTACTGATATTAATAATTTTAGTATTAGTGATATGAGGATTACAAGCACAGGGATTATATTTTTGTCCATTGATTTGAAATCTATAAAATAGGTTACTATTGTCTCTCTTTGGTGGCGCAAACTCTACCATCGTATGAAATGATCGATAATATGGTAACAACTTTTCAAACACTAGATTATTGACAGCCGTATTGATAGCATTCAACTCCGTCTCCGGTTTGGCCATCAATTGCTTGAAATTTTGGTCAATAAATATATTCAATCGGGCAATCAGTTTATCCAATTGATAATCAAATGCCAATCGGCCGATCAGTTCAATCGTATCCAACGTTAAGATTGATTTTAAATGTTTGCCAATACTCGTCATCAAACGTTTCAATTGATATCTATCGGCGAGTTTCAGGACATCCCGGATGTGTTCAAAGTCTTTGTTGTCGTCGCTGAACATCAAATGTTCGGTATATATGAAACCAATCATCACTTTAAACGCCGCGGGAGTCGTGTCCCGGATCTCAATCTTACTGTCCTTATCATCAGTTTCTTCATCATCATTGCCACCCGATTCTCGCCAATTACCCGAAAACATTGCCCGAAATACTTCACTCTTCATACACATCAACAGTTTAACCGACGGTACTGTTTGGCCATCGATAACGAACTGGACATCACATTCATCCGCATTCATCAGATAATACATCTCTGGATATAACTCTTTGTCGACATTAGTCTATTAAAAAATAAAATTAATTTTATTAGTAATAAAAAAAGATTATTGAAAAGCATTAGTTTTAGTTAAAATGTAAAAAAATCAAAAGCAAAAATTTTTAATACCATTTTATCATTAGCTGAAACTGATTGTTCGGCCATCACTTAACTGATCCAACAATAATATATCAAATTATTTATTATATAAAAAAACTTTTGATTAAATTTATTATTTTAAATCAATTGAACGAAAAGTTTTTGTTTGTTTCAACAATCAAATCAATTGCAATACTAAACAATATATACAAACAAAAAAATTATAGACAAAAAATGATTTCAAAAAATAAATAAAATTGATTGCAATTTCATTTAAACAAATCATACGATTAGCGGTTAATACATCAAAAAGCATACAAACAACAAACATAAAACTTTAATAAGGGGTGGTACCTATATTACGTTCGCACTTGAGGGGAGGGGGAGGGGRAGGGGTTGGACAAAGCGAACTTTTGCGAACGAGAGGGGGAGGGGAGGGATAGAGACTTTAAGAACGTTCTCATTTAGATATTTTATTTTTTTAGTGGTGGCATTAATACGTCTTTTAACTTTTTTAAAAAAAAACTAATAAATTCAATCAATTGATTGTCTGAATTAAAAATAATTTGTTTGTTTGCAATCTCAATGACAAATATTAAACATATATAAAAAACATTATATAGGAAATGATTTCAACAAAAAAATAAAAAATAAAATTAATTGCAATCACAAATCACATGATTAGGTCAATCATTTAAAAAAACTATATAAAACTTTAGGTATAATTATTATTAGATTATAATAATTAGCTTACAGTATATCATATGAAACTTTTTTTTTAAAAAAAACTATTAGTAAATGTATGATTCATTGATAAATTGCTTAATAATTAGTGTAATAATTGCAATACATTTCACACACATATATATACCGTTTATAACATGGGATGAATCATAACTGATATAATTAATTAGTTTTAGTAGTATTTGAATAGAAAATATCATATTTTAAAATTAAATACATTTTACGATAATAATAATAATAATTTTCTAAATTTAGTAATTTTATTCATTGATTAATTGTTTTACAATTATAACATAACTAATACAAATACAGTTATTAACATATAACTGACTAAATTTATAAATAATTAACAAAATTGTAATTTATTATTAATTAAATAAATATAATATAATATATATATAACTAATTGTTAATCAAATATAATAATTGTTTTTAAAGTACAGTAAATTTTTATGTTAATAAGATTATCATTTAAAAAAATACAAATTTTAATAATAATATCTCTGACATAACCATAATTATATGCAACAAAAAATACGGTAATAATAATAGTTATAATTTATTATTATTTGAAAATCAATCGATCATTTTTTRTATCATTTTGATTATTATAATATAATAACCAATACTACAAATATTGTTATCAATTAATTTTGGATTAATTATAGTTTTATTATAGATTTTTGAATAATACTTAATTATAATATRTYTTCAAACCTTACCCGTCACACACACACACACACACACACACACACACACACACACACACACACACACACACACACACACACACACACACACACACACACACACACACACACACACACACACACACACACACACACACACACACACACACACACACACACACACACACACACACACACACACACACACACACACACACACACACACACACACACACACACACACACACACACACACACACACACACACACACACACACACACACACACACACACACACACACACACACACACACACACACACACACACACACACACACACACACACACACACACACACACACACACACACACACACACACACACACACACACACACACACACACACACACACACACACACACACACACACACACACACACACACACACACACACACACACACACACACACACACACACACACACACACACACACACACACACAATCCAATATATGTAACAAAATAACGGTAATAATAATAATTTAATAACATTTGTTTTTTATATCATTTTGATTACTATAATAACCAATACTACAAATATGGTTATCAATTTGATATCGAAAACTATTGCAATTATGTCACGAAATAGACTTATATAATCAAATTTATCATCTTTTATACGGATTTGTTTAAAAACTAAATGTCTAGCGATTTGATTCATATATAAATTATTGTATTTTTGTTTCAGTTGTTCATCAGATCTCATGCATCCAAACAATAGTTCACACAATAGTTCATACAATTTATACTTAACCGCCAATTCACTTAACATTCGGCGATTAGCCGACGATATTAGTGACCGCTGCCGCAGATGTTGGCCAACACTAGCCGTCAATTGTTTCAATTGATATCTATCGGCGAGTTTGAGTACATCCTCGATATGATCCAAACCATTAACACTGTCGTCGACGACGACAAACACCAGTTCCCCGGTATATATGTATTCAATCATTGTATTGAATGCCTCGGGAGTGGTATCCCGGATCTCAATAGGTTTACCATCCGATTCATTCAGCCATTCATCGGAAAACATTAACCGAAATACTGGACACGATTTCATTAAAAACGATTTGTGCGCCCAAACTGATGATTGGCCATCGATTAGAAACTGGATGTCATAGTCGGTCATCAGGTAATCGGCTAACTCTGGATCCAATTCTTTATCCAAATCCAGGTTTGACTTTAAAAAAGCGATAAATAAAAAAATAAAAAAAATTAATTAAAATTAAATTTTTTTTTTAAAATAATTTTTTGAATCAATTGAAATTATTTTCATTATAAATAAATTAATATATCAAATAAAATATTATACCATTTTATCGTTAACTGATTGGTCGGCCATCACTTTAATCAACAACTGATATCAAAAAAAAATTAGAAAATCTATGATTGAATTTAGTGTTAAATTATTATTTAACATTCAATCAATTGAATGTCTGAATCAAACAATTAAAACTGATTTTTGTGTGTTTGTTTGATATCAATGGCAATACTACTGAAAAACTATATATAAAACAGGAAATGATTTCAAAAATTAAGTGCAATTTAATCATACGATTGTATCACAAGACAAATATATATATATATATTTATTACTAAATGTTTGACCCATTAATAAATTGTCTAAAAATGTGTACAATAATTGCAATATATTTCACACACACACACGTGATTGGGGCCTAACATTGACTATACATATAACAGTAATTTTAACATAACTTATATAATATAATTATTATAATTTTTAAACACATAATTAAAACTTTGAAATTTAAAAATAAATTAAATACATATATTACATAATAATTTCAATTAATATTAAAAATTTTAATGATTGATAATTTAATTATTTACAGTAAAATATTATTACAAGGTATATGTAATTGTGATACAATTAAAAAAAACAAAAAATAATAATAATTTTTTTAAATACATTTTATATTAAATGATATAATTTATGATTATTTTCTAATTTATCTAAATATCGATTAAAACATTCAAAAACCAAATTATTTACTGAATTGTTGATTGAATTCAGCTCTGACTGCGGTTTTTGTCGCAATTGTCTATAATTGCGATCAATGAATATCTTCAGTACACGAATCAGATCCGGTAATTGATAGTCGAAAGCCAATCGACCGATCGGTTGGATGTTATCCATGGATAACATTGATATCAAATGTCGGACAACTATACTACCCATACGTTTCATCCGATATCTATCGGCGAGTATCAGTACATCCCTGATATGATCCAAATCATTGGTATCGTTGTTGAACATCAATCTCTCCGTATATATAAATCTAATCATTACGTTGAATGCCTCGGGAGTGGTGTCCCGGATCTCAATCGGTTTTTTACCATCGGATTCGATCAGCCATTGGCCGGAAAACATTGACCGAAATACTGGACTCGATGTTATCATAAATAGCTTATGTGCCCGAACTGATTGGCCATCGATGACAAACTGGACGTCCAAGTCGTCGGCTGTCATCAGATAATCCAATTCCGGATACAAATCCTTATCAAAATCCTTGGATATAAAATAAAACAATTAACAAAAAAAATATTTTTCAAACTAATTTTCTTATAATCAATTGAAATTATTTATTAAAAAATTTAAATATATATATATACTGTATAAATATAATCATTAAATTATATACCATTTTATTGTTAACTGATTGGTCGGCGGCCATCACTTATATATTATTATAATATATATAACACTTAACTGATTCAAACAAATTAAAAAAAAAATTAAATCAATGGAAATACTTTTTTTTAAAAAAATTTTTTTAATAAATAATAGACAAAAAATAATGATTACAACAAAACATACGATTGGATTATCAATTGAAAACACAATATATAAAATTAAATAACAATTGAATTATTATTATCATATTGTAGTAAATCACATGAAATGTATTATTTTGTTTAAAACATTATTTAAACAATTATTAAGTAAATGTTTGACCCATTGATAGATTATTGTCTAACATTGACTACACATCTATAAAATGGATTAATATAATTGATATAATAATAATAATAATAATTATTATTATTATTATAAATATTATTAATTGTATGCAAATATTTAATAATAAAAAAATTATCGACGATTTTTTACAATTATTTCATTGATTTAATTTATAATTATAATTTTTACATTTTTTTGTTTTGACTAAAAATAAACTTAATTGTAATTTTATGTCAATTTTTATAATATTATGAAATTATATATTTATTTATATATCAAGATTTACTGTATATAATAATATTAAAATAAGATATCAATTAACATTACTTTTAATAGTTTTATTTATTTATTTTTTGTATTTTGTTATAGTTTTAAAAAATAAAAAACTATATATATATATATGTAAATTGGTTTAATATAATAGACATAATTACAGTAGCTTTTTATTTTATTATTAATAATTATTAAAAACATTTTTCGGATAATAATTTAAAAATTTAACATTTTAGTCACACATAATTAACACTAATATCATTAGTAATAATAATATTTCTATATTCATATATATAATCAAATAATTAATAATACAGTTAAATTTTATTGTTAATTAAATTTTCATTTTAATTACTTATATTTTTTTTAAATAATAATACCATAATAATCACTACTTTTAATTGTATCGATATATATATATATATAATTATAAATTATTCAAATCAATTGATTTAATTGTAACATTTAACATTGTAAAATTTAACAAGTGTTTTCAATAGTTTCAATTGATATTTGTCCAGTGGGGGGGGGGGGGGGGGGGTGTAAAACCTAAAAATCTCGATTTCAGGGAGGATAAGATGACACTACCCTACACCCCCCAACTTATCGCAACCCTAACACACATATTAGTTTTAATGTTAACTCAATTTTAATTGTTATTGTAGACTATATTGTAAATTAACTTAATTCAGATATTTTTTTTTGTAAAATGAAACTCAAATTTTTAAATTCAAATAAAAAAAATGTTTGTTGTTAATATTAATTAAATTTTTAAACAAATTTATTAAAAAAAATAAAGTAGTAAACAAAATTAATTAAATAATCTATTAAAAATTATATATGTAATAATATTTTGTAATTTCATTAAATATTTTTTTAAAAAAGTTAATTAGATAAAATAAAACAGATTTTTTATTAATTATAATAATTAAACTTAACTCCATTTTTACAAAAAAAATATATACTGTATAATAGATTTTAATTATAACAAAAAATTATTTCATTACTAATTTTGTTTGATAGATAAGTAGTCGACATTTATTAATTGTTTTTTTATTGAAAAATAATAATTAATTAAATTAGTTTTATTTTAAAATACAAAAAAACAAAATGTTAGCTAGTATAAAATTACTAATTATTGCTAATTTGCTAATAATTTTAGTAAATGGTATACAATTGGCTGATCCAGTTGTTAACCCACTTTCAAACCCACAACCATCAGCACCAGTACTACTACTACCACTAAATACAATAGATTTACCTAATAATAGATATTCAAAATTTTTGTGTTCACCAGAAAATTTGAATACAAAACTAATCAATGATTATATTAACTGTCGATCAGAAATACCTGAACAACAACAGACTGCAAATGTTAAACAATATAATCAAAAAGTAAGTAATTATTAATTAATAAATATATAATTATTTATTTACTAATAAAAAATAAAATACTTTTTATTTATTATTAAATTTTAAAAATATATATAATATTTAAAGTTTTTGATCTTAAGGGGGTATAGAGGGGTAAATTGCAAAAATCTCATAAAAGTTGGGGTGGGGTATAGGGTGGGGTGAACATCTTTTTCATGGAATTTTAAGCTATAATTTTTGCCAAATTTGAGTAATTTCCCTATAAATTGCCAATAAATTTCTAGAAAATTACCAATAAATTCCCAATAAATTACCATTTAATATATAATAAATTCCCAATAAATTCTCAATAAAATCCCAATAAATTCTCAATAAAATCCCAATAAATTCCCAATAAATTCCCAATAAATTCCCAATAAATTCCCATTTAATATATAACAAATTCCCAATAAATTCCAGAGGGGTGGGGTAAAACCTAAAATTATCGATCTCACGGGGGGTTAGATGGCTATACACTCCTACCCCCTTTCGTAACCTTGATATTATTTATATTAATAATCAATTTAATCGTATGAATTATATTTCATATATATATATATATATATTATTGTCAAACAAATAGATGTCAGACATATATGCTAACTGTGCCGTAGGTCGGGATCATATACTAAACAAGTATACAAATGTCAATCTAAACGATAGATTTGTTAAATCAAAAATACTTGAACTATGCTCTCAATCATACAATCAATGTTTCGATGAAAAAGTTAATGAATATAAAACACTKAATAAACAATTGATAACWGATTTGATTAATGAAGAAAAAGACGGTAAATAYAGATTCACTAAAACAACTAAAGAAGTTATTGTAAGTAATATCTAATTATTATATATATATATATATATATATAATATTGAAATAATAAATTTATATTATATTTTTTTAAAAAAAAGTTAAAATATATATATAGACAAAGCCGCTTAAAAGTTTAAATTTTAGTAATATTGTGTATACAGTTAAATTTACGCTAAGCAAAGAAACTTATAATATACACTATTACCTAGGTGAAAGTTATATAAAGTACCTTGGATAAAAAAGCATTAAATAAAATTACTAAAATTTTTTAAAACTTTTAAGTGTCATATAAACAGTTTATATATCAACAATTTATTGTTAATTGCTAAATAAAGTAATTAATTTTTTATTTTTTTTGTTGTTGGTTAAATTTATTTAGCAATGTCGAAAACAATTGTTAAATTTACCAGAAAATGTTGACCATAACCAACAACAACAACAACAAAGTCCACAATCAATACTAAACAATATCCAAAATCAAACAGATTTTCCAAACAATATGATATCCAGAGCATTGTGTTCATCGGAAAAATTGAATACAAAACTAATCAATGATTATATTAAYTGTCGATCGGAAGTACCCGAACAACAACAGACACCAAATSTAGAMAATATAATCAAAAAGTAAAGTCAATTAATTTCTAATATAATTACTATTACTATTACTATTACTATTACTATAACTATTACTATTACTATAACTATTACTATTACTATTACTATTACTATTACTATTACTATTACTATAACTATTACTATTACTATTACTATTACTATTACTATTACTATTACTATTACTATTACTATTACTATTACTATTACTATTACTATTACTATTACTATTACTATTACTATTACTATTACTATTACTATTACTATTACTATTACTATTACTATTACTATTACTATTACTATCTATAACATCCATATTGTATATATCAGGCAAACAGTAAAATGCTGTTAATTTTAAATATATATATATACATATTTATTAATTATATTATTAAAACAGATGCTAGAAATATATGATGACTGTGTCGTAGGTCGGGATCATATACTAAACAATTATCCAAATGTCAAAACAACTGATAAATTTGTTAAATCAAAAATACTTCAAGAATGCTCTGAATCATACAATGAATGTTATTATGAAAAAATACATGAATTTCAAAAACAAAACAAACAATTGATTGATGATATGAATAACGAACACACAGTCGGTAAATACAGGTTCACTAAAACAATTGGAGAAGCTTTGGTAAGAAATATTTAATTTATATATATATATATAGTATATTAATATATATATATAGTATATTAATATATATATATAATATATTAATATATATATATAGTATATTAATATATATATATAATATATTAATATATATATATATATATATATTTATATATATACAGTAGTTTTTTTTATTTATTCAAAATACTTGTTGCCTTATTATAAAATGTGCAAATATTGTATATATTATTATATATACAGTATATACAGTATATATATATATTTTTACAAAAAATTATTGTTATATATGTATATTTATAACTATATATATATAAAGAATTTAATTATTTTACAATTTTAAATATATATAAATATATAATATTATACATATATATTGCAATATTTAATTTATATTAAATATTTTTACAAAAAATTATTGTTATATATACTATAATATATAGTACTATTATATATATATACTTTTATATATAGTATAATTATAACTATATATATATATAAATACTTAAATTTTATAAAAAATAAAAGTATCAAATTTTTACTGATTGTTTGTTAATAATAAGTTTTTTATAATAATTTTTATAAAAATAATTTATTTAGAAATGTCGATTTCAATTGTTAAATATACCATACAATGGTTAACCATAACCAACAACAACAACATTAAATTTTTTCAAATTTTATACAAAGTATGACAAAATTTTTAATTTAATTACTACTTAGTATATGTTATTTATAATAATTTTCTTTTAAGACTATTATATTAATTATTTTTTGTTTTATATATATTTTTCTAGTCATGTCGTAAAAAAGCGTATTTGGTTTTATAATAATTTTTTTCAAACAAAAAAAATTTGATTAAAATTTTTAAGTCAAAATATTTTTTATTTATCTATGATATAATTTATTTTATCAAAATTAATTTTAGCAAATTTTTTTGTTGCTGTTTTTTTAAATTTTGTAATTTTTTGTTGTAATAAGTTATTGAAATATATAATAAATTTTGAATTATAAAAAAACTAATTTAGTAAAGTTAGATTTATCTATCATTTATTTAATGCTAATTATACAACAAAAATTTTTTTGAATTGATAAAATTGTTTATGTTCAAAATAAAAAACTAAATTTCAACTTTTTATGTAATTATAATAACTAAAATTTATGTTTTTATAAATTTTTATTTAAAAATATATACAGTTATTTAAATACAGGTTAACCTACTGGACATTATATTACATTATTTTTAAACAAACAATTATAAAGACTAATTTTTTTATATTTTTAAGTAAAATTAATAAATTTTAAAAATAATTTTATTTAATTTAATAAATATAATGGATAAGATACAGATTTAGTTTGTATAATAAAATTTAATTAATAAATTTTCAAAATTTTTAAATTATTGATTTTATTGTTTTAAATTTATGTAAGTTTTTAAATATAATTTTACAAATTAAAAAACATTATATAATTAAACCCACACACGATAGAGATTAAAATTAATTAAAACATAGTGTATATAGTGGGTTACCATAACTAATACAATTATTATATAAATGTTAATTTAATTAAAACTTAATTATTTATAAGTTTTTTACAGTAATTTTCAATTTTGACAATTTATTAACAAATAATTTCTACAATAATTATAACATCAGTGCATGTATTACTAATAATAAATACAATTAACAAACAATTTTAATACAATAATTGGTTTAAATTACAAATATATATGTATATTAAATTATGGTCATTATTTTTATTTTTATTTTTATTTTATTTGATTCATTTTATTACAATTAAATAATATATATTATATTTAAAAATTTATTATTCGTATTAGACATAAAATTTATTTTATTTAAAAAAAACTCAAATACATATTATTACGTAATATTATATAAGATTTAATATTATACATATTATAATATTTTTACAATAATTTAAAAAATTGATATTTTATTGATAAATAATTTTTCAAATTTACATCTTTTACTACAGTTTACAAACAATTATATTAAAAAAATATTATTTTAAACACGAGTTGACATAACTAATATAATTATTATATAATTTTTTAATTTAATTAAACCATGTAATAATTAAAAAGTTGACATTTTTATTGATAATTATTATTACAATTATAACTTTATTATAACTAATTAATCTTTAATTAATTTTTCATTTATTATTATTATTATTATTATTATTATTATTATTATTATTATTATTATTATTATTAATGTAATTGTAATTATTTTTTTAAAAAATTACTTATAATCAATGGTTATGACTGGTTATGGTTTTTTTTAACAATCAAATCTATATCTATCTCCATATGTATGTCTATATTTCACTAAATTTAGGTACAGTATTGATATCAATAGTTTTAACGGCACCGGTAGTACTGTTTGGATAAGTACAGGTGTACTGACCAATTTTATATATATTAATAGTATTACCATTAGTACAATAGGTTGGTTTGTCAAACAAGTTGTCAATCCTATTGCAGTGTTGGCTAAACTTTTCAATCAACAGATTATTGCAGGCATTGTTGACGGCATTCAAATCTTTCGGCGATTTTTCCATCAATTGCTTAAAATTATTATCGATGAATGTCTTCAATGCACCGATTAGTTCGTCCAATTCATAGCCAAACGCCAATCGGCCGATCTGTTCAATATTATCGACAGTTATAACTGATCCCATGTGTCGGACAACCAATGTTTTCAATCGTTTCAATTGGTATTTGTCCGCCAATTTCATTACATCGTGTATGTGATCGACGTCTTTGTTGTCATTGAATACCAATTGTTCGGTATATATAAATCCGACCATCACTTTGAACGCTTCGGGAGTAGTGTCCCAGATCTCAACCGTATTGTCCTCCGATTCGCGCCAATTGCCCGAAAACTGGGCCCTAAATACTTCACTTTTCAAACGTAACACTGCTTTCACTGCCGGAACTGTTTGGCCATCGATTAGAAACTGGACATCACTTTTGGCTGAATTCATCAGAAAATCTATCTCCGGATACAACTCTTTATCCAAATTCAGATTTTCATAACAAATAAAAATAATTAATTAATTTTATACAAAAAACAATAAATAATTTATTAGTAAATTTTAATGTTAAAAAATATAAAATTTGTTTAACAAATATTTAAATCAATTATATATATCAATTATTATATAACAATATAATTATTGATATATATATTATTAACATTTAAAAAAAAAATTTATACCATTTTATCATTAACTGATTGGTCAGCCATTACACACCAACTGTTCCTAAAAAATAATCAGTAATTAATTTTATTACAGTATTATTATTATTATTATATATATTATATAATTATATTTATATACCCAATTAATTTATAATATAAAATACACAATTAAAATGTGATTTTAAAAAAATATATATATAATTTTTAAATCAATGAAAATAACACTAACAATAAAACAACTTAAAAATTTCATAAAGTAATTAATTGCAATTTTCAAATTAATCATACGATTAGTTTATCAAATAAATCATATAAAAAAAATTTCTAAACTATAAATAATAATAATATTTAAATTTATAAAATAACAGCAAATATGATTAAATCATTTTATATAATTGATAATTACTGTGACAACTAAAATCATATCTATAAATATTAATAAAAATATTAATATTTTTGATAATTAAACCCATACACCAATAGAGGCTAAAATTAATTAAAACATAATATATATAATGGGTTATCATAACTAATATAATTATTATAAAAAATTGTTAATTTAAATAAAACTTTTTTACATTACATTAATTAAAAAATATGACAATTTATTTATAATTAATTTCTACAATTATAGCATCTGTATTACATCAATTTTAATACAATAATTGATATGAATATATATATATAATTTATGATTACCTTAATTAATTTTTTTAATTACAATTTTTTTCAACAACAAAAATAATAATAATAATAAAATTTATTATCGTATTAGTTATACAAAAAAAAAAATTCAATTAGAAAGATATTATTATTTTTTATTATTAATATTACGACAATAAAACAAWTGTATTTTAAATTACAAATTAAATCATCCAAAAAAAAACATTTTAATTAGTTATGTAAAAGTCATACATAATTTTAACATTTATAAAATTAAATATAATAAAAATAATTATTATTTAAAAAATCATTAATTAATTATTTATTTATTTATTATATAAATTTATTTGAAAATTAAAAATAATATAATTACTTATTATAGCATCAATCATACACAACAACAACAACAAAAAAAACATTGTAATTAGTAATGTAATCAAATTATTATTGAGTAAATTTAATTATTTTTTCATTTATTATTTTTACTATTAATGATAATGTAATTGAAATTATTTTTAAAAAATTACTTATAATCAATGGYTATGATATTATAATTGATTTTTTTTAACAATCAAATTTATATCTATYTCCATATGTATGTCTATATGTCACTAATTTAGGTACAGTATTGATATCAATAGTTTTAACGGTACCGGCACTATAGTTGTTATTATAACTACAGGTGTACTGACCGATTTGATATCTATTATAATTACCATTTATATCATAGGTTGGTTTAGTCAAACAAGTTGTCAATCCTATTGCAGTGTTGGCTAAACTTTTCAATCAACAGATTATTGCAGGCATTGTTGATGGCATTCAAATCTTTCGGCGATTTTTCCATCAATTGCTTAAAATTATTATCGATGAATGTCTTCAATGCACCGATCAGTTCATCCAATTCATAGCCGAACGCCAATCGGCCGATCTGTTCAATATTATCGACAGTTATAACTGATCCCATGTGTCGGACAACCAATGTTTTCAATCGTTTCAATTGGTATTTGTCCGCCAATTTCATTACATCGTGTATATGATCGACGTCTTTGTTGCCGTTGAATACCAATTGTTCGGTATATATAAATCCGATCATAACTTTGAACGCTTCGGGAGTAGTGTCGCCGATTTCAATGGCCGTGTCCTCCGAGTCGCGCCAATTGCCCGAAAACTGTGCCCTAAATACTTCACTTTTCATTCGTAACACAGCTTTCACTGCCGGAACTGTTTGGCCATCGATTAGAAACTGGACATCACTTTCATCCGTATTCATCATAAAATCCATTTCCGGATACAACTCGTTATCCAAATCCAGGTTTTCCTACAAAAAAATAAAAATACAAAAAAAATAATTTATTTTATTAATTAGTGACTGAAATCACACCAAAAAAAAATTAATACCATTTTATCATCAATTGATTGGTCGGCCATCACTTAAGCTAATTGATCCGATAATAACAATAATATGATTAGTAATTTAGACTATAATTAAAAAAAACTTTTAAAAATAAATTCAATCAATTGATTATTTAATTTATGAATTGAAATGTTTTTTTTGTTGGTATTATTTGTTTGAAATTAATGGTTAATAATTAGTTAACAAATAACTTAACAATTAATAATAGACTTAATTATAGACAGTAAATGATTTCAAATAAATTGATTGCAATTTTATTAAACAAATTGATTGCAATTTTATTAAACAAATTGATTGCAATTTTAATTAATAGCAAATCATATGATTAGCGGTCACTTCAAAAGCCATACAACAAACAAAAAAGTTTTATAAACTAAACAAATAATAGTATTATTATTATTATTATTATTACTGTACTATATATTACATGCAATGATTTTTGAATATATTTTTTTTAAAAAATAATTACTAAATGTTTGACCCATTGATACATTGCTTAACCATTGATTTTTCCTCCAAATATTTACAATACATTTTAAAATGCATGTTATTTGTGGCCTAACATTGACACTGTATAGACAATGTATAGGTTATGTACAGTAGTACTGTATAATAGATTTCACAATTATTTCACAATACATAAGCAATCAATTGAATCAATGGGTCAAACATTTTACTAAAATTGTTTTTTTATATATGAAAAATCATAAGATATTGCATATAATATACTGTATATACCGGTATATATATATATATATATATATATATATAAAAAGTTATATATCATATTTAGTAATACTAAATACTAGAGGGGGGAACCGAAGATTTTTTAGGAACCGAAACCGAAAAATCTGAAAATCCAGAACCGTAACCGAACCGTAACTAAAACTTAGGAACCTAATGAAACCGGAACCGAACCGTAATCTTACATAAATTAGGTTAATAATATTAAGGGAGTAAAAAGTGAGCTTAAAATTTAAAAAATTTATTTTCATATTTTTATTTATTGCTATAAAATACGGTAATAATTAAATTAGTATTTTAGTAATTAGGTTATATTTATTATATTTATTATAACATATAAACTTATAAATATAATTTTATAACTAAATTAATAATTAATTAAAAATAGAAAAATTTTACTTAATAAATAATTATTTTTTAAATGCTATTATTATATTATTAAAAAGTAATAATAGTTAAATAAAAATATTTATTTATATTAACAACAGTATTTCTAAAGATAATTTTATTTGTGCTATTAATTTAAAGCTAAAAACAAAAACCGCAACCGAACCGAAACCGAAACACAAAAACCAAAACCGTGATAAAACCGTTTCGGTTACGGTTTCATTCGGTTTTATAAAACCGAACCGTTTCGGTTCCTCCCTCTACTAAATACTATTATCGATTGGCGCCAAACATTGTCTACAGTGTCTACTCTACACTTACACTGTGTATACACTGTAGTAAAGATAGGTGCAAAAAATATGGGAATAAACAAATTGTGTTTAAATTTAATAGTTATTGATTTAATAAATTAAACATTTATTGCAGATTAAATCAATTATTTATATATAATTATAAAATAACTACAATTAATAATTAATTGTAACCCGATTGGCCGCAAAACCATTTTCTATTCGGGTATTTCTAATGAAAACATACACAAAACATATGAGTGTCTAATCGGGAGTATGACTTCCCGAATAGAAAAGTGTATTGCGGGTAATCGGGTTAAAATTAATTATTAATTATAATTATTTTGATATTATATATATTTATAATTTGTTGAGCAATAAAGTTTAATTTATTAAATCAATAAATCTTAATTTTATACACAATTAGTAAATTCCCATTTTTTTTGCACCCATCTTTATATAAATTATAATTTTATTTATTTATGTATTTTTTGTTGTGGTTGTTGTTTGTTTGTGTTTGAATCAGATAATTAAAAATTTTATTTTCAACTATAATTTGTTTGTCTAACAATTAAAAAACAAATTTCATTTCATATAATTTAATTAAATAATAATATTTTTTAAAATTATTTATAACTTTTTTTTAAATATTAATAAATGAAGATATTTTTTAAAAAAAAGAATATATTTATACTGTATATATAATAATAATTCATTTATACAAATAATAATTATATTTTAATTTTAATGATATTTTAATCTATTATTTTTTAGCTCTCTTTTTAAATATATATATATAACATATAAATATTATTTATTTTAATATTTTTTAGTGTAAATATAACAAAATAATAAATAATTATATTATTAGTTATTACTGACACACATATAGATAAACAAAATGTAAACCCCTTTTAAATTATTGTTTTTTGATAATCAAAACATGTATTTTTTAAACAAAAAAAACTTATAATAATTATAATAATGTTAATAAAGTAAATATAAATCTATTGTTTGTTTAAACTATAGTAAAAAAATACAATAAAATATAAGTTACAATCAATCAAAATACATATCAATAGTTATTATATATATATTTTTTGTCAGTGAAAAAAAATAGTTTGAAACAAACAAAAAATAGTTTACAATTTTTAGATAAATATCGATATCATTGTTATTAATATTAATTATAATAATAAAAAATATATTTAAATGAAACAACAAAAAAATCAATCAATTTGTTTGTTTGTTTGTTATGTATATATATATTTGTTTCAAATCAATCAATTAATTAATCAAAAAAAAAAATGAGATAACAGAAGAACAAGAATAATAATACAAATGAATTAATAATTTTTATGTCTCTTTCGTTATGTCTTTATTATCGGTCAGTTTGACGGCCGGTTCGACAATCGGTGAAGAATCGGCTGCTGTTGTTGTTGTTGTTGTTGGTGTGGGAATGGTATTACCGGAAGCCTGTGTACTATCATTTGTGTTGGTGTCCGATGTTGTTGTTGTTGTCTGTATGGTATCTGTCGATGATTTTTGTTGATCCGATGGTGTAGTGATAGGTTGTGACGACGTCGACGAAGATTTGGCGATAATGTTGTCGTCGTTGTCGTCATCATCATCGTTGGTGTTCACAGAAGACACCGCCGCTGATGCTGTCTCTCCCTGTGTTGTTGTTGTTGTTGTACTACTCTTACCGATACCATCATCGGTGGTGTCATCTTCAGTGGTGGTCGTCATCTTCTTTTGGTCAACAGTTTCGGCATTTCTGACCACATCTGCCGACGACGCAGTCGTATCAATGACTTTTGATTCGTCTGACTCAACAGTATTACCATCGTCTCCGACATTATCGCCGCCGGCGGCGCCGGTCATGTCCTGAGTAGTTATCTTTTCTTTTGAATCGCCGCCACTCGATTCGGTACTTTCCGATGAGCCGACATTATTCGGGTTAAGTCCCGCCGAATCGGCCAATTCGGATGCCTGGCGTTGTAATCGATTGTAGAAAACAAATATCATTACAAAAATACAATTCTATTATCACCTAAACTGATCCATAAAAAAAATATTAATTAACATACATCAGTGTTATAGAAGAAATCCTTGAATTTATGGTACAAGTGATCGGACTTTTGCCGGACTCGTTCGTCAGCTTTGTATTTGCGACACTTCTTCAGTGTAGTAATCAGTGCTTTCAGTTCCGGTCCGTACGACTGTAGACCCTGAGGTGTCACCTGAACCTGTTTCAGACATTCCATGGCTTCCAAACATTTGTCAATATTTGCCGACTCTTTCGATAGCGAACTGTGTATGTCTTCGTCAATGTTGACCAACAATTGTGATACAGTTGGCGGCACCACTTTGGCAGCGGCGGCGCGGCGGACGCACCAGTAGTTGTCGGAGTTACCGGCGCTGACGACTTCTCAGCCTTTTCTTTACGTTTCTTTTCCATCTTCTCTTGTTTTCGTCTTTCTTTTTCCTTTTCTTTTTCTTTCAGTTTTTTCTGTACTTTTTCGTCCTTTAACTTTTCGACCACTTCGGCCGAATCATCGGAACCACCTTCGGAAGCGTTCGCCGGTTCCGATAAGTTATCGGCCGTCGAATCGACTGCTTCTGACTTTACTGAGACGTCAGCGGCGGTTGTCTTAGTCTTGTGCGTCGATGATGTCGACGACGACTCTTTCTTGCGTTTCCTATCTTTGTTGGCGGCGGTGTCCTCCTTGTCCTTAGATTTTCTCGTTGTTTACGTTTTCTACTCGCMGTTGTCGTCGACGACGACGATCTCTTCGACTCTTTTTCGGTACTCGTATCGTCACTAATAACAAGTTTACCGCCGCCGCCTTCGCCACTATCATCAGTGTTACCACTTTTTTCATCTTCCATGCTCTCGATGTCGGCCTTATTGCCGGCTGCGTCCGAATCGCTACTGTCATCGATGACCACACGTTTGCGTTTGGGTCGAGTACTGGCCGRCCTCTCACTGACGGCGGCGGCSGCGGCAGCGCTTGACTTTCTTTTACTGATAGATTTGTCAGTACCACCAGCACTGGTGGTCGTAGTCTTCGTCGTTGTCGACGATGCCGACGATTTCGGTTCTTTTTTCGACTTTTTCGATGACGAAGTCGCTGATGCTGTTGTCGATGTCGACGTTTTCGTAGCCGTCTTTGACGCTGTAGACGACTCTTTTGACTCTTTCTTGTTGTGCTTCTTGTGTGACGAGGACGACGACGACGACTTTCTGGTAGTATTACTCTGAATCTGATCGTCGATAACAAGTTTACGATCGTCGTCGTCATCATCATCTTCGTCGTCGTCATTGTCTCTTTATCATTATCATCGTTAGCTTCCTCYTYSTCGTCGTCCTCTTTGTTACCACTCTTKGAATTTTCGGCTACTTTTTTGGCATTCAATTTAGTCTTTCTATCTTTGGACASAGATTTCTTGTCCTCCTTCTTATTCTTGTTCTTGCCATTCGATATGGATGTCGATGGCTGGCCATCAGCAGCAGCARCGGCTACTTTGTCGTCATCGTCGTCAACAGCATTTTGATTATCTTGTGCTTCGGTTGCAGCAGCAGTTGTAGTGGTATTATTATCATCGACTTCTTCTTCTACTTCTTTACCATCTTTTCCATCATTTTTCGATAACTTTTTCTCTTTTTTCTTATCGTTATCGTCGCCGCCGTCGTCGTCCTCTTCCTCCTCATCGCTAACTTCTTTTTCATCWTCTTCTTCTTCTTCGTCGTCCTGGCCTTCAACGTCCTCCTGACTATCGACGGCCTCATCGCCGCCGCCGACACTTAAGTTCGGATTGTTTTCAATTTCATCCAAACCTTCGTTAAAGTTTTTCAGTTTACGCCGAGTGCCCAGTTTGTGTTTGTTTTGTTCGTACGGTAGCAGATCGCGGACGGACACCACAGCACTGGTAGATGAAAATGMAAAATAAAAAATAATTAGTAATTAATTCAAATAATTAATTAATTTTTTTTGTTTGAATCGATCGCTCAAAGAAAGTTTGAATACAGTTCTCAAACAAACACTTTGTCGTCTTTAAAAACAATTCAAAATAAACCGTAAGCCCATTGACATCATTGAGTTTCGGGGGGGGGGGTGGGGGTGGAGAGGAGGGGTGACCAACTTGTTGGTCAACCCGAAACAAATGTCCGGTGGGCTATCGATTTACTAATATGTGACCACTGACTGAAAAAACGGGAAGTTTTCAATTGAAATAAATCAAAAAAAAATTTCGGGAAATTTTTTGTTGTTGTTTGAAAACTCCCGGTTTCATTTGTCACCACTACTACTATCGGTGGAGCGGACTAAAAGTGACCAYCAAATAGATACGATACTGACCTCTCGTAGGTGCCGAAGAAAAACACTGGATATCTGCCGGGACCGGCCTTATAGCCGGGCGGCGGTTCGGCCTCGATCTGTACGGAAACAACAAYAAACAGTTAGATTAGATACAAAATTAGATAAACATCGGCGGTGGTAGTGGACACCTACCCGTGCTGGCCACGGCGGATAGCCTTTTACTTTGGCAAATACCAGATCGCCGACAGMGTACTCGCGGACAGCTTTTGGCGGCATTTTTTTAAAAAATAAAAAATGCCGTTAACKGACACGTGTTGTCAATCAATTGATCAATCGGATGATGATTTAGTTCGGGGCGACGGGTGTGTGGTATTGGTGGCCACCAATTAGATAATACGCGGGCGATGCCGATGACAGTCTATCGGGTGGTCACACGTGTGTGTGTGKGTGKCGTTGATGTATTACCGACGGGTAGTAGTAGTAGTGATGGCCAACAATCAACAACAACAGTAGAGTCATGCGCGGCGGCGGCGGTCAACTAATAAATGGTCAGTAAATAACCGACCGTCGGGTAGTAATAGTAATGATCGGCAAAAACACTAAACACACTATTGATTTGTAATGTTTTAGTAGTCAGTAGTGTTGTGACAATCACTGCGATTAGTCAAATACCGCGCGCACGTGATTCCCGGTTTCAATATTCAATAATAATTATAATTATTATTATTATTATTAGTCCCGAAATTTGACCGAAACTTTGTTGTTGTGTTTTTTTTTGCACACTATTTACAGTAGTATTATTAGTATTATTATTATTATTACTTGTATTTATTGTATAAAGCATTGCACATAAAACTAAACATAAAGTACGTCAAGTTTTTTTTGGGGTTAATTTTTTTTAATTTTTTTGACAAATATTTATTAATACTGTTTAATACTGTACTCTAGTGTATAGACAACACAAATAACGTATTTATTTTATATTTTGTTGATCAGCTAAATAAAGTAAAGTCTAAAAGTTTTTAATATATTTTTTTTAAAAATAAAACTAAATTTTTTAGCTAGATTAATTATTTTAATTATTTTAATTTTTAATTTTATTTATAAACTAGATCAATATATATTTTTTTTAATAGCAAATTAATTTTTTTTTTTGGATAACAAACAACAATAATAAAATTAATACAAATATATTAATTACATTAATAGTAAAAAAAAATAAATTTTTAATTTTATTTAATTACTTTTAATATTATTATATATTATTTTATTTAATTTAAATTAGATTTCATGGGAATAATATGTTTTTTTTAGGGACGAACAGTAGTAGTAGTAGTAGTTTTCCCATAGATTTTATCTAAATAGGGGTTTAGTATACAGAGTGGCGATTCCGGACCGGTTAGCTGTTTGATTCCGGGCATCCGAAACAGGGAATCGCCCGTAAAATCCAATGCTATCGATCCGATTTGTGCACCCGAATAGCTGGTCGGACCCAATACTGCCTTAACTAGACGTTGGGCTATATTTAGTTTACGGGTCGGACCACTGGTCGTACGTCGGACTGTCGGTTTTGGCGTCGGCGTCGTCGGCGGTTCGGTCAGTATAAACGTTACGGCCGTTTCGCTGTTGGTATCGTTATTATCAGCCGATGCTTCAGCGCCCGGTTCGACAAACGACGCTCGGGTGGCATCCTCTTCGTCGACAGGAAACGGTGTAGTCGTTTTGGTATCGGTGCCCGATTCCGATGATTCCTGGGTTGTTGTTGTTGTTGTTGTTGGTGTGGGTGCTGGTGATGATGTTGAACCACTATCATCGCCAGGTTTGTTAGGTATTGGACTGTCATCTATATCTTTACCAGTGGTGGTGGTTGTGGCGGTAGAGGCAGTGGTCGACTCAGTTGATGATCCCGGAGCTGCTGCTGCTACTGTACTAACGCTAGCCGACCATGCTAAATTGTTTGTATTGAATGATATTAGTAGTAATAATAATAATGATGATAATAATATTGAAAACAGTCTCAATATAATTGAATTTTTTAATAATGTTAATAAAATCATTGATATTATTATTATTATTAGTAATAATTATTATTGAATATACTATATGTACATGTATTTAAAAATATATATATATATATATATATAATGCACTATTAAGGATTTCACATATGTTATATATATATATATATATATATATATTTAATTAAATTTAATTAATTAATTAAGTAATTATATTTTATTTATTTAAAATTATAAAAAACGTACATGTATATTTATGCAATCTACTGGTATAGTTAATAAAAAAAATTGTAATATTTATATTTTTACCTAGTATCAATTTCTAATAGACTAAATCGATTATATCCTAAATTTATATACCGGTATAATAGTAATAATAATAAATAATTTAATAAATATCATATATAGATATATATTTATAAATATGAAAATTTAATTAAAAAAATTATTTCAATAAATATTCAAATCAATAACTAATCCGATGTACTTGACATACAAACTTGATTTTATTATTATTAATACATATCCATACATAACATTTAACTGTATTATTTCATTACATATATTCAAAAAAATTTTATAAACATTTTTAATTAATGAATATTAAATTAAAATAAAATAAAACTAAGATTTTAAATATTTTTTTATAATTAGCAAAGCCTTGAGAAAACTTTGTTTTGTTTAAAAAAAAAATAAATAATTTTTAATGTATTTTCAAAAACAAATATATGATATTATGATATAAGGCGTAAACCATTATTATAAACATAATGTAAATATTTTTTTATATATAAAAATATATTTAAACAATAAGTGATTGATGTGTTGGTAAACCGGTCTTCAAATATAATAATAATAATAATAATAATAATAATAATAATAATAATAATAATATTAAATATATGAGAAAGTAATGTCCAGTAATACACTGACCCGTAATGTCATTAATCCTAATCATTGTTTTATTTTAAGTGATTTGCTTTTATATATATATATATGATATGATATTATATAATATTATGTGATATGAAAACAACACACACAAAGACCGGTAAAATTCAATGAACTTATAGTTTTAAAGTTAATATTTTTTTTATATACAAATATTTTTTTAAGAAACTTGATGTCTATAATAATATATTGTATGATATTATGTATTGAAGTGATATAATGTTTGATTTTATAAAAAGTATATAAGTTATTATTATGTGGTAAACTTGAAAATATTACTATTACTTATCATTATTTAAAAATAATTAACTATTAATTATTAGTTTATTTTGTTTGATTTTTTATAAAACTTGTTTATTAAGTCATCAAAACTTTTTTTTTGATTTTGTTTTTAATTAATTAATTTACCAATAAAAATGTTTATAATATTCAAGTCATTGAAATTATTGTTATTTAGTATTATTATTATCATATCTATTGTAGATTATGTTGTAAGTATTATTATTATTATTATTATTAAATATTATTATTATTAAATATTATTATTATTAAATATTATTATTATTAAATATTATTATTATTAAATATTATTATTATTAAATATTATTATTAAATATTATTATTAAATATTATTATTATTAATTATTATTATTATTATTATTATTATTATTATTATTATTAAACATTATTATTATTTAATATTATTATTATTAAACATTATTATTATTTAATATTATTATTATTAATTATTATTATTAATTATTATTATTAGTACTAAATATTATTATTATTATTTTAATTTACCTAGTATAAAAATTATTGATTTTTTTAAATAAATATATATAAATTTATATAAAAAAAAATAGATGAATAATTCGGTGACAGTTAAAAATTTTGGATCCAAACTCATATCGTGTCAGTGCTCGTCAAAAGATGACAAACTTGAATACAAAACATTGAATCTAACTGAAGAATATCGGTTCAAATTCTGGCCAAACCTGTGGGGAACGACACTATTCTGGTGTACAGTCGGCTACTTTACTCAGGACAAGACATTTGTGGCCTACGGTTCAAATCGTAAGGACAAACATAATGTCTATGTTTTGGATACGACAGGTATTATCTATTATAATACCAATGAATATCTGCATTATTGGAATAGACAACAATTATTTTAATATATAATTTTTTTATTAGTAATAATAATAATAATAATTTATTATAAATTTATTTTCTTAAAAATTATTTATTAATTTTATAAAACTTTCAAATAATTGAAAATCACTGATATAATTTTTGACAATATATTAACAATTAATTGTATGAAAATAAAAATATATATAATTTATAATCAAATTAAACTAGATCAAATTAAATGTACTGTATATATATATTTTTTCAAAATTTTATTTATTTATTAATTATATATTACTAATATCATATTTTTAATAACTTTCACAAAAACAAAATCATTGGGTAATATTTTAATAAAAATATTTGTTTTTCAACAACAAAAAAATATTAATTGATTTATTAAAAAAAAATATAATATTATAAAATATAATAATTCATAGTTTTCGGTTATTACAATAAGCGCACAATCATACCAACACTTTCATACCAACAATTGTATAGTTTATTATACGATTGATGACATCATGTAATTTCTAACACATAGACAGTAATACTATTTTTTCAATGTTTTGTTTTCAAAGTGTTGGTTTCATTGTGCGCTTAATGTTATATTATGTTTTTATAATTAAATTATTGAATAAAATTCAGAAATAATAAAATGTATTGAATAAAAATATTATATTTTATATTATTAATTAAATATTATATTTTATATTATTAATTAAATATTATATTTTATATTATTAATTAAATATTATATTTTATATTATTAATTAAATATTATATTTTATATTATCAATTAAATATTATATTTTTATATTATCAATTAAATATTATAATTAATATTATCAATTAAATACTATAATTAATATTATCAATTAAATATTATAATTAATATTATCATGTAAATAACTTCAATTGAAAATATAAACAAGCAATTAAATTTATTTATATATTTTGTTTATAAATCACCAGTATCAATTTCAATAAGTTGACCACTATTACTTGAATAGCTGTCACCAAAACGATAGATATTACCATTGATTTTGTATCGATAATACTGGCCATTACTATCCATTTTATTTGACGGAAACTTATTTTTAAACAGTCCATAACATCGGCTCAACCGTTCAAACAGTAGATTATTAACCGCACTATTGATAGCATTCAGCTCTGGTTGCTGTTTGCTAGACATTAGTTGCCGAAAATTCTGGTCAATATAAAGCCGTAGACCATCGATCAGGTCATCCAATTCGAATCGAAACGCCAATCGGCCAATGGTTTCAATATTTTCAGCCGATATCATTGTCCGCAGATGTTGGCCAACACTTATGGCCAATCGTCTCAATTCATACATTTCGGCCAGTATTAGCACATCCTGTATGTGATTCAAGTCGGCGGCGGCGCCGCCGATAGTAGTGTTGTTGCTGTCAAACATCAGACGATCGGTATATATATATTTGACTATCACTTCAAACGCTTCCGCTGAAGTACCCATGATTTCAATTTCATTTTTCTCTAACCAATTACCCGAAAACATTGACCGAAAATATGTACTTTTTGTCGACATCAGCGCTTTGATGGCCGGAATCGTTTGGCCATCGATCAGAAACTTGACATCACTTACCTCTGGGTTCATCACATAATCCATTTCCGGATACAGTATTTCATACTTTTTATCATCGATTCGTTGCTTTTTTTTAAAAAATCACAAAAAATTAATTTTTTAAAATACTTAACTCACATATTAGTTAAATATCCAAATATATATATATATATATATATAATTTACCTTTTTTGTAGGTACAGGTGAATCATCAGCCATAATATATAATATTAGTAATTAAACCAAAAAATATATATTTAATATTATTTATTTATTTATTTTTTTGATTTATTAAAATCAAAAAATATCCAAAAATAAATATTTAACTATTATTTTATTATATACTAGTATATTTTAATACTATATTAATAAAATAAAAACATATAATATGTCTGATAAAATTGTTTAGTTGTTTTAAAATAAACATTTACTAGCTATTTATAAATATATATTTATATTATATATATATATGACGTAAACTATTTTTTAAGGTCATAAATATATACATAAAACTGTCTCACTTTGTGCTAAACCAAATCTATATGAGTTGCACCACAAATACATAGATATATCATAGATTATACTTAATATATACAAACAATACAAGTTAGTGTGTATAATAACTATGCCATGTAAAAACTCCGCCCCTTAAGCATTAGACGCTGTAATATTGCGCGCATATATATTATTGACTGTGTTATAGGATGACATTGTGTGACATTGAAAACAAACTAAGTTCACGTGTTGTTTAAGTACTTTTAGATTTGTGATAACAAATGTGATTAAATAATAAATATTAGTTGTAAATAGTACTAAATAGTGTGATAAATACAACACAATATTAATAACAATCAATTATGTGCAATAATATAGTTTTTAAAGTTAATTAAAGTTAATTAAATTAATTAAAATGTCTAATAATAATAATAAAACTAATGTACCGATTGATATTAGACTCCAAAAATTAATAATTAATAAATGGAAAGAAATGAAAATAATTAAACAAAATAATTATAAATTGACAAATATTGAGATATACAGAGACATCGCTCAACAATATCAGGTCAGCATTTCCAGTGTCAAAAAATATGTGTTGTCTGGACCAAAGCCAATAAAGCACACTAACGACAGACCATTAAAGTATGACTTTATTAATGATGACTATGAAATAATTGACGGAATTATATGTCATTTGAACAAACATTGCAACCAATTTGTGACAATGTTAGACATACATAATGAATCAAAAACAGATGATTCAAATATGCAATTATCGTTTAAAGGGTGTTGTTATAACACTTTTAGTAAAATTTTGAAACGAATGGGCTATAAATACAGTTATACCCAAAAAATTATAAGAGAGGAGATTATCAACACTCCTAGAATTCAGGAAAAAATTAAGCAATTTTTTCTGAATAAAAATGAAATAATTAAAACTATTGTGACAAATGATGGCACACCTGTATTTGTGTGGCTTGATGAGTGTTGTTGTGATAAAAACATTGTACCAAAGAAAACATTAGTGACAATTGACCCAAATAAACGTGAAAAAACTAATAAAAGTTGTGGAAAAGGGCCAAGATTTAGCGTAATACACGCGGGAAATGAAGATGGATTTATTAATGGCGCCTTAGATATTGTTTATAAATCTGAAATCAATGCCGAAATATTTGAAAATTGGCTGAAAACTAAACTAATGCCTAATTTAGAGAAAAATAGTGTTGTGATATTTGACAATTGTTCTGTACATAGTCGTCAATATAATCGAATGCCAAACACATCAACAAAAAGAGATGTTATTATACAGTGGTTGTATGACAATAACGTGCATTATGACTCAAATATGAATAGAAAACAATTGCTTGAAATAGTAAAAAACAATTCAAAGCCACCACAATATTATTGTGATGATATTATTAGAAGTTTTGGATGTTATCCACTTCGGTTGCCACCATATTGTTGCGACTTGAATCCAATTGAAATGCTTTGGAACGATTGGAAACAAATTGTGAAAAAATTTAATTTTAAAAACAATTGTGAAGACTTTAGAAAATTATTAATAAAGTCATTTGATGACATTAGACCTGAAGTTTGGCCGAATTCTGTGAGACATGTGGTTAGGGAAGTAGAAGCGCCATATTGTGAAAAATTCAACATTTTTAATGTTCAAAATCTTCCAGAGCATGATTATGCCTTTAATTTTTCTAATTATTAGTATAAAAAGTGTTTAATTATTATATAATATGTGATTTTTATTATTATTATTATTTTTTATTGATTTTTTGTTTTAATTTTTTGTGATTAACAGTATGTCTGTAATTTGTTTTTTTAAAATTTGTATATGGAAATGCTCACTAGCATACTCAACTGGTTTATAAGCAATATTTAAAGTCAAACATAGTTTTTATGTATAATTTTTTTGTGATAATAACTGGTCATCAATCTAGTCCTCCTATTGATTACCGTCGGATCAAACATGTGCCACATTTACGACAACAACAACAACTTCTTCACGTTTAAGATATCATTGACGACATAATGTCAGTTAAGGATCAGTCCTTTCATATACATCTGAACAGCGTTTGTATGCAATTTAAACTTATTATAGTGATTGCAACCAAACTTTTTGCCCAACAATTGACACAAAATGATCAACTCTTGACCTCTGAAGACACTGAAGATGTTATGACACTGTTAGACATCATTTACGAGTGCAACCAAACTGTGATCAATCAATGGCGAAGACAAACAACTTGTGGACAATAAAAAATTTGTTATTATTATTGACGACAATCTCTACTACAAGAGTATGCGTTACGAGTGGTACCAGACATGCAAAGAGCTATCATTGGGTTTCGCTATAATTATGATCAACACTTCACTGGAATTGTCACTCAATGGTAACCGACTTAGAGATGAAGACAAACGATTGCCCGACGATGTTATCGTACGAATGTCTGAACGCTTTGAATGTCCGCAACCGTCGGCCGAACCGTTCGAACAGAAAACTTATTTTCTTAGCGCTGACACAACTATTGATCACAAAATCGACGACTCATTGATTGAATTCATTACCGATGCGATCGGTGAACCAGTTGTCGATCAGACTATTCGATCGCCAATAGAGGAACAGTTGAGAGAAAGGCTTAATACAGAGTCGAAGAATAATGTTATTCACAAAATTGATTGTCTTCTGCGACAAAATGTTGGTCAACGCAGCGGTCAAATAATATCTACATTTTGTATTTTATATTAAATATATATTTTTTATAATTAATTAATTAATTTTTTTATATAATCCATATAAAAATTAATGATTTATTAAATACAAATTTTAATAATTTTTAAACTAAAATATAATAAATAATTAATATAATTATAAGTAAAATTAAATTGGAATAATTGTTAAAAATTAAAATATTAATAAAAAGTTATAATTTCATATTATATAAGTTACTTAATTAATATTCAAATAATATCTTATATATAAATCTTTACATTATTACTTTACGCTTTATAGTATAACACAGCTATACAGTAATATATATGGGAGCAATATTATAAGGTTTAATGCTTAGGGGGCGGAGTTTTAATTTTTATTTGTATGTATATATTAAGTGATATATCTATGTATTTGTGGTGCAACTCATATAGTTTTGGTTGAGCACAAACTGAGACAGTTTTACTGTACTGTATTTATAGATATACTGTATTTTTAAAAAATATTATATAAATTATATTGTAAAACATTATGCACAAATTTTTTAAATATATATTTTAAAATTTCAATTACAATAAATAGTATACAGTATATAAATAAATATTTACTGATTAATTTATAAATTGATAAATCAGTTAAATTAAAATATTGTGTATTATGTTAAATATAAAAAAGTTTTTTTTAAATATTAAATAATATATAGAATTTTAATAAAATCTACCTGCTATTTTACATAATTGTTTTTGAAATATATTAATTTAGATATAATATTTTTTTTAATAAAATTATTTTTACTTATAAAAACAACTAAATATATATATATATAAATAATAATTGATATCTATTATGATATCTATTATTTATACACTATGTATATATATATAAATTTTATACGAAAATATAATTTCATCTAGGTGACATTATTATTATTATAACATAGTAAATAATATTTATTTATTTTTTATTTATTAGGTCAATAATATTGACACTTGCACCAAGTACAATTAGCAATAGAAATTGACCGGCTGACATCATTAATATATTATAGACAATACTTGTCTTGAACTGACCCTTCAAATAGATTCGGCTCAACCGTTCAAACAGTTGATTATCGACGGCCGTATTGATTGCATTCAATTCCGATTGGGGTTTGGCCATCAATTGCCGAAAATTCTGGTCAATAAACAACATTAGTTGACCACATAGTTCATCCAATTTGTATTTGTAGGCCAATCGGCTAATCGTTACTAAGTTGTCCATTGATATCATTGGTATCAAATGGCGGCCAACGGCTAACATCAGTCGCCGTAATTGATATCTACTGGCAATTATCAGTACATCGTGTATGTGATCCATGTCTTCAGTGGTGCCATCATTATTGTTGTCACCGAAGACCAACTGTTCGGTATATATGTATCTAATCATTACTTTGAATGCCTGGTAAGTGGTGTCCAGTATTTCAATTGGTTTACTACTACTTGAGCCGACGATTCCGTCACCCGATTCTAGCCATTCATTCAAAAACATTGACCGAAATACTAGACTCTTGGCCGACATCAGGGCTTTGATGGCCGGAATTGTTTKGCCATCGATTAGAAACTGGACATCACTTACCTCTTCGTTCATAAAGTAATTGATTTCCGGATTCATTGTTTTTGTTGAGTTTTTTTTTTGGTGTCAATCGATAGCCGCAAACACTGTTATCTAATAATGTTTTTTTTAAAATATATTATAATAGAAATATTTTATATAAAATTATTATAATTTTTTTGTTTGTTTGAATTAATCTATAATATATTTATTTAAAAAATAATTATAAATAATTATATTATACATACATTTACTATAATAGAAAAAATTAGTTAATTTAATTTATTAGTATTATTATAATTTTGTTTTAATAATTACTATTTTTTGATAATTAATAAACTTATAATATTTTTTTTAATAATGACGTAAAAAATTTTATTTTATAAATTTTTATGTATGAAATTACTGTTAAAATTATTGAAATAACAAATTATTTTATCAATAATGCAATAATAAAAGTTTTCGTTTGTATAAAAATATTTATATCTTTTTTTATTTATCTATTTATTTATATAAATACAACTATTTTTTGTTTGTTTTATTTTATTTTATCGATAAAATATTATTTTATAAAATTAAAAAATTTGAAGACATTTGTCTTTTAAAAATAGTTTTTTTGTCAATAAAAAACAATTCAATTGTTTTATTCAAAATTTTTTTTATTTACTTTTATTTATTGCAATGAATTTTTTGTTGTTGATGTGTTTTTAAATACAGTATAAAACGTAATGTTATGTATAAATATATTATACTGTATATAACATAATGTAATAACAAAAAACAATTATAACCATAGGCCGAGAGCATTTGAGACTCATCGGCTCATATTAGTTCTAAATGTGTTAGAGTCAGATTATGACATTTTATTTTGAAAAAAAATATTGTTGAGATCTAACTTTAAAATGAAATTTTTTAAGTGGCATTTTTATCATTATGAGATAAGTTAATAAGATAAGTTACCATAACAATATTTATTTTTTAAATAAAAATTTCAACTCTATGATTGGATTTTCTCAAATGCTCTCGGCCTATGATTATAACAAATATTGTCAATAAAAAAATACATTAATTACAAAAATCTTGATTTAATTAAAAAAAAGTATTTTATAATTATTAGTATTAAAATTAAGTTTATAAACAAAAATTATTAATTCAAAAAAAAAAATTATTTAATAATGTAATTAAATTAAAAATTATTTAAAAATGTAATTACTATAAAAAAAATAATTCAAATTTATATATAAACAAACAAAAAATTAATTAATTAAAAAAAATTATTTCATATACAGTACTCATAAAACAAAAAAAAAACTAAAAATAAAATTATCATCAAATTATAGCCGTAATTATCAATTACCGGTATTTAATTATTAGTATTATTTATTATTATAATGTAATTAATTTATTAATTAACATTTTATAATTGTAATCAATTATTTATTAACTGATTTTATTGATTAATTAATTAATTAATTAAATAAATATAAGTAGTTTTTCAGTAATCAGTATTTATGAGGTCAACACTCCCGCAACAAACAAACAATCAATCAAAACAAAAATATGTCAATCAAGCAATATATAAATATATATATATATATAATCAATGACCACCCGATATCGTTGGCCGCAAACACTGCCGGCGCCGGTGTTGTTGTCATCGTTGAGGTAATTGACAACAATATTATTATTGCCAACTATTTTATCGTATCGTTACCGATAGTTGGCAGCAATAATAATATTGTCGTCAATTAACCCAACTATTCTACCAGATATGGTCGTGAGTTGATACAGCCAACAACCGAACCGTTTGCGGTAACTATAAGTTAAATAAAAAACAAACAAACAATAAAACAATTGGTTTTAATTATATATATATTATCTACTATTTAAAAAAAATATCATACCATCTCTGCCGTCTACTATTGCAGTTGTTGTGGTGGCGGCGGCTGCGGGTGTCTGGCCAGAGGGTGTGGTCGTGAGTTGTTGGTGTTGCTGGCGGTGGTGTTGTTTGTCGCGCTTATGGCGCAAAAGGCTACACGACATAACATAACTTAATTTGCAGCCATCGTAATCACATTTAATTTGCAGCCATCGTAATCACATTTAATTTGCAGCCATCGTAATCACATCTTAATCACTTCTGGCGATTCTTATCGGCCCATCGCTCATTAATAGTCGGCTTCACTGAATTGCCGGCGTCGGTGTTGTCGTTGTCGGTGTCGTCGTTGTTGTTGTTGTCATCGCTTAGGACATTGACGGCAATCGTATCGTTGGCGGCGCTAATATTCACAACATCGGGTTGTGATTCCCGTTCGGGACTGTTGTCGACATTGTTTGTATCGCTAATCACTGATTTTGGCCGCTTTTTTGTTGCCGTCTTTGAATTTGTCGACTTCAGAGGTCGCTTCGCCGGCATCGGTGGTAATAATGCCGACTCTGGCGGTTGTATTTGTCTAAATTTAGTCGGCATTAGTTTGGTTGCCGAACATCGATGACTATTTAAATTTTTTAAATTTCTATATATTTTTCGGCAATCGTTACATTTTACCGACCGTTCTCTTTGATTGGTGGTCGGCTGCACAGTTGTTTTTGGCACCAATAGTTGTTTGTTACGCAATGATTTACGTACGGGGACGACAACGGCGGCGGCGGCGGTCAGTTGATTGTCATCGGATGTTTCAATTGTGAATTTGCCAGTAATATCATCGATAATTAGTTGACCACCGATGGCCAGGGCATCCAAATATATCTTATCAATGTTTTGTAATCTTACAAAACATCTAAATTATTCAAAAAAATAGCAATTAGTAGTAGTAGTAGTAGTCGTCGTAGTAGTCGTGGTGGTGGTGGTGGTGGTGGTAACCAAATTGGTCCGCCGTTACAAGTATTTGGAAAAAACATTGGAAGAAACTTTCCAATTTACCGCCGATGATCGGCCGGTCATTTGCCGGTTATCGGCTCAACCGGGAATCGGTGGCCCAACAATCGGATACCCGAATGAAACAAAAAAAAATAACATACGGTAACTCTCTTTTACTTACTCTTTAATTTCTGGATCTGCCGGCGGCTTATTGTTGTTGTAGTTGGCCATCGATTCAGTCGTCGTCGTGTTTTTTGTAATCTAACATAACATCTAAATTTAATAAGAAAATATTTATTTAAAAAAAAAATTGATTTAAAATTTTAAAATATCGGTTCAACCGATAATCAGTGGCCAACAATCGGATACCCGAATGAAACAAACATAACCATACAATCATACGGTTTAAATAAAAAACTTACTCTTTTACTACTGGATCTGCCGGCGGCTTATTGTTGTTGTTGTTGTTGGCCATCGATTCAGTCGTCGTCGTCGTCGTTAACAAATAATTTACAATAATTTAATTGTAATTTAAAACTTAATTAATTTTAATAAAACAAAACAAAAATTTAATCAATCAATTGATTGTTTGAATTGAAATGTTTTTTTTTTTAGTTGGTTTGTATTATTTGTTTGTTTGTTTGAAATCAATGGTTAATAATTAGTTTAAACACTTGACTTAAATAATAGACTGGAAATGATTTTTCAACAACAAAATAATGATTGAAATTTCATTTTATAGCAAATCATACGATTAGCGGTCACTTCAAACAAGGCATACAAACAAACAAAAAACTTTTTTTTTATATAAATAGTATTACTAAATATGATATATAACTTATATATATATATATATATACAGTATATTATATGTATTATACACTGTATAATAAAATTTGCAATTATTTCACAATACATAAGCAATCATTGAATCAATGGATCAAACATTTTATTAATTGTTTTTTTTATAATGAAAAATCATAAGACATTGGCATATAATATACTGTATATACATATATATATCATATTTAGTAATACAGTATTACTAATACTATTTATTAAAAAGTTTTGTTTGTTTGTTTGTATGCCTTGTTTGAAGTGACCGCTAATCGTATGATTTGCTAAAAAAAATTGAAATTGCAATCAATTTATTGAAATATTATTAGTTTTATTTGTTAAATGTTTTTTTTAAGTACATAAAAAAATTAATTGTATGCTAACTGAATTAAATACTAAAATTTTTTTTTTATTAAATATTAAAACTTTTTAATTATAATTTAATATATTATATTATTTTTGAAATCCTAATTAATCAATAATTAAGTTTTTAAAAACAAAAAATTTATAATTATTATTATTATTATTACTATGTCAGTCATTGTAACCCATRTTATATGTTTAGTCCCAATGTTAGGCCACAATCACGTGTTGATTGTGTGTACAGAAAATATATTGCAATTATTGTACCAAAAAAAAAAAAAAACATAAGCAATCATTGAATCAATGGGTCAAACATTTTATTAATTGTTTTTTTTATAATGAAAAATCATAAGACATTGGCATATAATATACAATACTGTATAAGTTTTTATATAATATTTAGTAATACTATTATTAGTTATTTATTTTGTATATCAAAAAGTTTATTTGTAATACATTTACTGTATATGTGTTGACCCAATCGTATGATTTCAACAAAACAAAAAAAATTCAATTAAATCTCAAATTAAATTAATTAATTTTTTTTATAAATAATAATTGTTTGTTTAAACTGTATTAATAATATATTACGGTAATTACAAAAATCTTGATTTAATAAAAAAAAGTATTTAATAATTATTAGTATTAAAAATTAAAATTTATATAATTAAAATTATTAATTGAAAAAAAATTAATTTAAAAATGTAATTAAAGTAAAAATTATTTTAAAATTAATTAATTTTAAAAAATTATATTATTTTCCAATTATTTGAATTGATTATTAATTATTTAATTATTATTATTATTATTATTATTATTATTATTATTAGTAGTAGTAGTAGTAGTAGTAGTAGTAGTAGTAGTTGTAGTATTGGTGGTGATGTTTGTAGTATTGTTCATCAAATCTATACAACATTAAAATATATAACAAAAAAAACAAATTTAAATTTTATTATATTATATTATAATGATATTATTATAATTAATTAGATTACCGGTTAATAATTTTATTAATTCCCTGATGACGGGGACAATAGACAAACCGTTTGCGGTAACTATAAGTTCAACAAAAAAAAAAACAAAAACAATAAAACAATGGTTTTAATTATATATATATTATATACTATTAAAAAAATATCATACCATCGCTGCCGTCTACTACTGCAGTGGTAGTGATGGTAGCGGCTGCGGGTGTCTGGCCAGAGGGTGTGGTCGTGAGTTGATGGCCAACAACCGAACTGTTTGCACTAACTATAAGTTCAACAAAAAAACAAACAAACAATAAAACAATTGGTTTTAATTATATATATATATTATCTACTATTTAAAAAATATCATACCATCTCTGCCGTCTACTATTGCAGTTGTTGTTGTGGTGGCGGCTGCTGCTGCTGCGGGTGTCTGGCCAGAGGGTGTGGTCGTTAGTTGTTGCTGGCGGTAGTGTTGTTTGTCGCGCTTATGGCGCAAAAGGCTATACGACTTAACATAACTTAATAAGCATCCGTCGTAATCACATTTGTATGGCCTCTCCGGCAGGTCATAATCGTCATCGTCATCGTCATCATCGGTATACTTATCGAGTAGTGACCGATACTGCGGCCACTGATTATCAGTGGCGGCGGCTGCTGCAGCGGGTATCTGGCCATATATGGTCGTGAGTTGTTGTTGTTGTTGCTGGCGGTGGTGTTGTTTGTCGCGCTTATGGCGCAAAAGGCTACACGACTTAACATAACTTAATTGGCAGCCATCGTAATCACATCTAAATCGCTTCTGGCGATTCTTATCGGCCGATCGCTCATTAATAGCCGGCTTCACTGAATTGCCGGCGTCGGTGTTGTCGTTGTTGTTGTCGTCATCGCTTAGGACATTGACGGCAATCGTATCGTTGGCGGCGGCGGCGCTAATATTCACAACATCGGGTTGTGATTCCCGTTCGGGACTGTCGTCGACATTGTTTGTATCGCTAATCACTGATTTTGGCCGCTTTTTGGTTGTCGTCGTCGTCGTCGGCTTCAGAGGTCGCTTCGCCGGCATCGGTGGTAATAATGTCGACTCTGGCGGTTGTATTTGTCTGAATTTAGACGGCATTAGTTTGGTTGCCGAACATCGATGACTATTTAAATTTTTTAAATTTCTATATTTTTTTCGGCAATCGTCACATTCAAACGTCCGGTCTCTTTGATTGGTGGTCGGCGGCACAGTTGTTTTTGCCACCAATAGTTGTTTGTTACGCAATGATTTACGTACGGGGAGGACAACGGCGGCGGCGGTCAGTTGATTGTCATCGGATGTTTCAATTCTGAATTTGCCGATGTTATCGATAATTACTTGACCACCGATGGCCAGGGCATCCAAATATATCTGATCAATGTTTTGTAATCTTACAAAACATCTAAATTATTCAAAAAAAATAGCAATTAGTAGTAGTAGTAGTAGTAGTAGTAGTAGTAGTAGTAGTAGTAGTAGTAGTAGTAGTAGTAGTAGTAGTAGTAGTAGTAGTAGTAGTAGTAGTAGTAGTAGTAGTAGTAGTAGTAGTAGTGATGGTAACCAAATTGGTCCGCCGTTACAATTATTTGGAAAAAACATTGGAAGAAACTTTCCAATTTACCGCCGATGATCGCCGGCACTTATTAGCCGATCGATTATCGGCTCAACCGGGAATCGGTGGCCAACAATCGGATACCCGAATAAAACAACAAAAAAAAATAACATACGGTAACTATCTTTTTACTTACTCTTTAATTTCTGGATCTGCCGGCGGCTTATTGTTGTTGTTGGCCATCGATTCAGTCGTCGTCATCGTCGGCGATGTTTGTCTACCAGTCGATGGGGTCTACTATACCGTATACTACTGTATAAAGATGGGTGCAAAAAAAATGGGAATTTACTAATTGTGTATAAAATTAAGATTTATTGATTTAATAAATTAAACTTTATTGCTCAACAAATTATAAATATATATAATATCAAAATAATTATAATTAATAATTAATTTTAACCCGATTACCCGCAATACACTTTTCTATTCGGGAAGTCATACTCCCGATTAGACACTCATATGTTTTGTGTATGTTTTCATTAGAAATACCCGAATAGAAAATGGTTTTGCGGCCAATCGGGTTACAATTAATTATTAATTGTAGTTATTTTATAATTATATATAAATAATTGATTTAATCTGCAATAAATGTTTAATTTATTAAATCAATAACTATTAAATTTAAACACAATTTGTTTATTCCCATATTTTTTGCACCTATCTTTAACTATTGTTTGATTGATTGTTATTATTAATGTCTAATTTATTAGGAATTTATAATGCATTTTATAGATGATTAGTTGTTTTAAATTATTTTATATTAAAAAAAATTAAAATAAATCAATAATTATAGATAACTAAAAAAAATTATAATTTAAAAAAAATCTATTATGATATTAAATTAATTATAACTAAATAATTAAAATACAGTATAACTTATGATTTTATGAGTTTGTAGTCTAAATAAAAATTTATTATTTTTATATATAAATAGTTAATAATAATTATAAATACTATTAACTCTAAATATTAAGGGTTTGTAAATCTATAACCAAAAAAAAAAAAAATTATTGACTAATTTGTTATTGTAATGTAAAGTTAGTTTTATAAGGGATATAATAATTAAACTGTGGTCACCCTACTATACTTTATGTCAATTTGCTAATTAAAAAAATTAATAAAAATTAATTTCTAGTAATTAAAATAATTAAAAATTGTAGAAATATTTATCAATTAATTGTAATCTAAATTTTTTTAAAATAATAATTATTATAAAATATATTATAAATATAATTGTGATTTTTTTTGATAGAAAAAGTCGTTTGAAAAAATTACATAATAATTAATAATATTTTTAAATAATTAATATATTTTTTAGAAATAAATAATAAACTTTTTAGTTGTTGTCTAATATTTATTGCATTCACTTGAAAATTGAAAAATAATTTTAATTTTAGATTTTTATTATTATGTATTAGTAATAATTGCAAAAAAAAAATAAAATACATGTTTATCGGTATTTTTAAATTAGGAATTTTTCAAAATAATTTTATATTATAATATATATCTCATATATATATATATATATATATAGTATATTATTGTATAATTAATGATTTATTTTTTTAAAAAAGTAACTAAAAGGGTGTATCAGTTAAAATAAAATAGTTTAACATAAAAATAATAATAATAAAAACATCATAAAACTTATCAACTAATTATCAATTGATGATATCATTCAAAAAAAAAAATTGTTTAACGTCAATGAGTTTGTAAGTTAATGACTGTTAGAGAGAGAGAGAGAGAGAGAGAGAGAGAGAGAGAGAGAGAGAGAGAAAGAGAGAGAGAGAGAAAGAGAGAGAGAGAGAGAGAGAGAGAGAGAGAGAGAGAGAGAAGAGAGAGAGAGAGAGAGAGAGAGAGAGAGAGAGAGAGAAAGAGAGAGAGAAAGAGAGAGAGAAAGAGAGTGAGAGAGAGAGAGAGAGAGAGAGAGAGAGAGAGAGAGAGAGAGAGAGAGAGAGAGAGAGAGTTTATTTTTATGACATGAATGTAACTTTTTTTATATACTTAATTTTTAAGTACATTTTATTATTACTCTACAATAAAGTGTAATAACTTTTTGTTGTTGTAGTAGTTGTTTGATTGTCATCAAGTTTTCATTGAACTAAAACATAAATTAAATAACAAAAATAAACTAATATTACAACTATTATAATATTTATAGTTATTATAAGTTTTAGTTATCAAATTAAATGTCATATCAAATAAAATAAAAACTTTATGTGTAATTGCAAACAAATTTTTTTTTGTATTAGTTTTTTAAAAAGTTTAATAATCTATATATTATTTGTGTTTAAATCATAAATAAATATGATTTTTTAAAATTTCCAATAATTATCAACAAAAAATTTAAACTTTAAGTTTGATATTAATAATAGCAACAATAATAATGTWTAATTTTTATTAATTTTGTAATAAAAACAAGTTTTTTTTAATATATATTTATAAATGTATTGAATGAATAATTTTTTTTGAATGTATAGGCATTTAGTCGAATAAATACAATTTTTTCAGTAATAATAATAATATTAATAATTAAAAGACAATATTTTTTTATAAATACCAATAATTTTTGTTCAACTAATTAATAAATTTTTTTCTATATATCAATATAAATACTGTATGAATGTATGTATATATATTGGTTAAACAGCTATACATTTGGAAATAATAGTTTTTTTGTTGTTGTTTATAAACTATTTTTATAAATAGTATAACTATTTAATACTTATAAAAAAAATGTTTTTTTTAATACAAACAATTTGACAATAATTATCTGATGATAAATTAGTGTAAATTAATTAATTTAACTTTTTTTTATAGAAAAAATTAATTATTTAATTTAAATAATTAATTTGTCACATATATATAAACAACTATATATATATGATATATAATATATATATATTAATATATAAACACTACATAAAATTTTTAATTAAAAATTTATTACTATATTTGAATATTATGAATTAATTAATTAATTAATTATAAAACTTTTTATTTTTATTGAAACCACTTAATTGTAATTTAAGCAACAACAAAAAAAATTAGATGAAAAATAATAATAATAATTAAATCAAACACAAATTAAGTTATTTATATAWATATATAAATATATATATATTATATATAAATATCAAAATTATATAATCAAACAAAAATAATAGTAATAATGTATGAAAAAATATATAATTACCAATACTTAAGAAAAAAAAACAAATTAAAACTTTTTATAATTTAATAATAATAATAATGTATTTTTATTTTTTTCCAGTGTTTGTGAGCAAATTAATTAAAGAGAAAATAATAATAATAATAATAATAATAATAGTTTTTAATAGCAATTTCCAAATCATAAATAAACAAATTATTTAAAATGAGAGATAGATATWGAGTTAAAACAATAGTTTTTATAAACTTTTCATTTGGAAAATAATAATAATAATAATTATTTTTGTTGTTGTAATAATTGTAATATTAATTATGATAATAAATTTTTTTCACATATCTAATTTCTATTTTCAATTAATTAATTAATGATTGAAATAATAATAATAATATTAAAAACAAATAATATATCAATTTTTGTTGGTTGGTTGTTGTTGTTGTTAACATTAAACATATACAGTATATACTGTTTTATATAAATGTATTTTTTATGTGTGTGTGTGTGTGTATTGTATATAAGTAATGATTTGACAGTAGATAATAATAATAATAATAATATTGTATATATAATAATAATAATAATCTCTCTAAAATTTTTTTTTATCAATTATATAGTTTATTATAAAAAAATAATTTGTTTCTCACAACAACAACAACAACAAAAACCAATKAATATATTGTTGTTTTTACCACAAAAAAAAACTTAAGGATATAATAGAGTAGAGAAAAAAAATGGGATACATATGTAAAATGTGTTTTTTGTTTGTTTATCCTTTTAAATAAATGTTTGTTTGTATTATATAATTGTAATTATTATTATTATAATAAAATTTTGTCTAAAATAACGCAAATATATTGATTTTGTTTTAATGTTTGTATGTTTTTCTATAATTTATGTATTAATTAATTGATTGATTGAATGATGATTTTGTTTTTTTTTCTGTTTGTTTGTCTGTCTGTCAAAATTTGATAGATATATATATATATATATATACCATATATCTAATTATATATATTTATAATCAGTAATAAAATCCATTATATAATAATCAGTATAATATAGTAATAGTAATAATATCAATAATTATCATTAAAAAAAAAAWATTTTTTTCTCAAAAAAAAAACAATCAGTTGTTGTTATTACACAATTAGTAGTGTAGTAGTTGTTGTAGTAGTAGTAGTGATAGTAGTTATAGATGTAAATGTTAATCGATGGATGTTTTTTTGTTTCTTTCAATTAATTGCCATTTAAAATGTTATGTTTGTTTGATTGTATTGTTTGCTTGTTTCCTAAACAATACATTTAATCCGARTTTTCAGACTCTGATAATAATAATTAAATTAAATAAAAAAAAGATAACAAAAAATTAGTATTTAAAAGTCTATTAACATTTAAATATAAATAATTATTAAAAAAAAACTTAATATGTAATACAAATATTGATATCTGATAAGTCATTATCAGCAATAAAATTATACATTTATATGAAATGTTTTTTATTATTATTATTTTTAGTCAAGTAATACATCATAAGACATATCTATATATATATCTACCGGTATATAGACATACACGCAGTCAAAACACACAGTCATATAKKTATGATATATCAATAGAGATATTGAAAATAATTGCTATATTATARATATAAAAAAATATATATATTAAATACTTATGTACTCAACAATAGTGGGGGGAAAGAAAGAGAGAGAAAAAAAACAGGTAATAACTGACACAAACTGTCTGATTGTGAGCAACAAAAAAAAGGCTTAAAAAATAATTATATGGTTTGGTATGTACTACTGTAAAGGTATGCAGCATTTAAACCGGTACCTAATATTTCAATCATTCAAGTCAATGACCCCCCTCTAACCACACCACAGTCTACAAGTGCTATCCCATTATATCTGTACTTTTTTTTATATACCATACCCTTAACTAAATGAAAAGAAAATATGGACACATATATMGTGCAAATGAAACCAAAAAAAATTATAATAAAAAAAACAAAATTGAAAATCACATCATATATATATATATACAGACACACAATGTATTACTCAACTAAATCATTGAAACAATTAAAAAACAAATCAATTGTTATTATCTATCAATCAATCAATCAATCAATTGATTGATTTTTTCGTTTACCTTCTTCAGCATTCTGTAGCCATTCGACAAACTTTTTCATCTGTTCGAGGAATACACTCTTGCCTTTGGACGAGTGATCCTTTTTGAACCAATTGACGATAACGTCTTCGCTTATTACGTCAGCTGTTAGTTTAGGTGATGTCAAACAAAGACAACAATCAATTAAATCAATTGATAAACCAATCAAAACAAACAAAAAAACAAATAAAACAAACAAAACAAACTTTTATATAAAAGGACGACAATCTTTTGGAAAACTTTTAGAAAATTCATATTCTCGTAGCAAAACTCTTGGATGCGGACAATCAAAGCCAGTTCCGATTTCGGTGTCTTTGCAAATTCACCCAACAGGCCATTGTATTGGCGCAGATGTTTCAGGGCCTGGTCGGCCACCAGTTCCTCTTTTTTGTTCCACTCCACCGCTGCCATCAATGTATTCCATAGCAAAACGGCTACTTCGGATTCGGGTATCAAAAATTTGGCTACCGATTCCTTGACAACGGCTATAAGTTCTTTAACGGAAGCACTTTCCCGAATCAGTTCAGATACCTTGAMCTGTAGTTCACGTTTAACTGATGTACCCAACTGGGCCTTATGATAGTCGACCAATTGGTTCAGTCCAGAGGCTATAAACGCTTCCGATAGTGTCTCGTGAGTGCGCTTAGAGCTCGGATAGAAGTCCTGTTTGATTTGGGGGTAAAAAAACAATTAATTAATATTTTTTTTATTGATTATAAATAAATCATATCAACAATAATACTGTACTTTAAATAATAATAAATATGTTAACTAAACGTTTTTATTAATGTCTATATATATATCTATAGGTGAGTCACCGATAAGTAATATATAATACAGTAATAATAATAAATTTAACGCTAATTTAGCATTTCATATGAAATATAATAAATARTAACTGATTGATTAAATAATCTATTAATTATTATTATTATTATCTATTGATTTTGACACTGAAAAAATAATAATAAACCTAAACATAGCTACTTAATTACCTAATATATACCCCCCCAATTAGGTAGTGTTACACACATTTAGCCTAAAAAATCATTGTTTTTGTTGTCGTTATTTAAATATATCAAATAAAAATCAGACCTATCGATCCATTTATTATGAATAAATCATATGATAAATATATATATATATATATTATCATAATTTACATAATAAAATCATCATATTTTTGTTGACATATTTAAAAAACTAACAACAAAATTGCAGTATTTTTTTATCTATAAAAAATATGTGTAACACAACAACATGTTTATATAGTACACCTCCTAATCATAATAATAATAATTATTATTAATATAAAATGTATTTCAATGTTATATATATGAAGACAACAACAAAAACAGCAATAAAACACACATATAAAAAATCATACGATTTTTAACATTGAAATTACATTTTTTTTAATATAAATATGTTAATTCAGATAAACTAATTAGAAAAAAACAATATTTTTTTCAACAACAAAAAAAACTAACTAAATATCACACATATATAAACAACACACGCAAGTGACTAATAAATTATAATTTTAAAAAAAAACTAATAAACACAACAAACAAACAATAAGTTTTTCAAACAAACATCAAAAAACAAATTCAATTAAATAAAACAACAAAAATAATTGTCAAACAATTGGGAGCCCATCTATAACTCCTACACTATATATATTTATCGGTAATAATAATAATAATACTAATCATATCGGTATCGGGACAAACATTTCGGGTAATAGAGAGATAGAGATAACCAATTAATCGGTAAACAAAAAACTAAATTACTGACCAATAGTTTCGAATCGAGTCCCGATTTTCGGAGGGCGTTCCACACTTGTGTCGCGTCCTTATCCGAGTGCCAGTACTTGAGGACAGTTATCAGAAATTCCGATGCAATACCTTCCTTAACGAGATGATCCTGTAATGCAGCCGACAATATACTTGTGGACAAATTCGTTTGGCCCGAAGCGAGTAAAAAGGCGCAAAATTTGGCCAATTTTTCCCGATCATCGGCGGTAAATGCCTTGAGAAATACGACAATCTTTTTCAAGGTTTCTTCCAATGTTTTTTCCAAATACTTGTAWCGGCGAACCAGTTTGGTTACCACTTGTGCATAGGCTCGGACAGCTTCGTCATCGCCGGCCGGCGAACCGAATACCGATGTTTCCGTACGACAATTATCCGGTGGATCTTCGATTATGGAACCGCCCGGTGCTAGCAGTCCGCCAGCAATCAAAATGTCGAACAAGGCTTCACCGTATAGACGATAGTCTAGTTTGTTGCCGGATATGTCTAGAAATTTGGACAACTGGTCGAGATCGCCGCTGGACTCGTTGATGCCGATAAAGATTGAGTCACGAAAGCCTTTCGCGTCGAACTTCTCTTTTTCATCTGATTTAACCAATTGATTGATTAGAAGATATTAAAAAAAAAAAAAATGATTAGACAATTAGACACAACAAAAAACATTTAAAAAAAAATTAGGACATCCAAGTGATTGACACGCTTTCGCGCTACAGTGTGTGTGWGTGTGTGATAGGAGAAGCCGCCGTCAATGGCCTCAATAAACAACTAGTGGGTGGGTGTCTAATGGTGGTGGTGGTGGTGGGGGGGATCTAATTGATTGATAATAACTATTTGATACCATAATGGCTATGGTATGCGCGCTTTACAACCTTAACAACAACAACAACAAAAAAGGTGATGGCGTGGACCGCGTGTGTGTGTGTGTGTATATGTTCATACAAACACACACACACAGTGATAGATAGGTTATTATGGGGGGGGGGGGGGGGGTGGGCGTGGTTGGTTGGTTGGATCAGCTCAATAGATATCGAGAGATATAATCAAACCGTGTGTGTGTGTGTGTGTGCTATGTCGGGGGGGGGGGGGAGACAGAGAGGATAGACATCTAATGAGTGGGGGGAGGGGCTGGCGGGCGAGCAGCACATGGATGTGGTGGTGGTGGTGGTGGCCATCATCATCGGCGGTAGATATCATACCTCTTTTTCTGGCCTTAATACGTTGACCCTGAAGTGTTGGCCGCTCCGATGCCTTTTGATTCATATACAACCGTCTCTACTGATTCTTCACTGATTCTTCACTGATGATGACGACAACACAACGACGACGACCACTACTACTATTAGTTCTTCTTCTTCTTATTCTTAATCTTCTCGACGACCACTGATGTCCACAACAACTGGAGTATCACTAATAGTATTAGTTATAGATTATAGTGTATTAATTGACTGAAACGTATAGTTAGTGTACTGTATGTATGTATGTATAGTGTGTGTGTGTAAAGTACAGTACAATACTAACTATAAATGTGCGTTAAATATACTGTATATATATATATATATATAAAAAAAAATTTTTTTTCAGTATATCTCAGTTAGTGCTAAACCAAAACAATAATATGGCCGCCGCTTAATAATTTAAATATAACAGTACAGTAATATACTATATATATATATATATATATATACACTAAACATTTTCAGAACAAACTCGGTACTTTTTTTTTATTTATGTTACTTATGTTTTTTGTGCTACATTTGGTAATTATAAAAGATACCATATTATCATGTGTTGTTTAAAAAAATGCGACGACATCATTTATGTAATTATATAATTATTTAATAGAGATATAGTTACACAAAAAACATATGTAATATACATAAAAAGGGCCCGAGTTTTCGGTAGCTCATAAGCCGTGTATATGCGCGCAATATTATAGCGTCTAATGCTTACGGGTGGGGTGGGGTGGGTGGGTGGGTGGGGCGGGTGCTTTTTACACGGCATAGTTATTATCACGGGACAATTTTTTAAAAGAAAATAAATACCTGCACTGGCAATGCCCCCCCTTCCTCCTCAAATAGATGCCATAAATGCCCTAGAATTTTGGGCATCTATAGTTTATGCCTGCCATTTTTTAAAACCCTGGTTCGTATTATACTTATATATATATATACACTAAGTGTTATATGTTGTATGTATTGTATATAAGTGATACATAAGTGTAATCTATGATATATATATATATATATATATATATATACTGTATATATATACGTATTTATGGTGCGTCTGCCTATTGTATTGGTTTAGCACATATTGATACATATATTATTGTTTTGTTTGGCCATTGCTTTAGTGTTATGCAAACACACACACACACTGTATGTACTGTATGTGTATGTAATGGGTGTCACGTCATCAATGCTAACATTGAACTTTGCCTACAAAAAAAAATGGTACTGTTCACAAATAGTGTTACGTACATTAAATTTATTATTATTATTTGGATTTTTTTTTTAAATTTAAATATTAGTACCACCTAGCTAATATTTGTTTGTTTTAAAAAAAAATAAAATATTAAAAAAAAAATTTAACTTTTTTTTAAAGTAATTTATATATTATTAGTTTTTTATAAAGTATTATTTATAAAGTATTAAATATATATATATATATATTTTTAAATATGCTCCCCAAAATAAATCTACAATATATAAATAAAATAGTAATTAAATTTATATATGAGTAATTTTATTTTTAAAAAAAATATAGTTTTTTATCCAAGTTAATTTTGTAGTTTTTTTTAATTAAAAAAAATTTGTTTATATCTAAAATATTATTAACATTTTTTAAATTAATTAACTAGTTTTAAGTTAACTTGTTAATTTTTGTTTTGTTTTCGTAAATTATTTAATATATTATTATTAATATAATAATTTAAATATATTATAATTAAATTACTTTAATAAACAAAAAAACAATTACTGGTTAATCATTAAATTAAAAGAAATTATTTTTTTAAAGTATATATTAAGCGACAAATATATGATAGTTAGAAACAAAACTAAAAAAAAAACTTTTATTTTTTTGATAAAAATTATTTAAAAAAAAAATCAAAAATCATTTTACGGTAATTAAATTTCAATCATATGATATAATTATAAAAAAATGTTGATTACGGTAATCAAAACCGATTGGTCAAAACATTAAACACACAAAAAACAATTACCGGTTACTTACGGTAATTATATAAATCATAAATCATTTGATAACTAATAATTATAATAATAATAATAAACTAAAATGTTTTTACAATAAAAAAAAATATAATTAACTAAATAAACAATTTATATATTTAAAAAAAAAAATTAATTCAAATTTATATATAAACAAACAGAAAAATTAATTAATTAAAAAAATTATTTTATATACTCATAAACAAAATAAAATAAAATTATCATCAAATTATAGCCGTAATTATCAATTACCGGTATTAAAATTATTAGTATTATTATAAAGTAATTAACATTAATTAATTGTAATCAATTATTTATTAACTGGTTTATTGATTGATTAATTAATTAATTAATTAATTGATTAAATAAATATAAGTAGTTTTTCAGTAATCAGTATTTATGAGGTCAACACTCCCGCAACAAACAATCATAACTAAAATATGTCAATCGAGTCATATATCAATGACCACCCGATATCGGTGGCTGACCACTACCACCACCAGTACTACTACTATTGGCYGCTTCTTTGTGTATCACTTGCCGATGCTTTTCATAGAGTTTTTCTATAGTGAATGTACGATCACAGCCTGGATATATACATTTGAACTTCGGTTTGGCGGCGGCYGCGGCTGCCGTCAACTGATTGCCGCATCCACTGGACAATCGACGACTTACTGCCAGTGCGTTGGGCGCAAACACTGCCGGCGTCACCGCCGCCGCAACAAACGTAGGCATCAGTTTCGTTATGTCCGGTTTGATGTCCGGTTTGATGTCAGGTTTAATATCTAGTTTGATGTCCTGTTGGTGGCCAACAACCGAACCGTTTGCGGTAACTATAAGTTCAACAAAAAAAACAAACAATAAAACAATTGGTTTTAAATATATATATATATATATATCCAATATTATATACTATTTAAAAAATATCATACCATCGCTTCCGTCTACTACTGCATTGGTTGTGGTGGCGGCTACGGCGGCGGGTGTCTGGCCAGATATGGTCGTGAGTTGTTGTTGTTTTTGGTGTTTTTCGCGCTTATGGCGCAAAAGGCTATACGACTTAACATAACGTAATTCGCAGCCATCGTAATCACATTTGTATGGCTTTTCCGGCTGGTCATCATCATTGTCATCGGTATACTTATCGGGTGGTGACCGATATTCTGGCCACTGATTATTATCATCAATAGACTTATCAATAGACGTTTGTTCGTGTTTGCTGAGCTTATGTCGCTTTAAGCCGCGAGCGTCACAATAGCTGTTTTCGCAACCATTGTAATCGCATTTGAATGACGGCTTCTCCGGTGTTGATGTTGTTGTTGACGACTTGGTTTCGTCGGTATCGTCCTTATCGGGCGACCACTGCGGCCACTGATTAATGGCCTTACGTTTTCTTTTGGACTTTCTTGGCGTAACCATTGAATAGTTATCGTCGTCGTTGTCGTCGTCATTGACGGCAATATTGTTATTATCAACTAACGTATCGTYGGCGGCGCTAGAGTTRACCACAAAACCGGATAATGTTGTTTCCCGTACGGGACTTGTAATATCGTCGACAGTATTTAGATCTATAATCACAGAGTTTGGCCGCATTGTGRTCGAAGTCGGCGCCGCAATATCACTGACATTTGGCTTCGGAGGCGTCGTCGTCGACGGCATCAGTAGTGTTGGTGGCTTTGGCGGCGGTGTAGTCTTCAAAAAGTTGACAAATTGTTGGCTAAATTTATTTGGCGATTCGTGACTATGATTGCCGGCCGGCGGCGGCGGAGCCGTCGACRCCGCTTTCGGCAACAATGGTAATGACGCTAATGACTTGACGCGATGACCAGTGGCGGCGGCGGCTGAGGCGGTTGAATCCGATGCCCAATGTTTTGTCTTTATGTGCCGACGCAATGTATCAATCGATGAAAATGTTTTACGACTACAGAAAATATGATCGCATCTGAACTGTTTGATCGGCTTYGWTGTTATCGTCTCAGCTGCCGCTAACGGACCACTAATGACCGCTTCGGCTACCGATAATGACTTAGATTTCTTTTTCTTTACAGTATTAATCGCTGGTCGCTGGCCATCATCATCATCATCGTTGTCATCATCATCAGCGGTGGTTACACTAGCCATAGCTGGTTTTGAGGCCGCATTGACAACCGATACAAACTTCAGAAACTGTTGGGCAAACGGATTGTTAACCATTGTTGTAGTCGCCGCAGAAACGGCCACCGAACCATCACCACTACCACTACCACCAGCTGCTGCCGCAGCCGCTGCCACCGATTTGGCCACATTCTGGTCGTGAACCCGTGCAATCAGGCCGTGTTTGAGACGACTGTGTCGTTGCATATTAAATACGTTTGAAAAGTACATTTCGCAGCCATTGCTATCACATTTGACCCGTTTTTCGTGCGGCAGTAGTGGCGGTGGCCGTCGTCGCCTCTGAGTAYCACTGGTAGCGGCGGCTGCAGTGGACGTGACCGCTGCGATTGWCGGCTTAATTTTGGTCAMTTTTTTCGTTATAACCGCTGTTATAGTATCGTCGTAGTGGCCGTAGTCGCCGTCGTCGACAACCGGTTCAGACTTGATCATCGGCTCCTCCGGTATCGGTTGGTCTTTATGATCGGCGTCCATGTGGTCACTGAGTGCCGATTGGGCAACAAAACTGTAGCCACAGTTCAGATGAGGACATCGGACGACAACCGGCGGCGGCGAAAATTTTTTGAACACCTGATGATGGCTAGTGTTGTCGTCGCTGTTGTTGTTGTTGTTATGATGATTGACAACAACATTGTTGAGTATGTCTTCCAGTTGTTTACGATTCGGTCGCTGCCAGAGAAACGGCGGACCAATTTGCAGACCAATCGACCTGACGGTACGTACGCCGCCGTTAATGTTGTTGTTGTCTGTCTGCTGCCGACGGCCTGTTGTCGCGGCATCGGCTTCAACACCATTAGTCGTCGTCGTTGAACTGGTAGTCATAATCATTGGATTCTGATTTTATACTTCAAGAAGTGGAGGAATAAACCAAACAAAAACTGAAGACATTTGTCTTTCAAATAGTTTTTTTAAAATTTATTTAATTTTTTATAAATGTATTTCTAATGTGTTTTGAATTTATAACGTAATGTAATGTAAAAAATACTGTAATAATAATAATAAGCAAAACAATTGCACATAAATTTCGTTCAATAAAATACATTACAATAATTTTTTTAATTAATTAATTTTTATTTTAAACAAACAAACAATTTTTTAAATTTTATTAATAACTTATATAATAAATTGATTAAATAAAATAATTAATTTGATTAAATAAAATAATTTGATTAAATAAAATAATTTGATTAAATAAAATAATTTGATTAAATAAAATAATTAATTTGACTGTAAAATTAAATTAAATTAAATTATTATTATAATTATCTTAAAAGTTAAAAGTAAATTAAACTAAAAGTAATCCTTAAATTTGATTTAAAAAATTAATATACTGTATATATTATTATTATTATTAAAATTACTAATTAATGTATTAAATAAAATAATGTAAAAAACAATTGATCAATTAATTTATAATTATATTAAAAATGTAAAAAATCAAATTAAAAATTAAATTAAATTATATTAAAATTTTTAAAAATAATAAATTAATTAAAAAAAATAATAATAAAATAAACTACAGTAATAATTAGTTAATTGTTTAGTAATAATATAAAAATTAATTAATTAGCAAAAAAATAGATGATATTATTATTATTAGTAGTAGTACTAATAGTAGCATTAGTATCGGTAGCAATATTGGAGATTATGATTGCCGGCCGGCGCCATCGGTTTCGGCAACGATAGTGATGACTCTAATGGCTTGCGATGACCAGTGGCGGCGGCGGCAGCGGTTGAATCCGATGCCCAATGTTTTGTCTTTATGTGCCGACGCAATGTATCAATCGATGAAAATGTTTTACGACTACAGAAAATATGATCGCATCTGAACTGTTTGATCGGCTTTGTTGTTGTTTTTGTCGCCGCCGCTGCAGGAACGGTAACCGAACCATCACCACCACCAGCTACAGCTGCCGCCGCTGCCACCGATTTGGCCACATTTTGGGCGTGAACCCGTGCAATCAGGCCGTGTTTGAGACGTCTGTGTCGTTGCATATTAAATACGTTTGAAAAGTAGATTTCGCAGCCATTCGTATCACATTTGACCCGATTTTTATACGGTAGTAATGTTGGCGGCCGTCGTCGCCTCTGAGTACCACCACTGCCAGCAGCGGAGGCGTCTACAGTGGACGTGACCGCTGCGATTGGCGGCACAATATTGGCAACTGTTGTTACTAATTCCGTTATAACCGCCATTATAGTGTCGTCGTAGTCATTGTAGTCGCCGCCGTTGTCGACAACCAGTTCAGACTTGATCATCGGCTCCTCCGGTATCGGTTGATCTTTATGATCGGCGCCCATGTGGTCGCTGAGTGCCGATTGGGCTACAAAACTATTGCCACAGTTCTGGTTCGGACGTCAACCTGCAGCTGCGGAAAACACTTGGACGCCACCTGATTGACAGCTACACGGCTATCAAACTTGAGAAACTGTTGGGCAAACAGATTGTTTATCAGCGACGGAATCTTCGCCGCCTCTTTCGGCAACAATGGTAACGACGCTAATGACTTGCGATTATCAGTAGCCCAAAGTCGGGATAGATGTCGTCCCCTTTGAGCAGCAGCAGCGGCGGCTGCAGTGGACTTGACCGCACTTATTGGCGGCTTAAATTTGGCCATTGCTACAGCCGTTGTTATAGTGTCGTCGTCGACCGGTCTGACAACCGGTTCGACAGACTTGATTGGCTCGGGTATGGGTTGGTCTTTATGATCGGCTTCCATGTGGTCGCTGAGTGCCGATTGGGCTACAAAACTGTTGTTACAGTTCAGATGAGGACATCGGACGACAACCGGCGGTGGCGTCGAAAAACTTTTGGACACCTGATGATGGCTAGTGTTGTCGTCGCTGTTGTTGTTATGATTGACAACATTGTTGAGTATGTCTTCCAGTTGTTTACGGTTCGGTCGCTGACAGATGACTGGTTCTCTAAATTGCAAATAATCGGTATCTGGATCTACGCGGATAATATAGGTCTCTCTGATATGTCCCACAACTCTATGTTGTTGTTGTTGTTGTTGTTTGGCGACACTTGTTGTTGTTGTTGTTGTTTTTTGATCACCATGGTGTTTTAGTTTATGAGACCTAAGCGATCCTGATTGAACATATTGTTTGTCGCAGCCATTGTAATCGCAACGAAAACGACGTTTACTATAGGTCTTTCTGTGGTATTTAGGACCACTAATGACCGCTTCGGCTACCGATAATGACTTAGATTTCTTTTTCTTTACAGTACTGATCGCTGGTCGCTGGCCATCATCATCATCGTCGTCGTTGTCATCATCATCAGCGGTGGTTACACTAGCCATAGCTGGTTTTGAGGCCGCATTGACAACCGATACAAATTTCAGAAACTGTTGGCCAAACGGATTGTTTACCATCGTTGTTGTCGCCGCAGCCGTAGGAACGGCAACCGAACCATCACTACTACAACCACCAGCTGCTGCTGCCGCCGCTGCCACCGATTTGGCCACATTCTGGCCGACTATAGCAGTAAAAAAATACATTTCGTGGCCATTGTTGTCGCGAATAACCACATTTTTGGGCGGTTCCGACGATTGGTCGCCAACTATTTGCTGACCATTATCATCGACAATGCGGCAACAATTTGTAAACTGGTGGGTCAGCTTGACGGCAATATTATTATTATTATTAACTATCGTATCGTCGGCGGCGGCGCTAAAGTTGACGACAACATCGGGTGGTGTTGTTTCCCGTACGGGACTTGTAATATCGTCGACAGTATTTAGATCTATAATCACAGAGTTTGGCCGCATTGTGGTCGAAGTCGGCGCCGCAATATCACTGACATTTGGCTTCGGAGGCGTCGACGGCATCAGTAGTGTTGGTGGCTTTGGCGGTGGTGTAGTCTTCAAAACGTTGACAAATTGTTGGTTAAATTTATTTGGCGATTCGTGACTATCATTGCCGGCCGGTGCCGCCTCTTTCAGCATCAATCGTAATGACTTGCGGTAACCAGAGGCAGACACTCGCCGACGTCGCCTCTGAGTACCACTGGCAGCGGCGGCGGCTGCAGTGATCGTGGCCGCAGCTTTTCGCGGCTTATTTTTTGTCAATTTTTTAGACTTGACCGGCTCGGGTATGGGTTGGTCTTTATGATCGGCGTCCATGTGGTCGCTGAGTGCCGATTGGGCTACAAAATTTTTGCCACAGTTCTGATAAGGACATCGGACGACAACCGGCGGCGAAAAACTTTTGAACACCTGATGATGGCTAGTGTTGTCGTCGCTGTTGTTGTTATGATGATTGACAACAACATTGTTGAGTATGTCTTCCAGTTGTTTACGATTCGGTCGCTGCCAGAGAAACGGCGGACCAATTTGCAGACCAATCGTCCGGACGGTACGTACGCTGTTGTTGTCTGTCTGCCGATGGTCTGTCGCGGCATCGGCTTCAACATCAGTAGTGGTGGTCGTCGTCGTTGAACAGGTAGTCATAATCATTGGGTTTTGATTTATACTTCAAGAAGTGGAGGAATAAAAAAAATCAATAGTTAGTATCCATCAGTGGTTAACAAAAACTACTTTTAATTGATGTGTGCTTTCAATGCTTTCACTGTTAAAAGTAATACCATATACTATACTACAGTACAGTATATATATATATAGTACTATAAAAAACTATTTAAAACAGTAATACTTACAGTCTATTGTAAGTCTATTTTTTTTATTTATTTAATTATTTAATTATTTTAATAAATTATTGAAAACTAATTTTATATTATGATATAAATAATATCATAAAATTGTACAATATACTGTATTTTTCATTTTTAAAAAATTTATATAAATACTGTATAACTATATTGTTATTAATAAATCATTAATTTTATGTAATAAAAATTATTTTCTAAAAATTATTTAATTAACATGATTTATAGCTTAAATATAACAAATATTTTTCTAATATTAATAATCGTTTTAAATTTAAATAATTATATAAATAAATTATGAATTTAATTTGTAAGTAATTTATTCATCAATATAATATTTAAAAAAAAAATATTTATATTTAATTAATATTATTATAATAATTAATAACATTATTATTATTATTTTCTAGATATTACTATAGCATTATGTTTATCAATAATTGGCATGAAATTAAACTGTAAAACTGATAAAATGAAAGTTTGTATATTTAACTAATAAAATTAATAAATTAAATATTTAAAAAAAATATTACTAAATATATAACTTTTTGTTAATCAATTAATTAAACTTATCAATAGGATTGACGTAACGGTTATAAAATTAGTTGCAAAACTAACTTGATGAAAGTATGTTTTTAAAAAATATATATATTTATTATTATTATTAGTTTTTTTAAAAAATGTTGTAATTATTTTAACAATATTTTTATTTTTAATTATATATATACTGTATATTTTATAATTAAATTTTTCAAATAGGATGGCAAAACAGGTGAACAACATTGTAGGCCTGATATTACCCAACACTCTATAGGCTGTGACGATTCAACTGGTGTTTTAAAGTGCAAATGCGAGTCTCCCTATACCTGGAATACAGATAAGGAAAGGTATACTAAATAAATAAATTAAAATATATGTTTATAAATTTAACTAGATAAATTTTTAATTTATTTCTAAAAAACAGTTGCATGTATAAAATAAGTTGCAGTATTGATAGGATGAAAGTATGTTAAAAAATAAATATTTTTAATAATATTTTTTTATAATTTGAATAATTATATTAAATTTTTTTTCTAAACAAAAAATTAATCTCTAATAGGATGGACGTACAGGTGATGATCATTGTAAGCCTGAAATAACCCAATACTCTATAGGCTGTGACGATTCAAACGGTTCATTGAAATGCAAATGTTTGTATCATTATATATGGGACTCGGATAAGGAAATATATGTTTTTTGTTTAGTTACCTAAAAATATATAATATATATATATAAAGTTTAATTTAAATATTATTTTTTTCAATTTTAATTATATGTATATGTTTCTATACTAATAATAAATGCGATACAACTATTATAAAAGTATGTAAATATATACAGTATATATATATATATATATTAAATTTTCAAGCAATTAATTTAGTTTAAGTAAATTAAAATTTGATTAAAATTATAAATTAAAAAAAATAAATTATTTTTAAGGATAACAAAACAGGTACCGACTATTGTAGACCAACTGTTACGCCCTATAGTATCGGTTGCGATGATCGGGGAGGTGTTGTCCGATGCAAGTGCGACCCGACTACCGATTGGGACAGTCATAGTCTTACGTATTATAATTATATTTTAATTTTTTAATTAATTAATTAATTTTTTTATTAAAAAAACAATAGTTGTAAAGATAAACAAAAACTATGCGATAGAATATTGATGAAAGTAATTATAATTAATTAATTAATTAGTATTTATAAATTTACCATGATAAATAACTAATTATTACTTGTATATTTTTTAACTAAAATTTTTTTAATTAAAAAAATTGAGGATGGTAAAACTGGTACTGAACATTGTAAGTTTAGTGTAACACTCCATTCAACCGGTTGTTTAGTGGATACGGGAGGTGTAGTCCGGTGTCAATGTTCGCCACCGTTTAGATGGGATAGTGATAAACAAATGTAAATAAAAAACATTATTAAATTTTAGTAAAAAAATTATTTATTTATTTTAAACATTTTCTACTAAAATATAAATAAATATATTTTTTTTGAATTAGATGTGATCGACAAAATTGTCTAAAAAATAAGATGAAAGTATGTATTAATTTTGTTTTATTAAAAAAAATCAAATATTTATTTATTTTATATATTATTATATTATTAGATAAAAGTAAAATAATTAAATAATAATTTTTTTTAAATAAAAAAATATTTATTTAAAAAAAAATATTTATCTATTTATTTTCTATTATACTTTTATCTATTAATAATAATATACATGTAAATTTTGATTATTTAATGTTAATTAATTAATAAAATTACTAAAATTATTTAAAAGTGACATTTATAGTGATATGTAATATTTTAGGTTTTAGTAATTTTTATATTAAAAAAATATTATTTATTTATTTTACTTTTATCTAATAATAATATACATGTAAATTTTGATTATTTAATGTTAATTAATTAATCAATACTATTATTTTAATAGTGTCAGGGTATTTTATGTATTAGTATTTTTTATGTATTTAAAAATAAAATTAACTAGATACTTTTAAATTTTATTTATTTTCTATATATTTTCTATATATAGGATGGCAAAACAGGTGCACAACATTGTATGGATATTCAACATTCAATGGGATGTAGCAGTGAAACAGGTATTATGTAATGTATTTGTGAGGACAGGTATCAATGGATCAGTGATAGTGAACTGTAAGATATATTATTTATTTTTTATAATAAAATAATTTAATACATAATAATTAATTAAAATTATTATTATTATCATTCATTCAAAAATAGATGCAATTTGAAAACATGTAATAATAGCAAAATTATGGTATGAATTAAAAAATAATTATTTTAATATAAAAAATTACTAAAAAAAAATTAATTATTAATATTTTAGGATAAATATGCCGCTGATTATTGTAAATCATTGGCCCATTCAATGGGTTGTTATGATAGTGGAGGTGTTGTCAAATGTATGTGCGATAACACTACCGATTGGGACAGTTATACACAAATTTAACCAAAAACAAAATAATTGATTTAATTTATAACTAAATAATTTATTTATTTATATTTTCTATTACACTATATAGTTGCTCATTAAATAATTGCAAAACTACACTGATGAAAGTAATTAATATATATATATAATTTTTATTGTAAATTTATAAATTAAACTTAACTAAAATATTTTTAAATATTTTTTCAAAAATTACTGATAGGATGGCAAAACAGGTGATACACATTGTTCACCGGGGGTTACACCACATTCAATGGGTTGTATAGATACGGGAGGTATAGTCAGATGCAATTGCGATACGACTACCGATTGGGACAGTTATAGTCAAACGTAATATTAAATAATATTTATATATAATCTAAAAAAAATATATTTAATTGAAAAATTATTTTTTTTACATAAACTGTATTTAGTTGTATAAATAAGTCGATAAATAAAAACACTTTGCAATAAAACAGGTAATTTATATATATAAAAAAATTAATTAACTAATTATTTAATTAATTAAAATTAATTATATATTTTATTACTTTAATTTTTTTCTAATATTTTAGTTTTTTAAATAATATAAAAATTTAGGGATGATAAATAAAATATAAAAAAGCCTTAAATATATTATTCAAGGTCAATTATATTAGTAAATAATTAATTTAATTTATAAAATTATAAAAATTATTATTAAATTTTAATATATATTTAAAATGTCAAACTGTAAACATTCAAAACAATCAAACATTATTAAGTTATTTTAATTATTTTATAAATTATTTCTAGTATGATTTAATTGTATTAAATGTTATTATGTAAAATAATTTAATTAAAATTTTATTACAAAGTTTATATGTCAAATGTTTGCTAATTAACAGATTAAAAAAATTACTAATTAATAGTTATAAATTAATTAAAAAGTTTGAATGTTATAAGTAAAAAACTAATTAATTAATTAAATCCTAAAAAATATATAATGAATTAATTTTTATTGATTATTAAAATTTTCATAATTGAATTATACATTATGTCATAGATATATTATAATATAAAAAAATGTTTTTTTTATCAATGATTAAAAAATTATAATTAAAAAAATTTTTTGAACACATAATCCCAAATAACAAACAAAAAAAAAATATTTTTTTATAAAATTAGTTTTAAATTATTATTATTAATATAAATGAAAACAAATATAAAAAAAAATAATTATATAATATTATTATTAATACATTAATTATTAGTTTAATTACTGATTACTGATCATTAATTAAGTGTCGGTCCGTCCAGTCATTCAATACGATAGACAACACACTTGACATCGTTGACCGTAAACGACAAATACGTGCCAAACACGTGCAACAGTGGATTATGCGAAAAACTGTCGGCACCGACAAAACAGTTCCAACGCCTCGTAGCGGCTGTCCATTGCCGCGGCCACCGTATCGGCCATTGACTTGAAATCGCTGCAAAAGGCCAGCGCCTGCATTAGCTTATCGATGGCCAACTGTTTCATATCGGCAATCATTTCGTTGACATTAATAGTGATAATATTGCCGGCAGTAGTAGTAGTAGTAGTACTGTTGTTATTGTTAAACAACTGTCTCCTATCGACTCCATTGATGACCTCCCGGTGCTGCTGCTGCTGTAGACCAGCTATCGGTGACCTATGATAATCTTTAGCCATATATTGGCGCATATCTTCATCAGTAGTCGACTTTTCCTCCAACTTCTCTTCAATCATATGATCCAATCGTTCCCTTAGATCATCGGTTGACTGCCTGACGACCTCCAGTTCCCGTTCGGTTAGTCCACGTCTGGTGTCCATTGATTGCAATTTTCGCCGAAGACTTTCGTTGACAGCTTTGGCGTTAACAAAGTCTTGCTGTACTTCTTGTAGTTTGTCTCTCACTGAGACAGTAGACTGATCTCCTGATCGGGTGAACCGTACGGCTCGTTCAGTACACTTGAGCCAAAGTTATCGATGGCCTGACTTTCGTATAGATCCAGCTCTGACCTACTGATCCTAAGCTTATGCTTCATATTGTCGATGATCTTCTCCTGCGATGAACACTATTCAGGACATAAAAAAACACAATGAAATCAATCAATTGATCTGTAAATTCATAGCTTATATATACCTTTTGACGCAATTGATTGACCTCCCGGTCCCTACTGGCCACCAGTTCATCCAGCGATCGGCTCTTAGCTTCGGCCAAACGAATCGTTTCCAACAAATCTGATTGCATTTTCTCGACATTCTGGTCGGTCCGGTATTTCAGTCGCAGTTCACAGTCCATAGACTCCAGCTGTTGGTCAGTCATCGTCAGCCGTGCGGTCAATGTTTCCAATTCGGTATATTTTAGTCGAATTTGTTGTTCGTAGCGGTCATTGAGTTCACGTAACTGCCGGTCTTTGGCCTCCAGCCGATACTCGAGCAGTTTGACTGCCGTATCCGCATCGCTGATGATCTGATGGTTGTTTTCCTTATTACTACTACCAGTGCTCAGATCGATGTCCAAATGATCGGATAGGTTGTCCATCATAGCAGCTGTCGATTTCGGTATCGTTTGATTCAGACTAATATCGATTAGATTTGGATAGAGTTTCGATAGATTCGGTGCACTCGGCTGGACATAGTTGGCCGCAAACGCAACGGCAGGGCCAGTGGCAGCCCTGGGCGTCGATGTCAGGCCGCCGGGCACTGGCATCGATCGGGGGGGGGGGACGGACACTACGGTCATTACTGTGGCGACTACTCTGGCGATAGGTTATGATACGAAACGGCGGCGATCGGCCGCACAACTGATACCGAGTATAGGCGCCGAACGGATGAAAATAGCAAAACTGATAGTACGTCGCCGCCGCTGCCGACGGCTGCTGTGTTGGCCATTATCACCGCCGCCAATACTGGCCAGTGAACTGTCCATCAGTGGTGCAGTCAGTATGTCTTTAATCGGGAAACAAACTGTTCGTTCGTCAAACTCATCAACCGTTGACTCATTGAATACCATTTTCATGAGAGCCGAATCACGTTCCCGATCCGTCCAACCCATCGGATAGAGACCAACCTTATCGGCAATGATATTCAATGTCGGATCAACATAGAAACGGCACGGTATGTACTGGTCATCGCTGATGGAGTACTCCTCCCGTAGTTCGCTAAATATGATTAGCGATGGGCCGTTCGGTGACAACGATGCCGATGACTGGGACGGGAACTGGGAGTTGGCGCCGACGGCACCCAAGTTTTGGCTGATTGGTAGAGCTCTTTAAGGAATCAAAAATCCCGAATAGTGATGGTAGCTCAGATCCCCCTGAGTCTAACCATACCACCCACATAGCTGTCCGACCTCCGCAATTCGAGATATTCGACTTTAAAGTCGAAAATTATTTTTGACGTTATTTATAAATATGACATACTATCGATGTATTTTTCAATACTAATTATGATTATAAAAAACTAAATCACATTATATCAAATATTTTTCGAGATATTGGACTTTAAAGTCGAAAAAATAAAAATTCCGCATGATGTGTAAATGGCAATCGAAGTGCTTTTCGATTAAAAACCACAGCAAGTGGTATATATGATCCACCAAAAATTGTTAGACCAATGTTTTTGTCTACTAACTTTTTTAAACTTAATCTAATTATTAAAAATTTTATTAATTACATTATAAATAATTTATAAACTTAATTTTAATACATTTATTTTATTATATAAACATATTATTTATTACATTTAAAAATACTTAGAATATAATTCTTATTTTTATTATATTAAAACTAATTTTTAAGTCATAATTAGTAACTTTAGATATATGTGGCTAAAATTCTGTTTTTATTCAATGAAATATTTGCTTAAAAATATGAAAATATGTGGTTATATTTGCTTAAAATAGTAAAAAATGTGCTTATAATTGCTTTGAAAAGTTAAAATTTATCACTTTTTTTGAGACACAATTGTTTTATTAATTTATTTTTTTAAACAATTAATTACTGCTTAAAAAAGTTTTGTTTGGTTTATAATTACTGTATTTTTGGCATTGCCTTAACTGCGGTGAGACATGGGAAGCTTGCGGTCAATAATTATCTCGAGAACCGTTGGTCAGATCTTGCGGTCAAAAATATAAAAGTTCTAGAGAATAAAAAGTTAGGAACTAAGGTCCACTTGAAAAAATTTTAGGTCCACCAGGGGGCCCAGAAAAAATAAAACCCATTTATTTTAATGTAAAAAAGTGGTGGTCAGGATGTATCTCGAGAACCGTTGGTCAGATCTTGCGGTCAAAAATATAAAAGTTCTAGAGAATAAAAAGATGTGAACTCGGGTCCACTTGAAAAAATTATAGGTCCACCAGGGGGCCCAGAAAAAAATAAAACCCATTTATTTTAATGTAAAAAAGTGGTGGTCAGGGTGTATCTCGAGAACCGTTGGTCAGATCTTGCGGTCAAACATATAAAAGTTGTAGACAATAAAAAGATAGGAACTTGGGTCCACTTGAAAAAATTTTAGGTCCACCAGGGGGCCCACAAAAAAATAAAACATAAAAATTTTGTACTAAAAAAGCAGCGGTCAGTGAATATCTGGAAAACCATTGGTCAGATCTTGCGGTCAAACATATAAAAGTTGTAGAGAATAAAAAGATAGAAACGAGGGTTGACATTAAAAAATTTTAGGTCCACCAGGGAACCCACAAAAAAAATAAAACATGAAAATTTTGTACTAAAAAAATATTGATCATTGTTTATCTGAAAAACTAGAAGCCAGATCTTTCGGTCAAACCTTTAAAAATTTTTAAAAATTTAAAAGTAAACAATAATTTAAATTAAAAAAATTTAAATTTTTTTGAACCTCACAAAAAATTAAAACCTATATTTTTATTTAATAAAAAAATGTTATATTTTTATGGGTTTTCTGGTAGACCAAAAATTATTCTTATTAACCATTTTTTTAATTTATAAATGTTTATAACTTTTATATTTTTGATCGCAAGATCTGACCACTGGTTTTTAAAATACTGACCGCAATTTTTTTAATAAAAAAGTTATTTTTTTGTGAATCCCTTAGTTGGCCTAGAATTTTTTATAAGTTAACTTAAGTTTCTATCTTTTTATTTTCTATAATTTTAATATGTTTGATCGCAAGATCTGACCACTGGTTTTTTAGATAATTACTGAATACCATTTTGCCAAATAAAAATGTTTTATTTTTTTTTGTTGAAATTCTGGTTGAACTAAAATTTTTTCAAGTAGACCATAATTTTTATTTTTTTATTGTCTACAATTTTTATAAGTTTGACCGCAAGATCTGACCATTAGTTCTCGAGATAATTACTGACCGCCACTTTTTTAGTACAAAATTTTAATGTTTTATTTTTTTTGTGGGTTCCCTGGTGGACCTAAAATTTTTTAATGTCAACCCTAGTTTCTATCTTTTTATTCTTCACAACTTTTATATGTTTGACCGCAAGATCTGACCACTGGTTTTCAAGATATTTATTGAATACAACTTTTTTCATAGATTTTTTTAAATTTTTTGTGGGTCTCCTGGGGGTTTTTAAATTTTTTTAAGTGGACCATAATTTTTATTTTTTTATTGTCTACAATTTTTATATGTTTGACCGCAAGATCTGACCACTGGTTTTTTAGATAATGACAATCTCATTTTTTTTAATAAAAAATGTTTAATTTTTTGTGGGCCTCCTGGAGGTCCTTAAATTTTTTCAAGTTAACCCGAGTTCATATCTTTTTATTCTCTAGAACTTTTATATCTTTGACCGCAAGATCTGACCACCGGTTCTCGAGATACTCCATGACCGCCACTTTTTTAATACAAATTTTTTATGATTTATTTTTTTTGTGGGCCCCCTGGTGGACCTAAAATTTTTTCAAGTGGACCCTAGTTCCTAACTTTTTATGCTCAACAACTTTTATATGTTTGACCGCAAGATCTGACCACCGGTTCTCGAGATACTCCCTGACCGCCACTTATTTAATACAAATTTTTCATGTTTTATTTTTTTTGTGGGCCCCCTGGTGGACCTAAAATATTTTCAAGTGGACCTTAGTTCCTAACTTTTTATTCTCTAGAACTTTTATATGTTTGACCGCAAGATCTGACCAACGGTTCTCGAGATAATTATTGACCGCAAGCTTCCCATGTCTCACCGCAGTTAAGGCAATTCCGTATTTTTTTATATAAGTGACAGTTATTTAATTTGTCGGCAAAAAACACACACACAATAAAAATTTGGTTTTTATATTCTTTTTTTTATAATTTTTTTATTATAATTTTTTAATTATAATTTGAATAATAATATTAAATTTTTTTCTAAACAAAAAATTAATCACTAATAGGATGGACGTACAGGTGATGATCATTGTAAGCCTGAAATAACCCAATACTCTATAGGCTGTGATGATTCAAACGGTTTATTGAAATGCAAATGGCACACTATGATATCTTAAGTTTAGATCAGATACCCATTCAATTGGTTTGCGGACCACCCATGCGATTGCTCAGGGAGCCGATTGACGTTCACAATAATTATAAGTGAAAATCATATTTATTATTATTATTATTATTTTTAGTAATAATCGCTGACATCAACAGCGATGTGTTCGAACAGTTTCTTCAATTTATTTATACGGAAAGGTTTGACAAATTGGTCGATATGTGTGAAGATCTGCTATATGTTGCCGACAACTATATGATTGAATCGCTTGAAGACTATATGTCTTAATTTGGTTTATTTGCGGATCAATTGCAACAATGCTTTAGAAATTAGTAGAACTGTGATAGACTTTGGAACCGATGAATAACTGATGAATAAAGTCAATCAATTTATCGGCGAAAAAATCACTTCAGTGATCAGTAATGTGTTTACCGATAACTATGGCATTGATTCGGAAAATGTCTCACAAATTATCGGTAATTTTGATAAGAATTTGCCAAAAGTTAACAAAAATAGTTATGTATTATACATACGATTACATCCATTGAATCAATCAATCAATTGAATCAATCAATCAATCAATTGAATCAATCAATCAATCAATTGAATCAATCAATCAATCAATCAATTATTCAATCAATCAATCAAACAATTGATTCAATCAATCAATTGATTCAATCAAACAATCAATTGATTCAATCAATAAATCAATCAATCAATTGATTAAATTCAATCAATTGATTCAAACAATCAATCAATTGATTCAAACAATCAATCAATTGATTCAAACAATCAATCCATTGATTCAATCTATTTATTCAATTAATCAATTTAATCAATCAATCCATTCAATCAATCCATTCAATCAATTCATTCAATCAATTCATTCATTAAATCATTTCAATTAATCAATTGATTCAATCAATCAATTCATTCAATCAATTTATTCAATCAATTCAATCAATCAATTGATTCAATCAATTCAATCAATCAATTCATTCAATCAATTCATTCAATCAATTCATTCAATCAATCTATTCAATCAATCAATTGATTCAATTGATTCAATCAATTCAATCAATCAATTGATTTAATCAATTGATTCAATCAATCAATTCAATCAATCAATTCAATCAATCTATTCAATCAATTGATTCAATCAATCAATTCAATCAATCAATTCAATCAATCAATGGATTCAATCAATTGATTTAATCAATTCAATCAAACAATAGATTCAATCAATTCAATCA